TTTCCTCTTGGTGGGTTTCGGGGAGGTAGATTTCCACCATTCCCCCCTACCGGAGCAGCTCCTACCGGTCGCCTGCCACTGTTTCCCTGCACTGTGCCGGCGTCCTCCGGTTGCTTGCCTCCATTTCCACCAACTGGGCCAGCTTCTTCTGGTTGCTTGCCGTTCCCTGATGTTTGGGGGCCAGCATTTTAGGGGTTCTTGCCATTGCCAACAGGAACAGTCCGGGGTGCATTAGGGTCTAAGGGAGCACTAGCCACGGAAGGTGCTACTGACAGATGTTGTCGTAGTAGTTCCTCCATCTCGGCTATCCGTTGGTTTCTTATCTCATCGGACTGCTTGAATTGCGCAAACATAGCCCATTGTTCCCCTTTCTCCTGCTCCCGCTCTTCTCGTACCATCCTCAATTGCCGCTCCGCTTCCAACAGTTGGTTCTGTGTAATCCGATGGTTGCGATCCAGAACCTCGTGGTCGGCGGCTCGTGTGGCTTCGTGTACTTGTTGGACATGGGTGACGAGTTCGAAGAGCGATTCGAGATGTTGTTTTTGGGCAATGGCTTCTTGCCGCGCCTTCTTATCCAGGATTTGTCCACTCCCTTGGACTTGTTCCTGGAGGTTTTGTAGCTGCTGCCAAACGGCCTGTCCAGCTGAACCAAGATACCTCATTTGTGCCTCATGGGTATCCAAAAACTCCTGCATATTCCTCACGAACTGGGCTTGAGCAGAGCGTTTACTCGATTGCCTAGTTTGTGTGGAGGGTCCTCCCGTAAGTAGGGGGTCTAGGCTAGCAGCCCTTGATATTACCATAGAATCTTCCCCTCCGGCCTCCTCAGTTACGGCCGAGGTATCTATGAAGTAATTATCCCTTCGAGTAGTCATTGTGATAGGGGATAATGATGATAGTTCTTTTCTTTGAGGTGACTTCGTTACTCCAAGTGAACTTGTGAGTAACAATATACTGTGAGGGATGCGTACCAGACCACAAGAGTAGACTACGCAGAGCTCAGAGTTCGGCTAACAGCTACAAAGGTAGAAGTCTCCAAGGTCTCTTCAGTCAACGTCGAGTATGAATCTCCTTGATCCGATACGGGCCCCGCGAGCTACGTTATCAACAAAGATTCACTAGAGTTAGTGTATAGAAGTCGACCGTCTTCGACGTAATAGTTCAGGTAGAGTTCGAAGTCACGATAGAGTAAAGTAATCCCAAAAGTATAGTCAAATAATGTTGTAACTCGCGTATCAACGATTTATATTGTTAAGACTCTGATTTCGCCGATGATGGTTTGGCTAGTCAGTGAATGACACAGTATTTATATCCCTCGCTTATGTCTCGAGGACCCAATCTACTAATAATACAGAATACACTCGGGGCATGCCCGAGACCCTGAAAAACAACCAAGAACATTTAACTCCTAAGTCCGTAACCCAAACTCCTAAACCCGCTGAAACCGCTCAACCTATTTATCCACTCTAATGCACGTTTCCCTGTCGATGTTGCTTCTCCATCGGCCATTCAGGCCTCTTCCCACATCGCTTTCCCACATAGTAGAGTCCTCTCATGCCCACAGGTACCGCCGATAGGTACTCGGTCGGCTGGCAGCTTGCGCCGATTCGCTCCGGGTGGTCCGTGTTACGGGCATGCCAAGCATTTACGGGAGTGAGAGAAAGGCTAGTAGATACTCCTATACCTTTTAATACTAATGGCAACACCACTATCAACTCCGGTTCGCACCTACGAGGTACGGTGCGATCAATATACGACCAAATGCGGAGTTGCGGTTTTCCTAGTTAAAAAACACGTTTTCGACCCCAATAATAACCCCCGGAGCGTCAAACCGCTGGAGGGGAGTGTTTTAGTACCGGTGGATATATGAGGGACAGCTGGAATCAATCGGATCGAAGATCGGACCGCTCGGAGCGAATCGGCGCAAGCTGCCAGCCGACCGAGTACCTATCGGCGGTACCTGTGGGCATGAGAGGACTCTGCTATGTGGGAAAGCGATGTGGGAAGAGGCCTGAGTAGGTAGCCTTGCCGTCCGAGACCTCCGAATAGCCGACGCTGACGATTATCCACCAGACGGCCGATGGGGAAGAAACATCGACAGGGAAATGTGCATTAGAGTGGATAAATAGGTTGAGGGGTTTCAGCGGGTTTAGGAGTTTGGGTTACGGACTTAGGAGTTAAATGTTCTTGGTTGTTTTTCAGGGTCTCGGGCATGCCCCGAGTGTATTCTGTATTATTAGTAGATTGGGTCCTCGAGACATAAGCGAGGGATATAAATACTGTGTCATTCACTGACTAGCCAAACCATCATCGGCGAAATCAGAGTCTTAACAATATAAATCGTTGATACGCGAGTTACAACTTTATTTGACTATACTTTGAAATACTTTACTCTATTGTGACTTCGAACTCTACCTGAACTATTACGTCGAAGACGGTCGAACATTACACGCTAACTCTAGTGAATCTTTGTTGATAACGTAGCTCGCGGGGCCCGTATCGGATCAAGGAGAATCATACTCAACGTTGACTGAAGAGACCTTGGAGACTTCTACCTTTGTAGCTGTTAGCCGAACTCTGAGCTCTGCGTAGTGTACTCTTGTGGTCTGGTGCGCATCCCTCACAGTCCGATCTTCGATCCGATTGATTCCAGCTGTCCCTCATATATCCACCGGTCCAAAAGCACTCCCCTCCGGCGGTTTGATGCTCCGGAGATTATTATTGGGGTCGAAAACGTGTTTTGTAACTAGGAAAACCGTAACTCCGCATTTGGTCGCATATTGATCGCACCGCACCTCGGGGGTGCGAACCGGAGTTGATAGTAGTTTTGCCATTAGTATCAGAGGGTATCGGGGTATCTACTGGCCTTTTGTCTCACTTCCGTAAATACTTGGCATACCCGTAACATATTCATGCGTGAATTTATTGCAAAATCAAGTGATAAACTCATATCCCGTACAATACCTGATGCTGTTGGAGATTATCTTTACTCAAATGAGCATCGTGCTCGTGTTCAGGAAGATCTCCTGCTTCTGGATAGAGATAATGGTGAAGAAGATGGAAACAAGAGCCAGGTGTACAAAAGATCATCTATTCGGGCACGGACAGCAGGGGGGTGGTTGTTGGGGCTTGGCCTGAATTATAATGACGTCTGTAAACGAGTTTACATTGACGGGCATGACCGAGATGACTTTCTGAAATACCGCATTTCTTTTGTTGGGGGGCTGAATGAATTGCAACTGCAAATAATTGAATTCAATGAAAACGGTACCGCGGCTGGCGGGGCGGCTCCTGCTGGAGGATTGAAAAGAAGAATTCTTTGCACGCATGATGAATCCACGTTTAGTGTCAATGATTCCCTTCGTAAAGCATGGACGAGCAGCCAGAATAGTCTTTTACTGAAAAAGTCCAAGGGACGAGGGATAATGTTAAGTGATTGTCTATTCCCGAATGAAAGAGTTCATATTCCCATGTCGATATCGGACGAAACCATGATTCAAAAAGGACTGAACCCAAAACGGCGGAACGTAACAGAGTATTTTGAATTTGGAAAGAATAACGAAGGCTATTGAACAGCAGAGCTCCTTGTTCAGCATATCGTCACAGTAGTTGTACCAATGGTTGAATTGAGATACCCACCCAGAACACACCAATGTCTCTTCCTTTTTGACAATGAGACAAGTCACGCCTGTTTTGCTGAAGATGCCCTGCGAGCCTCTGAAATGAATAAAGAACCAGGTGGCAAGAATCCTAAATACATGAGGAAAACGAAATTTTCAACCACAATCAATGGAGTTATTACTGAACAGGAACAGCTTATGGTATTCCCTGCTGAAAATGCTGGTAACAATTATGCGGGGCATCCTAAAGGTCTCCAAATTGTCTTGACTGAACGTGGTCTGTGGTTGGATTCACTTAAGCTGGATTGTTCGATGAATAACTGCCCAGCTTGTAAACTCATTGAAAGACAAAGAACTGCGGCAGTGAAGCGAATTATTGCAGCATGTCAAACCAGCAACTGTACTGGAAGAAACAAATGCTATGACTGCAAAGAACAATTGAACTCTGAATTGCCAAAAATTCAGAAATGCGCTGAATGCACTATCCTCCAAACCCATAATGTAACGGAGCCATTTCAACTGTCTGGTGTATGAGTACACACAGGGCCCAGTTACATGCTGAGAGTTATTGTTAGAAGCCAGTTGCACGGTGATATGCAAGTACCGGCAGTGTGGTTAGCTACCAGTTGTTAGAGTAACTACATTCCGGGCGGTAGGAAGAGGATCTATTCATGGGAGCAATGACTGACGAGTCTATGTCTCGCCAGTGACTAGAAGACCGCCCAGAGTGAAGCTCTGATTACCCTGTGATTGTAACGGGGACTGTGGGCGTAGGAACTATGAAGCCAAGGAATACAACCGAGGCGAAGACGTGGACGTAGGAGATTCGTGGACTATGGACTATGGGGCCGAGGTATGCTACCAAGGCGGGAACGTGGACTATGGACTATAGGGCCGAAGGGTAGACCTAAGGCAAGAACGGAGACTGTGGACTATGGACTATGGATGGTTGTACCTGGTCTAGTATACCGGGTAAACCATATGACGTAGCGCGAAGCAAATAGTATTCGTAACTGTAAAGTACAGAGGTTACATAAAGAGAAAAGAGAAAGAAAGAGAAACAAGAAATCACGAGACAACGCCCCCCTTATATATCCATACCCTATCCCAATGCTGACTCATACTCTCGCATAACAGAAACAGAAAGAACATAATAGAAACCCGCTTCACTAAACCCAACCACACTGCATAATCCTTCTCCCTTATACCCAGACAACTCACATAGCCAACCCGTCTAGCTGCCGTTACAGTGATCTTCTATATTCTCTGAGCATTGAAAGTCCGCCGAAGGGGCAGGGACTATGCTAGGGAAGTCTACAATAAGTGAAAGCTCGACAGCAATGATTAAGCTTACACCTGAGCGGCAGCTCATTCACGCAGGCCCTCGGTTGTGTGGCAACCAAGGCTGCAGGTGTTACAAAGGCTTTGACTAAGGGTGATTGCCTTGGGTATCGGAAACACCTGCTGACGCTTAGAGAAAAGCGGGGTAGCGGTGGTATTGTTTCCGGCGCCGAGGAAAAGCTTCACCGGAACTTAGTAAGGAGTTAGGAGCAGAGAATAGAGGCCTTCGGAGTATAAGTACTCAGGCTCATTCTCGCCCTTCAGTCCTGTTCTCTCGAGTCTTCATCAGAAAGAAAAACCAAGTTCTTATCGGTAGCAGAGCCCTTAAAGATTATTGAGTTCTAGCGATAGTATCCTTGAATAATCTGCAACCTGATTGTCTATCTTGTACAGCAGTCTCTATTCTATCTGATTCTATTTCTCTTAGAGAGGACCCCCGTTACAGATAATCTCTAAGGCTCAAATCACCTTCAGATTATTCTTCCTCTATACAATGTCCACCCTCCCGGCTCCAGATGCACCCCTTCAGATTGAATGGCAGCCGGTGCCCCTCCAGCTTGATGCCACCGGGCAGACACAGCTGGTCAAGAAGCCCAGGACTGCTTTAGATACCTACATTCCCTGCTGTGAGCCTGCCTGGCAAGATACCGACGAGGTTTCCATTCAACAGTTCTTCACAGAGCTCCAGACCTACCTCCAGCACAGCCTGCAGAATCAGTTGACCCGGGGCAGTCAGGCCCTCCTTCTTGTACAAGAGCGCCAGGCAGCACAGAATGCTCTGATGGCAGAAGGTCTCGAGTACATGAGGCAGGAGGTCAACTCTGTTCAGGAAGAACTCCGGAAGTATGCGGAAAGAGATGAACTGAATGAGGATGCCATGAAGATTGAGTGGACAAATCTGGCCACTCCACCAGACTTTGTTGCCGAGATAAAGAGAGCCCTTGATGAAGGAAGACTGGTGGTGGGTAGACCAGCAACTCCGGCATCAAATCCAGGACCCAGGTCCTCTTCCAGGGCAGCTACCAGGACAATGCAGCGGAAAACCAGCCCCTTTGCAGCATTTCCGGTCCGATCCACTAGGAGAGTTATTCCTATTGTGCAGCCAGCGGTGGGGGCTTCGCCCTTACCACCTAGCCACTTCGGTGGAGCACACCCACTCCTTGGAGGAGTTGACCGATCCTTTGACTATGAAGGAGATTTCTTCTCAGGTGCAGGTCGAGGACCTCCCAGTCTGCTAGCTAGGAACCCGGGAAGGTTTACCATGTCTGGGGCCGCTCAAGCAGCAGCATTTTCACCGTTGGCCAGCAATCCGGCACCAGTAGCACCTGTAGCTTCCTCCTGCTGTGGCCGCCGCTCCCCCCCCAGTTAATGTACAGGGTGGTATCGGTGGAAACCAGAAGCCTCCACCTCCCGTGGCCCGCGCTCTCACTCCCGGAGACTCAGGCAGTTCTGACAGTTCAGACTCGGAACCGGAAGGTGGTGACAGAAGAGGCTGGTGGAGATATCTGAAGAAGAAGTTGGAGAAGCAACAAAAGGATTTGTTTGCTATGATGTCCCAGCAGTACTGACCTCAGGCCGCCTCTCCCCCTTCTGCTACCACCAGGGCCCGAGAACCAAAGGCACCACCACCCTCCAAATTCCAGGGCAAGGCGGAGCAAGTGGAGACCTTCATCCGGCAATGTGAGAATGTGTTCTCCATTAAGAGCCTGTCATTTACCTCTGAGGAGGTTAAGATCCGATATGCAGGCAACTTGATGGAAGGAGAGGCAGCGATCCGATGGTATGAGGCATATCACAACTCCATTGATCAAACCTCTGCCAACCGTCTTGCTGGGATGCCGATGGTGTTGGATCAAAGATGGAAGCGCTGGGATCCCTTTGTGGACGCTTTTAGAGCAGCCTTCGGGGAAGCCATCTCTAGAGATGATGTTGTAGCCCATTGAAATACCCTCACCCACACAGCTCGAGGAGGAATAGACCTCTTCCTGAATACTATCATTCAGCTGATGTGGAAGACTGGCTATGAGGGTCAGTTGGTGGATGATAAGATTCATAATTCCCTCCTTCCGGACCTAGGCATGAGTTGGGCTCTTTTTAATCCCAAGCCAAAGTCCTTGATGGAGCGGATAGCTGCTCTAAGAGAGTTGAGGCACACCCATGAGAGGTACCAAGGGATGGCAGCTGAGAAAGTGCACCCTCGGACCAAGAAAGATCCTCCCGCTCAGAAGGACCAGCAGCCTAAGAGGAAAAGAGAAGCTGCGAGCTCCTCCGGACCTCAGAAGACTCCCGGACCTAAAGACAAAGCGGTGGAAGTGAAGGGTATCCCGGGGGATATTCTAGAAGAAAGAAGGAAAGCAGAAGTATGCTTGAAGGTATGACCTTCCGGTACTCCCTATTGGTAGAGTGCATAGACTGACTTGTGCAATAGTGCGGCAAGTCCAGACACAAATGGACCGATTGTTGGTCCAAGGAACCTACTGTTGTCCGAGTGGCAGCAGTAAGAGTACAAAAGCGGAAAAGAGTGAAGGGTAATTCCAACTCTCAGAAGAAGGCTAAAGTGGCTGCTGTAGTAGCAGAAGATCCACTTGTTGTACTCCCGGAGGTTACAGAAGATCCACTTGTTGTAATCCCGGAGGTTACAGAAGATTTTGTTTTTCAGCCTGAGCAAGACTCGGACAATGAAATCATCTGGTAGAAAAGTGTCTGTTTTGAGTCCATGTTTACTAGTTTTCTTTCATACAGGTTTTTCGGTCTCTATGTTTCTCTTGAATAAATTATGATTGTATTTCTGCCTATTTGATTGCTCCAAGCACTCTGAGGATGGGTTTAAGACCCGAAACAGCTGGTCTGTCAGTGCTCTACCAAAGTTACATTTGTTATAAAGACACTTCCAACCACTACCAAAACTACTACACATCATACCCGCTATATAATCGCTTGGGAATAGAACCCAAGGATCTTTGATCTTAGTAGCGCCCAAAGCTATTAGCTATGTTGAAAAGCCAAAGAGAAACGAGTTCAGAACCCGCTGTTAAGCAAAGAAGGTTGGAAAAGAGGCTTCCCTCCTTACCAGTACATGGAAAAAGACCTATACTGAAGGCAAGACTGTCATGGACGGTCAAAGGAAAGGATGAAGGTGCCCAAGGGTCTTTCCTGTTTGACACCGGTTGTACAGGAGCTATCCTCAACCAGAGTTTTGTTAGAAAACATGGAATTCCCTTAGTGCGGCGGGATCAACCTCTGACAATGTTTGATGCTCAAGGAGATGTCATGATGGGAGGAGGTGAGTATTACACTCACCCAGTCCGCATGACTATAGGAGATCATAAGGAGACACTCCGATGGGAGGTGGCTACATTGGAAGAAGGAATGACCAGTTACCTGCCAATTAGTTGGGCTAGGAAGCATAACCCGGACATCAACTGGGAACTCAACACCATGAGCTGGAGGAGTGACTACTGCAAGCAGAATTGTCTCCCAGCGGCCACCAAGATTGAACTGATCTCTCCATACCAAATGTTGGAAGAAGAAGAGACAGTCTATCAATTGGTCGGTTCAGTATGGCATGATGAGGACGGAGGTGATATTGCTGAGAAAATACACCACCTATACCGGGATTGGGCTGATGTGTTCAGTCAAGAGAAGATTGAGGAAATGCCGCCGCATTCCCATAATGATTTGAAGATCAAACTCTTGCCTGGCACCGCTCCCCCATTTGGCCCGCTGTACCCATGTTCCGCTCCAGAGTTGAAGGCCCTCCGAGAGTACCTGGACAAAGAATTGTCTTCAGGAAAGATCTCTAGATCTAACAGCCCTGCTGCGGCATCCATATTGTTCATTCCTAAGAAGGATGGTACATTGCGGATTTGTGTGGATTACAGAGGCTTAAACAAGGTCACTGTCAAGGACAAGTACCCGCTGCCTATCATGAGCGAGCTCAGAGACAGGTTGTTTAAGGCCAAGATCTTCACAAAGATAGACCTGAAAAACGGCTTGAATTTGATCAGGATAGCCGAAGGCGATGAGTGGAAAACCGCTTTCAGAACTTGCTATGGACTGTATCAGTATAATGTGATGCCATTTGGTCTATGCAATGCTCCCTCCGCCTTCCAGACAATGATTAATGATGTGCTAAAGGAACTACTGTATGAAGGAGTGGTTGTCTATATTGATGACATCCTCATCTACTCGGAAACTGAGAAGGACCCTGAGCTACTTGTCAAGAAGGTTTTACAGATCTTTAGGGATGCTAAGCTCTGTGCCTCGATCAGCAAGACATACTTCCATGTCCGAGAAGTAGAATACCTGGGCTATCACACCTCGGAAGAAGGAGTATCTATGTCAGAAGACAAGGTGGAGGCAGTTAAGGAATGGCCGGTCCCTGAGAACATCAAGGCAGTACAGGCATTCCTCGGATTTGCAAACTTCTATCGCCGCTTCATTGAAGGCTTCAGTAAAGTTTGCAAGCCATTAACTGATCTCTTGCAAAAAGACAAGAAATAGTATTGGACGGCAGCACATGAGCAGGCCTTTGAAGAACTCAAGAGGCTGTTTACAAGCGGTCCAATCCTTCTTCATTTTGACCCTAGTAGGAGAACGGTGGTTGAGACAGATGCCAGTGATTTTGCCAAAGGAGCGGTGCTCTCTCAGTATGGGGACGATGGAAAGCTACATCTGGTGGCATTCTATTCAAAAAAGTTCTCCCCAGCTGAGATCAACTATGACATTCATGATAAGGAAATGGGAGCTATTGTAGCCTCTTTCCGGGAATGGGAACACATGCTCAAATCCTGTGAGCAGGAGATCACGACTTTCACAGACCACAAGAACTTGGAGTACTTTAATTCTACCAAGGGTCTCACTAGTCGGCAAGCTAGATGGTCTGAAGACCTCGCAGGCTACAATTTTAAGGTTGTCTACAGACCGGGAGAAAAGAATGGCAAGACTGATGTGCTATCTAGGCGCTGGGATCACCGCCTTGGAGAGGGAGGTGAAACTCTGCAGCCGGAGCCACAGATCTTTTTTAGGCCAGGTCAATTGGTTTTGGATCCTGCAAAGCTAGCGGCTGTCAGGGTGAATCAATTGCAGAATACATTCTTAGAGCGCCTATACACGGCTGCTAAAGAGGATAGTTTCTGGCAGGAATTGCACCGCTCCCTGGTTGAAAGGAAACCAAATTTAGACCAGAACTTGTCGGTCAAGAACGGTCTCATCTTCTACAAGAATAGATGGTATATACCCAAAGACAAGAAGCTTCAGATGGAAATACTGTCCGATACCCATGACTCTAAGCTGGCTGGTCATTTTGGCCAATTCAAGACACTAGAGCGGGTGAAAAACAACTTCTTTTGGCCCAACATGGATAAGGATGTTGAGGAATATGTCCGGAGCTGTGACAGCTGCCAGAGGAATAAGACCTCCAGACATAAGAAGTTTGGTATTCTCCAACCGTTGGAGATACCCTATCGGCCATGGACTTCCATCTCTATGGACTTCATTGTGGGATTACCGGAATCTAGTGGGTTTACAAAGATCTGGGTAATAGTGGACCGCTTTTCAAAGATGGCACATTACATCCCTCTTCCTACCCTCAATAAAACGGAAGATTTGGCTAAGTTGTTCTTGAAAGAAGTTTGGAGACTCCATGGTTTACCTGATGACATAGTCTCGGACAGAGATAGCAGGTTCATCTCTCACTTTTGGCAATCTCTCATGAGTCTCCTCAATGTGAAGCTGAAGATGTCCACATCTTTCCATCCCCAAACAGACGGTCAAACAGAAAGAGTTAACCAGACCCTGGAACACTACTTGTGGAGTTATTGTTCATATCAACAGGATGACTGGGCAGAACTCTTGCCTTTGGCAGAGTATACATATAACTCGGCAGTCTCTGAGTCTACCAAGGTATCGGCTTTCTATGCCAACTATGGTTATGAACCCCGAACCAACTGGCCGGCCCTAAAGGAAGGAGTAGAATGGAACAATCCAGCAAGCGAGGTCATGATATCTCAATGGGAATCTATCTGGCAGGCTATGAACGCCAGCTTGGGTAAAGCTAGAATAAGAATGGCTCGGTGGTATGATGCTCATGTACTGGCACCGCCTGAAATCAAGCCCGGAGATGAGGTTATGTTGGACCGGCGCAATGTGCAAACAAAGCGGCCTTTGGGAAAATTGGATCAGAAGAAGATGGGACCCTTCAAGGTCTTAGAAGCTATTGGTACCCGTGCCTACAAGCTCTCTCTTCCCCCTCAAATGGGAATCCACCCGGTCTTTCATGTCTCTCTTCTGGAACCTTATAGAGCACCGGTAGACCCTGAGAGAAGAGTTCCCCCACCGGAACCTGAAGAGATTGAACGAGAACAGAACTGGGTTGTCCGGGAGGTAGCTGATAGCCGGGTCAATAAGAAGAGGAGACGAGTGGAATACCTAGTGCTGTGGGAAGGTTATGAAAACGAGGATGCTACTTGGGAACCTTGGGAGCATCTCAAGAAGAGTGCTGAAGAAGCCCTTCGGGATTTCCATATGAGGTATCCTAAGAAACCCAAGGACAAGCGGATTGTTGGGGTGTAGTTCTTTCCTTTAGGTTTTTCATTTCCTTGCATATTACGGAATTTCTTGTCATATAGAATGGACGGTAATAGAATGGTTATAGATCTCGGAGACCAAGATCCTGGAAGAGGGGAGTAGTGTAACGGAGCCATTTCAACTGTCTGGTGTATGAGTACACACAGGGCCCGGTTACATGCTGAGAGTTATTGTTAGAAGCCAGTTGCACGGTGATATGTAAGTACCGGCAGTGTGGTTAGCTACCAGTTGTTAGAGTAACTACATTCCGGGCGCTAGGAAGAGGATCTATTCATGGGAGCAATGACTGACGAGTCTATGTCTCGCCAGTGACTAGAAGACCGGCCAGAGTGAAGCTCTGATCGCCCTGTGATCTTCTATATTCTCTGAGCATTGAAAGTCCGCCGAAGGGGCAGGGACTATGCTAGGGAAGTCTACAATAAGCGAAAGCTCTACAGCAATGATTAAGCTTACACCTGAGTGGCAGCTCATTCATGCATACCCTCGGTTGTGTGGCAACCAAGGCTGCAGGTGTTACAAAGGCTTTGACTAAGGGTGGTTGCCTTGGGTATCGGAAACACCTGCTAACGTTTAGAGAAAAGCGGGGTAGCGGTGGTATTGTTTCCGGCGCCGAGGAAAGGCTTCACCGGAGCTTAGTAAGGAGTTAGGAGCAGAGAATAGAGGCCTTCGGAGTATAAGTACTCAGGTTCATTCTCGCCCTTCAGTCCTGTTCTCTCAAGTCTTGATCAGAAAGAAAAACCAAGTTCTTATTGGTAGCAGAGCCCTTAAAGATTATTGAGTTCTAGCGATAGTATCCTTGAATAATCTGCAACCTGATTGTCTATCTTGCACGGCCGTCTCTATTCTACCTGATTCTATTTCTCTTAGAGAGGACCCCCGTTACCCATAAGGATGACCCCACCAAGAATGGCTGTTGTGCACGCAGAAATATGATACTCAAGCCCGATTTTCAGGGCGAAAAAGGTATGCTGCAGGAGAAGGTTGAAGAGATGGGGCATATGGTTTTGTTTTATCCAAAGTTTCATTGCGAATTAAACTGGATTGAGTATTACTGGGGAAGGTCTAAAAAGTATGCAAGAGATAACTGTGGATACAGTATCGAGGCATTAAGAAAGGTGGTTCCAGAAGCGGTGGAGTCAGTCACAAAAGAGCTCATTGGCAAGTATTTTAGGAAGAGTCTTCGCATTTTGAATGCATATAAAGATGGGTTTCAATATAGTACACCAGACTTTAATCGGACTGTGTATAAATCAAATCGAAGAGTTAGAGAATTGGATAATTGAACCTGCTTTTCTCAAGTCCCCGCTCTTTTTCCAGTAATGTATATACCACTTTTCTCATATCAATATAAAAAGAAATTCCTCCAACTCAATGGCCGCACATGTTGGTCTTCCGCATCCGGAGTCATACTAGCCTTTTCTCTCACTCCCGTAAATGCTTGGCATGCCCGTAACACAGAGCCCTGAAAGATTATTGAGTTCTAGCGATAATATCTTTGAATAATCTGCAACCTGATTGTCTATCTTGTATGGCCGTCTCTATTCTATCCTATTCTATTTCTCTTAGCGGAGACCCCCGTTACAGCTTACCTGTATTATAAGTTCGCTTAACAATTGACTAGAAAAAGCAAGGCTAGGAAACAAAGAGGACAGGGGCTAAGGTTGTCATTAGAGGAATAGTTATTGATCAAAGATAATCAACAGACGAGATAAGGATGGAGGTGGAGTTACATTATATTGTTCTCTTGGTATGATATCACAAGATCGATTATACAGATGATGGGGATATCTGTATTAAATATAACAAGAAGTATGCCAGAAACGATAAGAAAAAAATAGAGCAGAAAGGAGATACAGGTCAAATATTTATATTCTTCACAATTTTACACAGCGCTGACAAACAACCCTATTAATTAAATGTGTGGAATCCAGAATACCGATTAGATAGGAATCCATGGAAGAATGTGAAAAAGGGATGTACGTGACACGATATACCTTTTCACATCATACTCTGTAGTATACCGCAACAAGATGAAACAAGAACGTCCTTATTTCTGCGGAAGACTTAGAATTTATATGTTAATCCCATTATAGAGATACCCCTTTGAGATAAATTGTGAGAAAACTATCGAAGAAGGCTTATCAGAGCACATGGCAACCACCCAGGTGCTTGACACTGGCTGTACAACGGAGAGTTTCAGCACACAAGAGGTTTACGTTTTGAACTCCATCTTACCGGTACGTTTACAAATGTATTGGTCAACAGTTATATTGGATATCCTCTCACTGCACAGTTATTCATCGTTAGATGCACCTAAGAAGAGATGAAGAGGCTCAAGAACTACGCTAGCATTCCTAACATACACCTATCACCACACTACTATGAGGATAACCAGAACTGCGTAAGAGCGAGAAACTCTTCCAAACTGACAGGGGCACGTGCATCTTTTTTTGAAAATAGAAGACCTAACCCTAACTGACGCGAGATAGCCCAGGTTCCACGTCCCGGACACACAGGTTTAAGAGTTCTGGAACCATACAAGCACTCGGCGCCTTGGACAAGGAAGCCAACCCGTTAGCCTTTGAGGCTACCTTATTGTATTATTTCATAAGACGGAGATCGATGTGAATTTGATTGGTGTAGGGTTAGGTTTGGGGAAATATTCCTTTTGCAATATAACAGATAGGAAGAAACGGAAATCCAAGACTTGGGCGGGTTATGTTGCCTATGGAGTTTGATTCTTAATTTATTGCTGCCGTCTAAGCAATTTGCAGGCAAAGGATGCCTGAAAGAATGGAAGATATTATGGGCAGGGGCCTCAATGGGCCGGGGTCTAACACGGGCCGCCCTGGTGATTTTTCGACAGGCCGGGCCAGGCCGGGCCAGGCCGTAGATTTCATTTGATGGGCCGGGCCGGGCGAGCTTCAAAATTTGGCCCCGGTTAAATAGGTAGGCCCGGGCAAAGTAGCTCATACAATATTAGCAGTTCGAAGGATAGCTTCAATGTATTTCACAGACCTCTATACATTATTCACCGGGGAAGACTGCGGCTTGTTTGACGTTATTTTGTTCCAGTCAACGAACAGATCACTCCAAGTAGATGAACACCCTTAGTTATCCGAGCCTGGGCCTGACCCTGATTTTGATAGCATGAGCCGGGCCAGAACAATCATATCTTCCAGCCCGGACTGACCCATTGAGGCCCCTCATCATGGGTACCGCGAAGCAGGGTCCAGTGGCCGTCTTTCTCGACACCGACATTTTGAGAGAGCGATCTAGCATATTGGTGAAACACTAGCCTAATATATCATTGCCAAGAAAAACGTCGACTCCACCGTCGCGGGGACTGGACCCCCCCCCCCCCAAAGCGGTTTTTTTTTTTTTTGTTTAATTCATTAATTGTATCCCCCCAAGCGGACAAGAGTAAGGAGGAGTTTTGTCTTGAATATACACTAGGAAATACTGAAGAATGTATGACCGAGGATACCTTTGTATCTAGAACGGATATCTACATTTTTGTTTACTGCATTTTACTGACACGAACGAGCTGTATTTATGGAAATTCGAAGATTGTGGATATAATACATGTAGTATTAGACAACATCTAACCGCCTGGAATTAGGAGCTATCAAACGATCCGCAGGTGATTGGTTCCAGTTAAACCATTTCAGTATAATACTCACTTTCATTCACTGCTACCCGGGATCTCTTCTGTTTATGCCCATGAACCTCAGGATAGAGTTCCTCCCCCTCCGCTAGCCACCAGTTCAAAGACCATAACCTTGACTTCAAGCTTTCAATTTTCTCTTTCTACTTCTCTCATCTTGTCCTGTACATCACGTAGTTCTTTCTCTACCGAAGCCAATTTGATTTCTAGCTCATCACCGCGTATGCGAAAAAACCTTTGTACACTAAGCTCCTCGTCCTGAGAGATGCATTTTGAAGGATCTGGAGAAGAATTGGCAAGAGCTCGCTGATGTCTCGGTGAAGCATTTTGACTCAGGGCAGGCCGACTAATAGTTGAAATAGAGTAATCAGATCGAAGCCGTTTGCTCTGTCGCGCTTCGGGGGTGATAGACCGTAACGCGGACACAGGAATGGTCTGTTGAGCTCTGAGAAGACTGGACATTTTCCCCGAATTCTTTGGTCTACTAACGCTTGGAACTCTTATCTGTTAATATATTCCTGCGTGTTATAATTCAACTTGTACTAGGGATGAGCTCAGGTTTTCGTTTCCGGGAAACAAAATTTGGATTATCGTTGCGAAGTGTCTTACCTTTATCCATATCCCTCACATGTATTTCCCCTGCTTCAAACCATCCTCTTCCGAGTCTTCATCGTCACTTCGATCATCGTCATCACTTGTCTCCATCTCTGGTTCCTCCTTTAGAGATTTGTTAAGCCATTTTGCTCTCCTCACATATTCTGGACATGATGGGTCTTCAGCCGACTTGCTGTAGTTAAGCATCCTGCGCCATTGGGAACGAAGGCTTTTCGTATTTCTTTCGGATCTCCCATTGGAGGCAGCATATACGTCCGGACTATTATACGCTAGGACGACGTTATCCCAATCTTTGCCTCTTAGCGGCCGCTCCTGCTCAAGTACTTGGATCAGGTAGAGCAAGTCGTCGACGATAAAGTTCTGCGCACCCCGACCTCTACTTTCGTCTCGACTTTTTCGTGATCTGGTTGAGGACCCCATTGAGAATATAATAACCGGTTTCTGGTTGCCGGAAATAAGTCGTTGAAGGTATCTGTAAGTAATATGGTAGTAAGTGAATATCTATCTCTCAGTCTAGAGCAGAGTCAACGCAGCCCACGGAGGTCATCCAAATTTATTCTGGTATCGAACCAACCGCTCATTCCATGGTTTTATACGTCTGAACCATATAATGTTAGTTATCGGGCGGGTTGTATAGCATAGAAAATATATGGGCGATAGCGTCCAGCTTTTGAATCTAGTCACCAGGCGTATAGGCAGGTAGGTGGACATTGTTTGAATATATTTCGGGTGTTCCGTTAGATGCAGATCGCACCACACCAGAAGTTCGCTGTTAACTTCATTCAATATCTAACTTACGGTAAGCTTTCATCGCGGCTGAAGCTTCACATTCCACACTAGATACATACAGTGTTCAGCCATCTATGATTTAGTGGAAGGATATCAGTAATGAGAGATTCGATTCGACTATCGAGATCTAGATCGATATTCTTAGACTACCATAATACCAGAAACCCTTTTTTTGGTTTCTACGGGTGCGTCACATCGGGGTATTATCCGCCATCACCGTTCAATTACGTTTGACTAGTGTCTTCGTCGCCTCTGTAACATTTATTTCCATTGCATATATCCTTCCCCCGGTGATTAGCGGAAAGAAAGGTACTGAGCCTTATTATCCAAACCCGCAACCATATAGACCTAAACAAGTGTAATTTAGTATATGAAACTCTGCAAGTACGTTCATCTATCACACCTACGAGACACCGTCTACCCTCGAACTCGCTGTTCTCTAAACCCCGACGCTGTAGTGACCATACAACCTTAAGATAAGTTCTACTGTAGATATACTAGATTTAATAATTCCCTTTATCCCAAAATATCACTGAAGAGCCTTGGTTTCTCGCCGGGCTGTCCGGTCGCGAACAATCTTCCCGCGCGGGATGTGATCCACACCCCCGCACCCGGATCCCAGTCAAAGATCATTCTCTTGGGAGCCAGTATACATTACTCCTTCTGAACCGATGGCGATGAATACCCGCCTGCGAAGTGGTCTTGCAGCAGTAATGTAGAGGCCGGCGGGGGAGAGGCCGGCGGGGCTGGCGCATCGCCGGGTACAGATAACCTGACATCGGTTCGTTAGAGACTTAAGATAAAGGTGAACTCAATGACTGACTGGGCATCCTGTTCCATCGAAAGGGAATGGCCGTCCACGGAGCTCAAGATCTGAGATTTTTCATTCTTTTCGATCTGATGTAAAGTTGATCCATGCTTCGGTGATTTTCCTACCTCCAGCGCTCACAACATGCGCGAGAGAATCAAGTTGCTGAAGAGGAAGGTTTTATGCGTATGAGGACGTCATTGCGTCTTGATCGCAAGGTCGAACGAGTACAAACATTGGGGAGTATCGAAAGACACAGGCTTGGCACCAGGGTTAGGGGACCTACATGGTAATGATCATCACACCATATTATCTAGTCGGCGGATATCAGTTCGTTTTGTTCTAGCGTTCCAGTCTTGGGGTTTCCAATACTAAGAATCTCTGGCACAAAGGGTTCCGGATGGAGATTGCGCGTGGAAGAGAGAAACTATGCACACGGGCGTACCGGCTGTGGCGACGACCGCTTCTCATTTTCGCTTAAGCTTTACAACTCGGCATACCCCTGTAAAGCACACATCAAAGTATCCTTCATTGTCTATGCCGCCGATACTCACTTTCTATACCACGCTTTATCTAATTCTTCGAATTCCTCCTCCACTGAAAAACAACACCCGTCTATATCGCCACACATCGACTCGAGCACGGATGTGCCAACGCGTCAGGCAAGCTATTCGCTACACTTCAGAAAAAAGCGCTTATAATTCCTATAGTCGGACATTCATTCGGTCTTAATGCCGTTCGGCAACCTGGATGTTTCTTTTGGGGCATGAATCCCGGTACTCGTCCGGCGAGGGGGGAGAGTCTAATTTATTTTCTGAAGCAACAAAAAGAATATCAAGGCAGTTCGATTTGTAATGGACGGTGCTCTAGCCATTAAAAAGGGGGGGGAAGTGGTATTGGTCGGATCGTGTGGCTGGATACGTCGCAGAATGATGATCGGTGTTCCAGGGAGGGGCCCCCAGTACCGCGCGCGCTTTGCCTTTTTTTCGAGAGGTGATATAGCGAAGAGCAGAGGAATATAACCGTTTCAATCTTTCTATGGTCCACTCCGATAAGAGCTACATCGTCAATCTATGGGCCTGGTGATGGATATTCTTGTTTGAGTAAGGAGCAGAACCGTGGAAGCTGTTGCGGGCAACTTCTAGTTTTTATCAGCGCTCGTCTCATATATACGATATTCACGACGTAGAAGCGATGATAAATACCTCTATTTCAAGAAGTTAAGGACATACCCGTAAACACTCGATCGATCACTGTCTTGGCGAAGTAGCACGAAAGCATGTGGGAAGGAGATCTTTTTTCATATGGTGCTCCATCTGCGTAGGCATTCTGTAGAAAGATCTGCCGAGGGGTAGTCCATCTATTAAACAATGGATGCCATTCAGTAGGCCTAGGTTTATTAAAGCAGATGTTGTATCCTAGAAACCGTCCGGTCAGCTAGGCACGAATGGGGTGGACCCGGTCACCTAGATGCGTACCCATAAAGGGGTCGTGGATAGTGACATATAGGTCTGCGGACAATGGCAAGCGTTATGGATGGTACAGAAAAGAAGTGCTGGCTATCAGAGACTCAATGTGGGTTTTGGGTACTTCTCTGTGGGTAAGGTGGTGAGATATATGGGTGTCGATCTAGCAAAAGGTACCTGTGTGGCAACGCAACAAGGCCTCATCAGTTTGCTACCGCACTCTACAGGCTCCAATTGATAGAACCAATGACCTAAAAATTAATTTCGGGCTCTCACCAAGGTTCTCTGAGCTTTAGGAAAATTTGGAGCTTATCGATTGTGTGGTTCTTCGGAATAAGGATTTGGCTGTGCGGACGGTTTTCCTAGAACGACACCCATATGATATATCAGCGATATTTGGGGGATATAGGCCTGTCCTAGAGTTCTGGCTGTGGTGACATAGACTATTGTTTGCTTAACCGAGATTCTTCCCTGGGAAATATAATCAAATAAGGGAAAATCTGGATGGCTCTGTTTCTCGTGGTCACCAAGAAGACAATAGGTCTGAAAATACAAAGCAGCAAACGGGTCCTCATGGGCCTTTTTCAATTGTAAATACAGTGAAAAGAGATGGCTAGCAGGATATTGACGTGAGATACAATCAAGGAAATCCACCTGAAGCTGTGAAACTATCCCGGAGAGTAAATAGAAAATGAGAGGAAGAAAAAAAGGAAAAAAGGAAAAAAGAAAAGTGAAAATGACCTTTAACGAAAAGTTGAACTATTGCCAGCAATCTCAGATGCCACAGACCCCATTGAACTATCCCGTAATTTGTCTCCTCCTAGGTCATTTTTGACTAGGTATATCATTTCGTATTTGGATGTAGGGTTGAGAACCAGTGGAAAGTGAGGGCTTGATTATCATCCATGTCAGTTACACAGGCGTACAAGCAAATAGTGACTTCTGCGATGAAAAGGAACTAACCTTGCTACTTTCCGGGCCGTGCATCCCACTAGTATTCATGTCCAACTTTAAGAGGAACTCCACCCTCCTCTTCATCCTTATCATCCTCCACGAGAGCCATCGCCTGCAGCTTAAGCTTCAATTCGGCTTCGAGATCGTTCTTGGCCTTGACGGCAGCATCCGCCTTTTCGTTCTCCTCCTTTTCCTTCTCCTCCTTCGCCCTCTCTTCCTCGATGGCTTCGGTAAGCCCCTTAATGTCTTTCTCAAATCTCTTCATAATCAGGAGACACTTCTGCTCCTTCCTCTTTAGCTCCGACAAAGCTGCAAACCGTTCCACAGGATGAGCTGCAAGATCATCGGCAACACGACGAGTAGTAACTTCGTGCTCGATCAATGCGTTGCGGTAGTGATAGTGGAGGGAGATAAGCTGAACACGGTACTTGGTGAAGATCTCGGATTTGGCGGGCCTGGTGCCGAGGTCGAGGTGGGCGGACGTAGAGCCGGTGCCAGAGCTAGGCTCAGGAGCCTTGGCAGGCTGAAAGAACGGGTGATTGAATGCTTCATCAGAAGAAGGAGAAGGTGGAATATCAGGACCAGATAGGGAGAAAGGATGGAGCGGCAAGATAACCTTGACAGCTCCGGGAAGAGGAATAGCTGATGCTGACATCTTGGACAACGAGTTGGATTTTAAATGGATTGAAGTATTGGTGTGATGGAAATGTGTGTGGTTTTGGAGGGCTGTCAGGATGATGGATTGAGAAGGAAGGGAAAGGGAGAAGAGTAGTGATTTGTGGGTGGCCTTGGGACTCGGAATGACATAAGTCAACCTCAAATAAACTTTGAGCGCCTCGGCTCTGGGAGGGGTTGACCCCTCTGAATTGCGTTACGACTAAACACTTTCTCATACCCGAGAGCCTCAATTAGGACAAGAACCGCAATAACTGAAAATCCATGCTTACATCCATAGTACATGTAACGTACGGGCGTCATTTCTCCCAGGTTGAAATATTTATAATCCCAGCGACACATCGAAGCATGACTGAACTCTGCACTATCTTCCCCAATCAAACATGTTAAACCTCATGAGATATATCATATATGTATACCACACCGCGGGGTGCTCGTTCTTGGATACGTGTCCGGATCAACTAATCAATGAACCGCCTCATGAATGAAATAAACGGAGGAGAGAAAAAGGTGAACTACCTCAACTCCGAGTGAGATACCATGAAGCGAGTGAGTGAGTATGATGGACTCTGGGAGTATCAAAACCACGGTCTGTCAGCAGCTTTGATCCAATCATCCACCTCAAAGCCCCAACAACTAATAATTGTGTCATAAACTTTGTCGATATCTGGGCTCCCCTGTTTGCCGCTGTGCAGGGTAGAACAGGTCTTGTATTTAGAACTTGAAAATTTATTATTACTATGCAAATGAGCAGCCTTGATCAACCATGATTACCCAATCAGGGGGTTCTTGATTGAAATGAGGATAAAAGCAAAGCATTCGAGATGGATACAAATAGTAAAGAAAGAAAAGAAAATAGTTAGGACATATTCAACATCGCTTTATCATTGTCACATGGGGTTTTATTTCGTCAATACGCATTGAGCATCTTCACCCTTCCACTTGCTCAATCTGAATAGCCTGGGCCCAGAAAGGTCCAGGGCTCATCTTCTCCTGTCTCCTCTCTCTTCCTCCTTGCTATCCACGCCTCCTTTCTCGTGACATCCTCTCGTACCCATTCGATCAGCCTTAATGTATTGGTGTTTTCATCCCTGGATAGGTTCCACTCTTTCAGGAGCATCTGTTTTTTCATCCGCATCAGTAGACTCCATGCGGCGGCGGTCGAGCTCTTTCGATAATGTAATTCCGGACTCGTATCGCTTGTATAACATTTTAAGCTTTTCGTCTAGGTGGACAAGATCCGCATAGAGTTTTGTTTCTTCTTGGTTTGACATTGGTAGATAAACTAGAACAGGGAATATGATAGGTATGTGGAACTGAAATCTGAAAGGTAACTGTTAGTACTCTATTTCTTCTAATCGAGATGTGGTACGTGATCTTACTATAATATAAGATACAGGTGAATGATTTGAGGTATGTGGATGAGACGAGGATATGGTTTAGGGAGGTAAGGTCGACGTAGAGAGAGGGTTTATATGCACAGAGGTCCTATAGAGGGCCGGTGGCGAGCTATGGAATGGAGAGAGGCGGATAAGTAATTAAATTAGACTGCTATATTCTGCCTCCTGGTTTGTTGGGCTGAAACTATAGTAGTTATATCACGGCGTACCTTTAACCTCCACATTCCAGTACTATTACAGCGTCAGACGCTATCACTCGTAAAAGCTCGTATATCTTCAATATCCGCAGAACAATCTTGCAAAATCAGTCAAGAATAGTATAATTATAATATACAGTCTAACATTGAATAATGTATCTGCAGGATCATACCAAAGATCCTGAAGCTAGACCTATGTAAGGCTTGTTATCCTTTGCTATTACATTAGCTTGTTTACCAGTCTAATTAAGATATGAGGTAAGAATCCTTTCGCTACATGTATTTGAAAAAAAAAAAAAAAACACCTGTCATGTTGTCAAGAACTGCTGGTAACAGTGAAACCAATTAAAGCCGTAGTAGCTTACAGCACATAGACATCGGACCTCTCCGATTCGTGATCAACTAGACAAACATTATGTTCCTCCACGTTGGTACCATATCGTTTTTACCTCAGCACGGGAGGGTTCCTTCTTCGTCAAATCGGTGGTGAAGTGATTATTCTATGCGTTTCTCCAGATTGAATTGAGTTATGTTCTCTGTGATAAAAAAGCCAGTGATGAAGATGCAGTTGCCAATTCTATCGGTTCCCGGGCTATCTTTATACCAGTCCTGTATGTGCGAGGTTGCCAGTAGTTACCAAGATTATGTTTCCAAGAGGCCTCATACCTACTCCTATGTGCGTAGCAGAGATAGAAACCATCTTTCTGCTAGAAAATCTTGTCTAACTGATTAAATGACTCATCAACTTTCACCCGATCTCTCTTTATCCTTCGTTACTTTTCTTCACAAGACAACGTCTGTTTCTGTATGTAGAACAAAAACATTGCTGTTACGGCTCATTCACGAAGACGGTTCACTCATGAGGTTTCGTGGGTGAGCCAGTTCATTCACGAAGTATTGATTATTCCGGAGAAAATATTTGTATCCTCGTGAGCTGAGCTTAAAATCGAATATATCCCCACCCCCTAAAGACCGTGGTGTAATTCTACGTTGGATCAGTTACAGCGTACTCCTCCGGTGTATGGGGGTTTCTTTTTGCTGTGTAGGCAATCACGGTCGAACCCTGTTCCTTATTAGTTTACCACTGATTTCGTGAGTGGACCGAAATTTTCCTGACTGAGCTGAAATATCCGACATCTATCTCACTTCCTGGATCAACTAGTTCACTCACCAAACCTCGTGGATAAACTAGCCTAGTGGATGGGCCGTAACATTGCTTATTCTCTTTTGTGTTTGTTCATTTCCTTTCATTTCAACTTATCTGATATTCTATGGGGAAGACATCCTGGGCAGCCACTGAATGGTTGTTAGATTTTCTTACTACAAATAGTTGGAAAATGTGGATATCCTAATGGAGAATAGGCCTTCCAAGGTTATACATAAAGTGTGAGTTGACTGTCTCTGTTGGCAGCAATGGATCCAATGGTTCAAACCGGTTCGTATGTGAAGAAGAATTGCATCAGCTCTACCGTTATCATTTAGTTCAAAGCCCAAACTGCACCAACCGTATGCCCCAGATTTTTGTACGGTTTGTACTACATATACCATGGTGGTGCAAATGCTGAGCTTATCAATATACTTTATAGTCTCGCCAAACAATATGGAGATCTCCGAGCCCCTACATTGCCCCAACCCCTATGCCAAACCCCCCTACTGGATCCACAATGTGCATTCTTCTGTCACAGAGAGGAGGTCTTAATTTCGAGTGATGTATAGTGATTAGGATTGGCTAATTCCGTGCTTTAATGGTAATATGGTTTGAACCGGTTTGAATAGAGTCTCGTCCCAGTTTAACCATCGGGTAAAAGCGTCACAACTGCACCAACTATACCATTATCATTAGCGCTCAAACCGGTTTATACCATTAAACCGATGTACCGCTGGATTCATTGGCTGGCAGTTTCTACCGGTATGTAAACTATCATTGCTATCGTACCATATCAAAATCTCACTCCAACCCCGCTAAGGCGTCATAACACTTAAACAACACCCCAAGGTCCCCATCACACCATTCACTCCATTGACCCCGAGAAACAATGGCCATAAATCCTCTTCTCTCCTTCCGCCCTCCAGGTCAGGATCTTACTCTCAAGAATATTGATATCCGCCAGGATGTCCTCCATCTTACACGCTATCCTCGCTTTTTGTTCTACAAAGCACTCCGCGGGTTTCCTGCCCTCGAGCCGGTCTAGGGTTGCGCAGTACTTGTCATATTTTCGCTCGAGCTTCGAGATCTTGGCCCGCAGATACTTTATTTCGCCGGCGGGGGACATGAGCTGGAGCGGGGATTAGTATGGAAGTATATGTCTCTAGTTGCTTAGATCTTGGAGGTGTAATAATATATAGAGGTGTAGAAATGATCGGTGTTATAGTCGATTAGGGCAGAATCGGACTACTTACTGATATTGATATTTTGAACTACAGGTTAAAAATTAAAATATTAAGTTGGATGCAAGTCTCTCAATATTGTGATATAATGTCCATACAGGCACTGGTGAATCATAGAATCCACAAGATATCTATTGAGCCGTGAGAGGTTCAGTTAGCAAAGTTATACCGGCAGGATCATGACAGTTTCACATCGACCTATCAGCGATCAGGTTGGGGGATGGAGTAGCATATACCTAGCCTCGCCGTCAGAATAGCCGGGATATGGTTGTCTGAATCAATAACCATCCAAGCTTACTATATACAAGGCTACGGATCGGGACGGTGGCTGCGCAGCGTGGACATAAAAGTCTTGCCTCTGTTTCGGCATACCGAGGGGGTAACATCGAGGATCGGGAGGAGAAAAATTCTGAGATGTACCCCTGTACCGCGCTAGCAAATTGTGGGGTAAGCTAGCCAAGCCTACATGCCTCGGCATTTTCGGGTCGTCCGCGAGGATGGGGTTATTCGCGCACGCGGGGGGTTAAATGGGACATCGCGGAGGTTGATTGGGAATGGAATAGGGCTCAGAGGAGTAGCGAGCGAGTCGGCGGGATGTGTTACATTCGGCTTTATGTGTGGCCTCGGGGTGGCGGGGTGGCGGGGTTTGGCAAGATCGGCTAACTCCAGCGAGCTGATAATAGAGGACAGAAAAACTGTCGGGGGATGAACCACCGGTTCCTGCCTTTCTAATTTATGGCTTTGTGGGCTTTAGTTCTACGTACGTGGAAGAACGGTTCTATTCCCCTTGGCTTAGATCTAGAGCCAGTTTTTCTCGGTTAAAAGGTTACAGCAGAGAAGTATGTACATACGATATCTTCACAAAGTAGAGGAGCATCGGTCCACGATGTCTAGGATCTTTAGCTCAATGTGTTGACGGTCTATGAGGCGGGAGTTCATCCGAGTAACGACGATGCAACCGAGAACCACGAAAGAATCCAGGAAATCACTTTGAAGAATACAATCCGTGAATATTGCCTCGCCCCGCTTTCCGGGCGGCGGTTTGTGCGTTCTTGCTGCCGCAGGTTCTCACCTCGTTAATTGTAGGCTTATATATAGACCGCCCACGCTGCCGGCTCACAGTGTTCGGCTATTTGATCAGAGACAAGAACTGCTCGAGTTTTGGAGCGAAATTTATTCCCATATACGCGGAGGTAGGGGCCCGGTAGTCAGCCTCCCCGCATGTTAATCGGAGCATAAGAGTTTCCTTGCACAGCTAAAAATCAAAGTCAATTCTCATTTATTCTATTCTATTATTCGGCATTCCCACAAATTTGACCAACTACAATCTTAGCACTACCTCGCATATCTTCTTCTCTTAAGTATCGCAAATAGGTTCTAATACTTCTTCCTCTCAATCACCATTTTTAAATTGACAATATACATCAACTCCTCCTCCATTTCATCGATCTCGATTCTGATATAGTTCATATCCCTAGAGATCTTTCTCTGCTCCTCCCGTAGTTCCACTTGTTCGCCGAGACCTACACGTCGTCTACCGCAACACAGGATAGTCCTAATGTCAGAGTTCATGGCGAGGAGGCCCCTGTAGATGGCTCGCCTGTTGCTGATCTCGTCACTCATTTTTTCAATCACTGCGGTGAAGAGCATTATGGTGGATTGTGGCTTGTAGTGAGTGTGAATCTTAGACTTTTGTGTGGGTTTCTTGGTTCGTAATGCGGTGATTGACGGGGTTGATGGGTTTGTTAATGAGAGACGAAGGTATAGACTACGATGCAGGGAATATATAGTTCCGGTCGGAGCTTTCAAGATGTGCGCGAAGAATGAGATGAAGCTTGAACTGGTTCTGCCACTTTGAATGGATAGTTTTGTAGTGGACCTTCACTACCATGAAAATCTTCTTGCATGAAAGGTTCAAAGGTTCAAGATCTCAACAATGAAGCTTTGATCCATTCTTATTGAAATCGCTTTTCAATTTAGGGGAGCGGTATCTAGAGCAGAATTTGGCCTCTATAAAAGCGGTGCATTGACAATTGACGGAATATTGAACGACAGTTAGGGAGCTCGGCCTTTCCCCCGGGGTGAGAGATGATACCATAGTTTCTCCGGAAATGCGTGATCGGAAAATTGGCAGCTTTATATTTTTCGAATGATAGATTAGCTACTCCAGTCTCCAGGGCATATAAAAGACTAAATAAGAACACCCAACACCGGAGGGGAAGCTCTATCTTTGCTTTGATGCCGCAGGTATAGAGCTATATGTGACACATTCTAGGATTTCATCCAAACTCAGAAAGCAGTGAATAAAGCTCTGATCGTGGTCACCGGGTCTCACTTGATCCAACGGCAGATCAATTGGTTTACTCTTACCCCGTCCACTGCACGTGACCAAAGGTGAAACCACCATATATTCGCAAAACCAGGACCTCAAACGCTTCGGTGAAGCAGTGACGGGTCCGGTACGGTTTTAACAATCCGACTCGACCGCTATGAACGCCCTCCGGGCAGTTCGTTGATTTTGATCTTAAATATTTTCATCTCCACGCATGCTGATTAATACTGTCTAGGCCAGCTAGTAGCAAGGCACACGGATAGAGACCGCTCCGCCGTTACGGGGCCAAAATCGCTGCTGAATGCGCGGATGGATCCGGTACGTCTTCAGTGCCGCGGTTACACCGATAGGTGTTCTATCGTGAGATATCCGCCGTTTCCTGGCGGTATATTCGTTCTGCCTGTTCAGGAATCGTGGCCAATAGAGAGGTAGGGATCGCCCGGAGGTGGAAGAATTGCTAGCAGCCGCGCTTACATTATCATGACATAAGGATTTGGAGAAAACCTAAGTTTTAGACTGGAGCGCACCGCCTTTCCGGAGAAAGCTACGCACCAGGAGATTTCCATAGGGAGACTTGAACAGCTTCACGAGCCTTGTGTGTTGTTCCGAATAGCCTAGATGGTCGGATGGGGTCCGCAGCTCGGAGGTGCCACAGGCTTCAGTCGATATTTTAGGCAAAGTTGTCCTCCCGGGCGAAGTCACGATCGCAACCCCACGAATGCCCTACAACCTCTGGAAAAAAATCACCGGCCTTGATTTCGCAATAGTGCATTGGGCGGAGGGTGTTCAGTTCGGCTGGAGTGAGCCTGCGTCGGGCGCGCCGGCAACTTCCGCAGAGCCGCATGTGCTTGACATACTGGAAACAACTCCATTCCAGCGATCGACCAGCAGAAAGTTTGCGTCGCAATCCAGCGCTCTTCTCTTCGACCCTTCATGCAATTCTATTCCCTTCACTTCTAATTTTTCTATGCGGGGTAAAACTCGGCGCGATAAAAAAAAAATCACCTTTGGACAGAAAACAGCATATACCTTTCTTTCACCGACAAATTTGCTGAGACTTGAACGACAACCATCCAGCGCACCCTACACCCCGCGTTTTGTCAGTCAAAAGCCGCAATCGCCGCAATCGCGGCAATCTTGTGATTTTCGAGAGCTATACGGGAGCACAGAGAGTAAGACAGTGGCTAAAAGGTGACTAGTTACAGGAACTGGTGTCATCCGGGGGGGGGTGTCGGAGATGTCTAGTTTATACGAGAACAGGTTCGTTATCCATAGATGAGGTCCACAACAACCAATTCAATCATCACCATTATATTGACGTAACACCTCACTAATAGCTACAGCACGCTTCCACCGAGCAAATATCGCGCAGCTCGTCTTCTGGTACTTTCCATGTCTAGAGACCTGAGTTTGACTTTGTGCTAGACGGTCGGCGGTAGCGGCTTTTCCCACTTCGCTTTCCTTCTCAGTATACTAATTACCTCATATTTTATTCATCAAAGCCCCAACTTAAGTCCCCGGCATCAAGAACAATAATGTTCTAGGGCATATCGGAAGAATGGCCACCACTGAAGATTCTGCAGGGAGGGGAGAACGTTCGCGCCACGGTGCAAGTATTCACTTACTGGAGCACAAACATCATAACACCACCATGGCACAGAGAGGAACTACACACTTCCTTGAGAAATAGTAAGGTTATAAAATCTATTCTCATTGTTGATAAGATCTCAACTCTCAATATCTTTCAAACAGCGGGCATAGGTAACTTCCTTGACTCAACACCGTCGCTCTCACCCCATTCCCGTTATACCAAGCTTTCCTTCCGCTATGGCTAAGAATCTCAGGATGCCTATTGTCAGAGCAAATCCGCCAATCAAAAAGCGAAAGTATTCCGAGCCCGATGTTTCGGGAAAGTCCGCATCGCCAACAAAAAAGGTCGGTGATCTTAAGGATACGATCATAGGCTTAGAGAAGGAACGGAAGAACATCTATTCAAGATACCAGAACCTCCGTGTAGAGGCTGCACGAGGCCGCGAACTTCAGCTTCTGTGCGAGCAATATACAAAGAATTTGCCGGAAGACAAATTTACTGCCGCAGTTATCAGCAACCATATCTATGAGCTGAATCAGGAACGCATTAAATTGGGCGTTGATTTGATCAAGTCGTGGCAGACGATAGAAATTCTGAAGGCGAGCTAAGAGAGATTTGGGGGACGGTGAAATTGAGATTTAAAGGGATGCGGAAGTAAGGACAATTTAAAAAAAAAAAAAAAAAAAAGGAATCTGTTTGCAAAAATATCCCGTATACTTTGTCTTCTTTTCGAAAACATTGTCGATGAGAGTAGAGCTTTGTCTAGAATACGGATAGAAGTCACCGGGTCCAAATCTATGTAAACGAAACATCATTTTTTATCGCCGGATAACATTTTTACCTAACGCACGATCTGTCCAGAAGCGGGGCCACCACCGAAATATTCTGACCTCCGCCTAGCCCATTCTTTTGTAAAACTATGGACGAGAAAACACCTGAACCTACGGGAGAAGTTACCCCCAAGCTTGCTCTATTACAGTTTAATGATGTGGATTGTTACCGTTCACACTTTGCCGGAATGCCAAGTAAACCGGGGAATTCGGTAATCGTAACAAATATTTAAATATTTAGAATGGTGAATACCAAGTAAAAAAGGCAGGTGTATGTAAGGCGGGAGTGATATAGAGAAAGCGGTGACATTCTGGAAGAACTGAAGACTGAAAAAATCTTAATGCGGACTGGGAATTGTTAACTATGTGAAAACCTGGCAAACGAGCGATGTTGTATGGCGTTGACACGAGCCGAAATGCCATGATAGCTTGGGCACTACATTTAAAAAGTAGCTGAACTTGGTGAAGATCCATCACATCTGTACTCAGAGCCTAATGTATGGCGCTGTTGTTGAGAACATTTCTGGATGTACGATAAATTGCGCCTTTGCTTCATTTTGGCGCATGACCGACATCGAGAGCTATCAGTTGACTTTGTCGGAGTGAACTGCGTATTTAAATTTCATGAAGTAAGCGGACAGATTCCTTTCTCAAAGACAGGACTTGAGATTGAGTGGCCAAAATCTTCCTTGGAAATAGAACTTCGAGGTAAGATATGTAAAGGAACCGAGTGATATTCCGTGATGCGAACACGCAGCATCAAACATAGCAAGGTTTTCGCATCTCAGCGGGTATAGAGATCTAATCAGAGTTCAGGGACCACAAAGAACAATTCTCCTTGTAGAATAATTAGTGTCTAACGTATTACTACCGGTATATTGATGACCTTGGGTGAAGCGGTTACATGTTTTTCTCGCTCTTGTTAACGGTTCCAGAAAAGCACATGAACGCAGCTCGAGCGACCTAAGTGCACTAACGCCAAACATTTGTCAGATTTTTCCTCCATCTCAAAGACACACAAACATCAACGCCCAGCGAGGGGACCAACAACCCCCACCAACCACTCCCGTCCTATCCACCAACACGGCACCTAGCTATCGTACTTCTGTGCTGCAATCTCTACCGACACGCGGTCACAATGGGGAACTCACAATCAAGACGCTGGCAGGAACAGAATCTCCCGCCCCACCTGGTGAACAATCCAGAAGTAATTGCCTTCCTCGCCATCACCCTCCGCGACGACGGCAGCAGCGCGGACTCGGCAGAGCCTGTTCCTGTCTGCGGCATTCCTTTCAAGGAACTATCTTCCAGCTGGCTGGTAAGAACTTACCCCCGCTTCCGAACCCGAATACTGGTACAGGGGACTAACGAACTATGCAGGAAGCAGCGAATCAGATCCAAAAAGCATTCCTCCGCGATGCGCCTCCTATCTATGTCCTTTATCAGAACAAGCGCATCACTCCCCATCATTGGACAGTAAAAAAGTCAAAAATGGCTGGGAATGTCGCCTTCGCCTACTTCGAGGAGCGCACGCCCTACCAGTTTCTTGACACTAGAGTCCTCGTCAACGCAGCGTTTGAGGTCAACGTCACTATTATTTCGAGCCCCTTTCCCGAAATCACTTTTCCTCCTCTCAAATTACAGATCCTTCCCGCCTCCAGCGTCGAGGCTCTGCGTTCGCTGATTGGGAGATGGATTGAACTGGAGGTCAAGGAGGCGTTGCAGAAGGATCTTAGATTGAGTGAGGAGACGCTGGTCTTGCATATGGTGCAGAAGCAACCGATACATCTTCCTACGGGTAGAAGAAGAGCTGCATCGTCTCCTGCAAGAAGTATGCGAGTTGAGGGGATGACCTATGACATGCTTTCCCAGTCTGCGCTGGCTCAGAGCGGGGTAGGAAGAGCTAGCGTTGAGGCAAGGCGTGCCAGGGCGGAGCCAGTAATGCTGCCACAGACTGGCAAAGTTGGAGAGTGGACTGGCTCGTCCTTGTGCGTCTGCGTATTAGAGGTTGGGTTGAACTGGGTTTGAAGATGATATCTAATAATAGTGGGCGCTGGCGGACACCGGGATATTTCATTTACCTTTCCTTTTCTCTTTTTACTTTCCCTCCGTCTCCCTTCTTAGGTGTTCCGAGCCTCTGGAGGACGGAGGTCCAAACCATGGAGGATGGATTATACACTAAACTCAGATCCCCTTGTAGCTCGCTAACACCTCTATCTTGCGTATATCTTATCTTATTGTTCAAGCTTAGAAATAATAACCTCAGCTCTACTACTTTCTAAGCGCCTTTCTTCTAGTCTCCCCTGACCTTAAAAAAGGAGATGAGTGTTTCCAGGCAATACACTACCCTAATCCGGTATTGAAAATAGCTTGCGATTACATATCCGGATGTATGACAGAGTTGCTCCATTTCATTGTCATTTTTTTGAGCTCTTATTGGATTTGTTCGAATAATAACTCCATGTCTTAATAGCATTTTTACATGGATAGTAGGACGAGCTGAGTTCAATTCGGTAGAATATAATCGATCACGTATATTTTGAAGCAGATAGTGACAGCTCTGGTCTTGACTTATATTTATCTTGTTGCTAGGGAAAAGAATGATGTTCCGGAGGTTCTGTATCACGTGATGAAGATTTCCGCGAAAGGCAAACATATAAATAAAACATAATCATATCAATAAAGGTCGATGAAATAGGAGCACCGTTCTATGGTACGAGAGAGACAGGGTGACAAAATACCGGGTGGTATGGACAGTAGATAGAAAGGACTCCATGGAAGGTTTCCACCGGAGATATATATCTAGAAATAAACTAAATTTACAGGTGATGGCATGACACGGTATCTCAAAGATGTAATGATTAAAATAAGAAACGTGAAAAACCGCTTTCCTTACTTATCTTCATAAGACTGATAGAACCTCTTTCATTTTTTAAGACGGCACAGGGTTTCTAGATACACTAGGATTTGTCAATATGCCTAGGATTCTGAGAGCTGCTGGAGAAAGTACTAGTTCAGTAAAAACGTAAACTTAAAATGTCCACTAGAGCATTGGAAGTAGAACTAGTTCCCCCATACTCGTATACCGACCAAGACGATATGGGGAGGTGATTGGTCATAACGCGTCAAAGACACAGGGCTTTCCGCCAATCCTCAAGCACTCTCCGCATTTATCAAGCTTTACGAGCGTTTCCTTCTCTGGATCCCGGATCCAACATTCCCTGCCGCTCCTTTGGCAACGTTGGCAAGGAGGATCCCTCAGGATACTGCAGGCTCTCTTTCCACCCACGCTAATCTGCCCGTTGATGTACATGCACCTGGCGATATGCCAGCTGATGTCATGCCAGTCCATGGCCTCGCGCCAAACGGGTGTACCATGCCTGTGCCAGCTTGGGGTTAGTTCATGTGATGAGCGTGTCAAGAGGAATGTAAAGCTGGCGAACATACACCCGGCCACGGGTTGTTGAAAAGCTGCGGGCAGTGCTGGTATTCAGCACCACAGCATTGGGTACGAAGGGTTCTGGGGCTTTGGCTTCCTTGATAGCATCGGAGGCATCGGGATCGACGGGATCCTCGACGGCGCAAGGGCCGTCATTTTGTTGGGCAGTGGCAGATGAGCTGGGAAGTGAGGACATGTGCTCGGGAAGTGCACCGCTAGTAGTGCGTTAATACCTTTTGGAATGGGGAATGATATCTTGACTATTTCAGTCCCTGTATATCGTTTCAAACTTGCGTCACTGCAGTCTTTCGAGGTTTATTCCGAATTTGTTAATCGTGTTCTTATGCCTGGCGCGTCTTAAATTAGGTCGACCTCATAAAGGAGTGTGATATATGTACCTCGAAATGCAAAAGAATATTAATCCCAGGAACCCGAGTAAGTCAGCAGTCGATGGCCAGTTTGAATCTGAAGTTTAGTCAAACCCAGTCTCCTATCTTCGCACATGGTTCATTTCCAAACATCTGAAATTAGGCGCGTACTGCACCCAAGCTGCGAACCTTCGACGTTAACTATCAATGCACGCCGAGAACAACGACATAATCTGAAATACCCTACCAACTACCATTAGTTTCTCTCTGTTTCCGCCTCGATACCTTCCGTGACCTCAAAAAACTCCCAAAGGGTCTGTGCACCGCATAGATGCATAGCTATATCACCATGCGTAACCCCCCTTTCGAAGGATATGCTATTGCTCCTGGCATCCTTTATCCACACCTCATTGACTCGAGCCTGCAACGACCACCGTTCGCGTTCATCAATTCTCTTAATCAAAAGGCCTATCACCCAAGGTTGCTAGATCCCATGCCCATTTTGCCACTCTGCAGGCAGCGAGAGGAGCGAGAGGAGCTCCTCGTTCCCGATGATTATCCGGTTATCACTTATGATCATATCACCAACAAACCCCCACCAACCTCTAGCACCTCTTATGTTAGCATCAACAACCCCCCAGAAACTGTTAACACCGCTTATGTTAGCATAAACAATTCCACACCATCCGTTTCCTTTTCTGAGCCTATCATCACCAGTCCCAAAATATGTGTGAGCGCTTCCGATCTCCTCACTAAGAACCACCCAACACATCTCATCCTTTCCGACCAGTCCACCATCAACCCCCCAACCCCCGAACCAACAGCATCAGAGCGCAGCGAAACCTATGAGTACTATCTCACCAATCACCCCCGCCCGAGCCGCCAAATGATTCAACAGTGGTTCTTGCACACCTACCAGCGCCACATCTCGACGGCACAAGTCAATAGTATCATCCACACCCGCGGCGGAATCCCACAATCCCGCTTCTCACACCGTAGAGACATCCCGAGGAAGGACTTCAACTATGAAGAGGCGATGGAACGCGAACGAGTTGTGGTCTGGGGATGGTATACCCAGATACGGGAGCTTGAGGGGAAGAGGCCAACCATGAGCAGGGTTGCGTCTTGGTGGGAGGAGGCCGATGGAGGGAGAATGTTGAGTATATCGACTCTGTCGGCAATTTTAACGAAGATGAGACAGAGACAAGACGAAGCTGCACAGCCCGAGGAAGCAGCGAAAGATCAGGACGATACCAACGAGCTGGGATCGAGCAACGATGAGGAGGCGAAGTCGGGAGCTCCCGAAACGCGGCAGGCCACCAATCGCTTGAAGAGACCAGCGCCGGAGGACTGGGAAGACGACGACGACCTTGTCGGCCCATGGTGTAAGTCTGGGAAAGAAGCCGAGGAAGTTCTTGAGGAACTTCTCCAAAAGAAAAAGAGGACACGGCATATGTATCCCGGTACCTACATGGAGTCTCTTAAGCCACAGGCGAAGCGCGTGAGGGTTACTCCGCCACCAAACCCTGCTCAGGTCACCGGTGAGCACCTCGACATTGAGACACGGATGTGGAATTGGTGGCGCAGGCATCGTGACAGCAGGCGTATCTCGACTGCCAATATTGTTACTAAGATCAGGAACTACTGGACCGAGCTGGAGAAGAGTATGCATTCCATCCTGTCATATGTCGAACTTTAATAGCACTAACTTTACACAGCTGACCCTGTTCCTGACTTTAACGAGTTCGCGGAGTCCTTCAAGATTAAGTACAACCTTGTAACTAATGAAGGAGGTCCTTATCCAGCTGATATGGTGAGTTGTGAAGGAATCCTGCCCTATGGGAAAGATACTGATCGTTCCCTAGCTTGATATGTACCAGGAGAATGGTCCCACCATGTCCACACAGGTCAGAGCTCGTCGAGTCCCTGGCCAAAATAGGCCATGGTGCTAGGTCTCCCATCCTGGGTCCCTCGTTCAACCGCAGCCTTGCCTGTAATCAATATGAGAATAGTTTATTCTCTCTTCCCATGTTCCTCTTGATCAGGAGCCCATACACAGACCGTGGGTAGAATCATTTGGCTCTCATTTCGTTTCTGAACCTATCTCTGTCCCTGGTTCACTTCTATGTGTATGTAGAGCCTAGTATCGGCATGGAGTGGAATAAATTTACGTTCTTTATGATATTAATTTCCAAACTAGGATTTGGAATGTGGAAATTATAGGTGTAGGTTTTAATACCAGATCTTGCCGTTACGCGATAATATCTTATACACGATGGGAATGGACGAATATCCACTCTGTATCGATATCGTTCAATATTGTCTTGGATATTCTCTCCGGTCCATGATTTGACCCTAGACGTACGTAGAACAGACGTCCATGATCCTTATCAGCGATGAAAACTCTTGCATTGGATCGGGATCTCAATGGCGTCAGGTTTCTCGGCCACGGTACTTCCGAGAAATCACTCCGCCGAGCCTAAGACCCATAAAATTCGAAATAAATATAGCGTGTGGCCGTATAACTCGGGTTATCGGAGGAACCCGCTGCCATCCAGCGCAATTGACATTAATCTAGCTAACTAACCGAAGGTCCCAGCATCAATCAACCACAATGCAAAACGAGCTGGGATAAAAAAGAACATTCACACTACCCATATTTTACTAAGCCAGAAGTTCCACCGACCATTGTTCCACCACTCATCCAGCGCCTCCGGAAAATTCCTTGACCGCCGTTCGCTGAGCAGTACAATCCGGACCACGCGGCGTGGCAAAGCCTCCAATCCGCCAAAACCGGATGGTGTAGAGAACCCAAGGCAATATTCTGCGAGCAGGAAACGAGACACAAAGACCTAGATTTCGACAGCAAGAAAAGCAGCACCTCTGATATGTAGAGGGATATGTGTGAAGAGACGAGGGTAGGCGGCTTAATGGGTATTATATCACACGGTATTTGTCATCCGCCAAGTCAATGAATACGTGTTCGTTCATGCGCCGAGTTCGGGATACTTGTATTTGGCGGTAACGCCACTCGGACCCGCGCGGTGTTGCGGGGTATAGAGCTATATATTCCGCTTTGCGGTAGCGCATGTACGTGCTGGCGTATTACTATTTAGGGATGAAGTGGGATAGGCACTGCAAAAGCAGGCCGCGATAAAGCTCCGGGGAAAGATCCTACAATATCCTTTCCATAGAGGAGGACTTCCGAAACAAACCGTTTCTCAAATCATTTCCTGCTATGCTACCGCCACCTCCACGAAAAGGATCAAGGTGGCCACAAGATGATTGGAGCATAAATTTCGGCCGCCGAGGCTCAGCAAGAGCTTAAGCTCGTATTGAGATTTCGCAAAACCTGCTCCGCTGTATTCGGCTATGCAGTTGTTCCGAGTACTGAAGGTCTCTGACTCTACCGCACTACGCCTCCATAACACCGCTGGTTAATCTAGGCGCAGACACCTCCCGGAAGGTCAGATATTTACCGCATACATGCATCCTCCACGCGCGATATTAAAAGACAAAGAAGAATGCTTAATTAGTCGGCGGAACTCTCGCGTTTTACAGCACTCAAAAGAACAGCACCTTGAAAATTCTGGCGGGCTCGGCTCGTCAGCGCTCGTGTTCTACCTCCGCGTGTCCGGGGTTTTGGTTTTGGGGTTTGGGGTGGGAAACATTGCTCAAAGTATGCCATTCCGGGCTCACTTGAGGGTTTTCCAGGGGCTCTGGGGTCACAATTTACGTCTATAGCCACCCCCAGAAACCAGGTTATGATGCTATATTATTAACTAAGGTTATAGACTAATATTCTCGTTCAAGGTCCTACAAAGCGACGCGCCCGTCCCTCAAATCGGAGCAGGATGCGGCGGGCCAGGGTCTAGACAACCAGATCGTTTGGCACTGCGGTGCAAAACGTCTTGACCACTTGATGGATCTGCATGCAACGAGTGATAATCTGTGCTCCTGGGCTGTCAACAATTATGCCAGATTCAAATTCCCGATGTCCGTGACCTGTCTTCTCGCGATGCAGGTACTTTCCGCTTGGTCTTCCGATTCGTGGGTTTGGGAATACATGCATCAATGCCTGGAAGATGCCATAAGTGAGGCGCATGGTTCTTGGCACGCAAGCAACGGCGAGCCATAGATTAATTTTAATTACGCAGAAAGCTTAGTGGACCCACAGCGTTTGCTGGTCAGAAGTGCTCAACTGTCGATAACCTCGGCCATCAGGTTCTGTTATGTAACTACATGGAGAGTTATGTCCGCATACGATTGCTCCATTTCGAGTGCGCCCTATGTATGTCGCGCTACACTGTTAGGACATCTCTTCTAGCGTGCATTTGTGGTATACGCTTTTGCTACGGCATGTTAAGTGTTCAGTTTTTCGACTCAGGACGGACAGAATAGGACGATATATCGATCGTTCTTCATATCACTGTCCAACCCTAACCCTGCGAGCATAATTTTCTTCGACAAACCCACGGCAAATGGATGCGGCTTTGGGGAAGATCGCTCAAATTGTCTTACAGAAAGTTGAGATACATTCCCTCGATCTTTAGAGAAATTAGTACATATTGACCTTTAGTCGTCTTTGCTGTGTGAAACCCCAACCTCATCCGCCACCTAATTTTTCAGGCATCCCTCCCCGCTTTCTAGATAGCTATTTATTACGACCTCAGGACAGCTTATTTCCAGAGACCATACTACGCTCAATCCCTTAACGATCCACCATGGCCGATAATACCGATATCCCATACTCACCTCCGCAATACATCGTCAGCCGTTCCGTGCTCGACCGCGAGCAGCTGATCTCCGAATTTGAATGTACTATATCCCATATATATACAATATTTGACGGGAGGAGGACTGATATCTGGTAGCTTTCAAACAGTCGCTTCACTATATTTCACGGGCGCCGGAGGTCGTTTTCGAGCGGCTAATTGGAAATGTGGGTGTCCATGGTCGACCTCGGTAGAGCTGCTGCTAACAAACAAACTACAGATCAACGAGGCGATTCTCTTGCGACTTAACAAACAACGTGCAGCCCAGCTCGCGGAACGCCAGGTACTGGAAAAAAACAATGAAACACTTAAGGAAATGGCGGGAAATCTCGAGAGCATGACCTTGCGAGAAAAGGACCGATTTGCGACTCAGCTCGCGGAGCTTCAGGAACTTGTGATAAACAATGCCGCACTCAAGAAAAAGGTGGAAAGCCTCGAGAAAGTTGAGAAGGTTAATGCGGAGCTCGAGGTAAAGTTGAAAGGTCTCGAGGCGGAGGTGCAAGCTTTGAAGGCGCAGCTTGGCGGTATCTCTGACACGCCAAAAGCCGTAGGTTATCCAATCTCTACTGATCCTGGAGGTCACGAAGCCCACATAGAATCATTAAATACTAAATCTCGGGTTATAATATATAGATTGATGCCCAGTCCGGGACCACCGCGGCTCAACGCAAAAATATTCCCAGGCAGCCCAAACGCCTTGCACCCACCAGTGGGACACCTCTGCATTTCTACTTCAGCCCCTCTGGCAGATCAACCATCATCAGTAGACCTCCATCGGGTTTAGCCTATAACCTTACTTCTCTCTACCAAAATGGGGGGACTTGGCTGGACCTTGCATATCCAGAGATGGACTTTAAATGTTTATCCGGAAACTGGATGACCCCTGATCAGGAAACTCTCCCGTCTCTCATCACAGAAACTATACAACTCACTCCACCGCTCGCTGCTGACGTTGTTGTTACGGTGCTGGTCTGGCTTACGGGGCTTGATATGTCAAATGCTGAGCCTTGGAGGATAAGAGTATATGCAACATGCATCACACCGAGCAGCTTTCAGTTGAACATCGAGGTACTTCGTACATCAGTACTGTATTCGGCAGGAGTCTCTTGGATTGCATTCAATGAGGGTGCTAAAAGCGGTAAGCTACCGGCATCGGGCGAGGAAGGGTGGAAAAAGAGAACTAGCTATTCAGATCTGCAAGTATCGTGTTATCTCAATGGTAATCCGAAAACAGCAATATTATTCAATGCGCTAGAGGTTAGGAAGGCGGAAAACCTTGAATTGAGGGCAACAATCCCTTCGGAAAACTACTATGGATTTTCGTGGGAAATGACTGGGGATGACGATAACCTGATCACATGTGCCGCTAATTACTTACGGCTTGGATAGGTTCCACAAATTGCTTAAGAATGTTCTCCTTTTGGTTTTATTTTTGTCGCTTGTTTTTTCTTTCCGGTTGATACCTGTGCAATTCTCCTAAAGGATCAATAACATCATTTCAACTAGGAGGTGAAGTCTTAAGAAAGTATATGTACTTTCGTAATCTCATTGGTCTTAACTAGTTAATGGTATAAGATAGAGATGAATATTGTAGTTTGCAGGGGACCAGTAAACTCAACTGGGGCAGTCCGTCCATCTCCAGCTTTAAGATCTTATACTTTGCCCAACTATAGAAGGCAACGATTATGATCTCTCGCTTGTAAATCTTGCAGAGCTGCGATATGTGGACGAGCGATCACCCATATAACACCAAAACATGTTGTACATACCATCGCCAAGCCATGAATAATTAATCCATATCGATGATATTTCTCGTAGGCACAAGTGTACAGACATAAAAAAGATCCAGCTGCGCCCTCGATATCTAAATTCCAACGGAGGAGCCCAACTCGACAAACAGAAATCAGCGTAAAACCGATACCACATCACTATCTAAGAATTGCAAGTACGTAACTGCCACACACACACTACAGCGCCTGCGCACATTCGCGGCATCGTGGGGGCTATAGGATGGAACTCACCTGGGTAGCTGTCGCAGTATAATCGTATTAGAACTCTCGCATTGCACAAGCACCACCTGAAAACCTCCACCGTAACCACCTCCCGGATAATAGCCTTAACCATAACCTCCCCGACTCGAGCTCGCCCGGGGGTAAAGAGGGCCTGTTGCTGACCTTTGGCTTCCGTTCCGGGGGTCCGTTTCTGTATGAGGTTTATGAATGGGAATGGTTAGGGATTTAAATCGGTGTTTGCTTCAGGCTGATGATTTATTTCTTAGGTTTTACCCCCGATATTTGATTGCAAGTGCTATGTACAGACTTGGAAAGACCAGAGAGTAGTGTGTAGATCAAGGACCTCCTTGCGTGGTAATAGATTCCGAATATCATTGACGGGCTCCCTGATTGTGGAGATGCCTTGCAAGCATGTCCCCGATTGCAACACAGTTTCATCGCCGCGGAAGACAGAGAGGACCGTAGGTAAGTCTGTATGGGTCAACTCCTACACAACCGAGCTGCAGGTTCTACCATCTATTCCAAGACGCCTACCGCCGTAGCAACAATCTCATCAGCACCGAGTCGAAGCATGTAGCTTCTCAAAGGCCCAGTGCTACGGTAACTAAGATCGAAGGGCAAAGAAGTGACAGAAGTCAGTTGGAGCTGCCATGAGAGAGGGCCGCCGGCGGTATGGAGCCAAGGTCGCGGTGCGACGGGGAGTAGCCTGTAGAGCTGACCGAGGGAGTGGCTAGTAGTGAAAGATGAATGCTTGTCAGTCTAGTCTTGGGAGCGGGGAGGGGCGGGGGGTCCGCGCCCCCCCGGGGGGGGGGCGTTTACAGCTGTGCCAGCTCGCTGAACACGGCCGTTCGCTGGCCAGGGCGGGGGAGTCGCGACCATGATCTAAAGCAAGTTCCACTAGGTGGGACCTGTTGAGTTAGAATCTACCCTGGCCGAGGGATTGGAGGAGGTGCTTTCGGTGGTCATAGGGATCGTTATTTGGCGAGCTCCATGAGGTCCTGGTCCTGGATCCTGGCAAAACATTGTTGAGCCGCAATGCTTGACTGTGCAGAGTGTGTAGGTACATGTAAGCACCCCTCAAAATGAACAGTTTGGAAAAAATGCATCCATATGGCTACATGTAAGCTCGCTTTTTATAGAACAGATAAAACAATTCCTATCCTAAAAGGAATACCCGAGCAGCGTGACCTACGCAGACAAGGAGGTTTTGTTGACAATCTGATAAGTATGATGCTAATAGATTAGATCGCCATGATTAGATAAGATATGACCGAGACTCCATGAAGAGGGACAGTTATGTAGTCATTTCCGCTTACGGAGGTTTCAAGTCATCATTCTGCCTGCGTGTTTCACCCAACAGCCGAGAGAAGTACCGGGTGTTGAGGGTAAGTGATCAGAATCTGATAAGTGAATACGTGTATTTGTCTTATCAGATTCTGATCACTTTTCGCTACACCCTAATACTTAATGGCGCGAGAAGAAATCACCGCCGTTCACAGGGTTTTGGCGAACACGGAGCTATTACGAACAGGAGGTTAAGAAAACAAATTCGCAGCTTGGTGTATAAGAATGGAATACGGGATCCTTGTAGATCTGCGGGTCTGTTTTTGATTCGCAAGTGCGATCTTGACAGCGCATATCTACATACATTGAAAGCCCGCGCTTGGCATGAGAGAGGGCTGTGATATATCTGAGCGCGGGGAACCTCTATCAACATATGCTATTCAAGCTCCATCGAATCTAGTCCCGAGCATCGCAAGGTATTAATATTCACTAGGAAGTTGGATTTCTTACCAAGATACGTATCCGTATCATCCTTAGGTATATCGCTTGGCTTTTGGCGGTCAACCACAGTTCTGACTAACCAATCGGAACGTATCTACTTTTTTCATGAGAAATGACCTCATCCCCATTCATGGCTGATACTGTTGATAGGATTTCGATTCTCCGAGGCATACAACAGAGAACGCAAGCACTGCGCGCGGATAAAATATATCTCTTCTTTCCTCCTTGGTTACCCAGATCCGATTAGGTCATCGTCTCAGTTTCCTCAGGCGGGTAATACTGTGATGCTAATGAAAGTGTCTCTTCCTACAGACATATAGAAGATCCAGCGTTATCGGCACTTATCGATATATCACTAGCCATGGTTGAACCCATTTTCATGGCAGTTGGCACCGCAATCGGTGTTGCCGGCCTGTATTCTACCTGTCTACAAGCGTTGGAGGACTACGAAGCAGTGCGGAATTTTGAGACGGACTCCCAGCTACAGGGTGATTTTTTCGAAGCTCACATATTTCTTTTAAAGAGCTGGGGAAGAAGAGTGGGGATTGGAAACGAGATGAGTCAGCACCCTTGCTTGGACGCAAGATCAGAGGAGTGTGCGTTAGTTCAATGACCACTCAAACACTTCCAGAGGATCTGGAGCGACGCAGATAAATTGTCACGAAAGTATGATATGAAGCTTGTGGGGACTGCTGTAAAAGGTGGGGTGGGCACGCGAATTTCGCTTAAACCCCGGATGGTTTCCTTAGGCCGAAAGCTTGTCTGGGCTTCGAGAGATAAGGCCAAGTTTAAGAGACTTCTCGAAAATCTAGGCCAGATCACCCTGCAGCTGAACGACATTACATCGGCCGGCGATCATATAAAACAGATACAATACAACGGTACAAATGACACGAGTCAGTGGTGTAAATTGAGAGTTCTTATCGAGGGTAAAGTATCTAGATATTTATATCCTAATATACATTTAACCAACTTAGTTATCATGTACAGAACAAAGAAAGATGTACCTAGATTTTATTGGCGGAATATCAATGATCGATCAACAGAATGAAATCAATTCCATTCTTTCCCACGGCCATCCGCCGGGCAGGGTCGTGCCTAATGAAAAATTCCATGCTTGGCTTAAGAAAGATGCGGACGAGATCAAATCATCTGTTCTATGGGTTCAAGGTGACCCGGGCACAGGCAAGACGTGGGTGTAGCCTTAGCCATACAACATCTGAAGGGGGATTCTTCAGGTCCCGTTGCATTCTTTTACTCCTGCTATAAGATAGGTTCAAGAAGGTCACCTATTTTTACCCTCCGCTCGTGGATCTCCCAACTCATTGATCAAAGTCCTCGAGCCTTTGAAGCGATAAGAAATATCCTCCCAGAATCTCCAACAGGCATCGCAGATTTAGGCATGATGTGGCGCGCGTTTAGCGAAGCTATAAAGAGTGTAGGTTACTGTCACCTACTCTAGATGCTTTGGATGAGTGTTATGGTCTGGAGGAGTTCCAAAATGATAGCAAGAGTAATACCAAGAGTATTACTAAGAGTGGAGAGAATATTCTTTGGTTCATATATGAGCTCCTACGCCATACCCACAAGAGACACGTAAAGATTCTCATTACTAGTCGCTGGATGGAAGAGGTCGGGGTCGTGCTGAGGATGAGAGGCTTCGCAAGCACTGATATCTCTACGTATACTCCCGACGGACTAAATATCTCTACGTACACTTTCGACGAATAAGTTTGGACACGTCAGAACCCCCACCAAATAATGGACGGGTCACCGAGCGGCAATGAAGATATAGTGTGTGATAAGGAATCAAGCCAGAAGGGGGATTTTGGACAGAGTCGTCTGCTACAAGAATACCTTTCCTGGCGAGGTAGTTTTGGGTTATTCGATGAGCTCGACTCTTTAATCTCACACACCAAGCAAGAGCTGTGTCAGTTAGTTCTGGACCACATATTCAGAATGGACAAAGATGATCGTGATCGAGCGACTTTTATACTTTGTCTAGTTATGGCTGGTCGCCGTACGGGCGTGAGCTGCCAAGGGATCTCCGATGCACTTGCGCTAGATGCAGACCCCCTCAGATTCAAGGAGAACCGCTCGCAGATTGACCCTGAGTGTGAGATCTTTAGGCTCTGTGGACCACTTGTCACATGTTCTGGCGTTACAGGGCCTCCTTACCTTTCAGACCACGATCTCCCTTGGTCCTTTCTTCGTTCGCGTCCTACCCTTCACTTTAGTAACAGAAATTTAATTCTGTCGAAAAGATTCCTCACAATCTTTATCAATCACCCACCGAAGACAGATGATCATTCTTATGCAGACTTCTACCGCTACTGCGAGTGGAATTGGGGTAGATACTATTGAAGAACCTCTGGATACACTAGGACCGAGTGCGTGAGCCACCAGAGAGAGATTCTCGGTTCGAAAAATCAATTTGAGGCTTGGGCATCAAAATCTGACGTTGAAGACATGAGTGTTTTATGGTGGCCTACGCATTTCTCCGAGGATCTTTTGAGGATCACACTGTTTGCACATAAGCATACACCTCTCACATTCACTTGCAAATATGGTTTGGTAGAGATGTTTACGGAGTTGCTGGCGAGCTCGAAAGATGTTCCTCCAATCGCATTCGTGCTGGCGATGTGGTATGGTCATACAAAGATAGTTCAGTTGTTACTTGCGAGAGAGGATCTCAATCTTGAAATTCAAGACAATGTGATCCTACGGTCACTTGATGTAGCAATCTTCAGAGGACATGTCAAGATCTTAGAAGCCTTGCTCGAGCAGGAATATTTCAACGTCAATGGCGCGTTCGATGTCTCTACGTATGAAACTCCAGGCTCGCCCCCATCTGGAACAAATCCCGATCTGCTCTTGCGCCGCGAATACTACTACGAGGGTAAATCGATAGGCTTTGGAAGTCCGTCCCCTCTCGAGCAAGCGATATATAGGAACAACAAGGATATTGTTCGATTACTTTTGTCTAAACACAAGCCTGCCCAAATATCCAGGTTCAGGACAATCTTAGAATTCCACCAGATAATGCTTATGACGGAGGCCACTTATCTAGGCTATGGACGGACCGTTTCCAAAGTGTTTTTCGGCACATCTCTCAATATCAACGCTGTGAACACGGCTGGACGCACCCCGCTTGACCTTGCAGTAAGCGGGACAGATGATGATTTCGATGTATGGGTAATGATGGAGGAAAGGGGAGCGTGGTCAAGTGATGACTTGCATGCTGGCGTCCGGTTATATATCAGGACGTTGAGGGTTTTATTCCTGGTAGCGGGTATTCTTCTTGTGCTCGATATGTACAGATCCTTCCTTTCTGGGAGTGGAATTTGGACATTATCGGCAATATTTTCAGGGGGGTTGTTCCTTTGGGTTCGTCTTTTTCGTGCTGAGTGAAATTGCGGAAATGGCTTGAATTGTTAAATTGTACCAGGTTGTGCGTGGAACTTCTCTAAAGGTTTTATCCTTAGTTAGCAACTTTTTCTTTCATAATTCGATTATATGTACACATTCATCGAAAACAGCATAGTGTGACAATGTGGACCTGAACATGATTCTCGGAAACGACATTTCCAATTCTTTATCAGTTCTTACTTTCACTTCGAGGAAACTAATCACGACGACGATAATCTATAGGGATATATTTGATGCTCAACCTCGGTACGAATATGCAAATAGAGTACTTACAGCATTGAAGGTAGGGGCGAGCTCTCACAGATGACCTATAAATATTTAGTACAGGAGGTAGCTACTCACATTAGTTTTGAGGATTTGCGTGTGTAGTGCGCCGAAATATTCATGTGGCCGGTCATGTAGCCAGGACTTTGTGCAGATTTCTCGTATTTGAGACTAACAGGACTCGGAGGTAATACGAGGAGAGCAGAGAAGACGGTAGCGCTTGGCGCCAAGTGATAATTGGAGGGCGACAGATCACGTGAGAGAGGGATGCTTCACCCGCGATGTACATTTTTCGTAGATATTTTTACCTCGCCGGGCGTTAATTCATAGACTTATAGTCCTGAAATTGAATCTTCTTTCAGCACAAACTCAAAGATCGTGTGTTTTGTAGATCAATTAGTCCTCCCCTCTCCTCCGGTCATATTGTTCATTTCAGCCACCATTATGGTGTACATACATTATTTCCTGAGCCACACTGGCATCTATCATTTTACTAAGGCCAAGTATTCCGGTAACAGTACGTTACGCGCAGTAAAAACGGTACCTCTGATGAGCCATGATTATGAAGATAGCTATAGACAAAACACAAGTCACCGAGGGAGACCATACTTAGCGGTCAAGGCTTCTTTCAAATAGCCGAGAAAACCGTGGTGAAAAGATATATTTCCAGAGTCCAAACCCCCTAAATATCGTTTGTGCATCAACCGAGTAGTGGTTAAAGTTTTAGCTAATAAGCTCATTGGATCGTGATAACCAAAAAAAGATCGTGATAACCCTAACCCTGTTTCGTTTGTCGCATCTTTTTTTTTTTTTTTTTTATTCATTACGTTTGTCGCATCCCTAGCTACTGAGAAATGCAAAATGCCGTATATATATATTCTCATATGATCCATAGAACCTGAATTTGTATCAGGATAAAAGGGTTTTTGAATTCAATGAGATATTCTGCGCAGGCGGGCTTTGAAGTATGTAGATAAATGCAGGTTCTAGAGTTCTACTATATAAATCCACTCAATTAGTTACTTCATCCCCAGAACTGAACCTAGACTCGTAAGACAAAAGGGGTGTCAGGATTTGGGATTGTTTTGATAGATTATTACGGCAAATATATATTGTCATTGACGCATTGATCAATGATCTGTTCCAGCTCCGGAATAAACCCTGGTCCAATCGGAGATTAATTCGGTATCTTTATATTCATGATCCTAGCTTAAAAACGTTTCTAACCCCCATATCTCTGTAAACCCTATAAATGGAGCTTAACATCAGATCCCGAAAGCTAGAATATCGATATCGTCCTTCCCCTTCCGAACAAAAACCTGGATGGACAGCTACGTCCTCAAAGATAGATCTCCCACACCGCGCGCGGCCAAACAACGCTGTAAACTCCAACGCTAGCATCACTTCCGGCGCCAGCCAAGCTGCATGCAATGGAGTACCTCACAGCTTATTTATATGACCCAGCTGCCTGTCGTATACAATCGCGCGCCCCAAGCGTGGGTTTTGCGATTGCAACTGGCCCCAATCCAGTATATCTTCTTAGTGCAGACTCCCGGAAGGTGCACTTCCTTAATATCAAGAAGACAAAAGTCAGGCGCAGTGAGGAAATGGCGGTTTGGCAACTGACACCTCTACTTGGAGGGGGATACGTTGTGCTTGTACGCCGCATATCAGCCGCACCGCCAAGAAATCATTCAGACGCCTCTATCTGCTGATGCTGTCAATGACCGTGTTGGCGGGATTTACCGACTGTTGCAACCCACCGATTGAGTTCGCAGCGTGGCACTGCATCTCCGATTTCCGGGATTGCTCATGCGGTTCAATTGCAATAGAAGATGTAGATAATATAATTACCACAGCTAGTATCTTCGAATTCTAGAGGAGAGAAGGAGGTTGAGGTAATGGCTACAGCTCTAAATTCTAACATATCGAGTTGCGTGCGGCTGTAAGGAATATAATATTCTCTCCTCCCTGGCGGGTGAACTGCGGAGCGCCAGGTGTCTCAGCCATGTGAGGCTGAACATCACGTTCTGAAAACACGAGATGCGTGGTACTGTTGGTAATGTCGATAATCTATTTTGAACGCAGGGCTGAAAGTCAACTTTGTGGATCTGGTCTTGACGCTAGATACGCTATGAGTAGAGACGGAGATGGAGACGGGGAATAAAAACCCACCTAATTCCCCCTTCACACTCAACCAGAACTCGCTCTCCAAGCTCCCTCTCAAGTTGACAATTCCGAAGCATTCCCGAAACATACCATATACTATTCAAGACCTTTCAATTCCTTGACTCCCCATAATGCACACCTTTACAAAGACCCTCTCCGTCCTCCTCTTTCTCCTCTCCATCATGACATTCTCCGTCTCTGCTGCCGACACATTGGAGAAGTACTACAACCACCCCCCCCCAAAACTCCCCCCTGCAATGCCGTAGGTTCTAACTGGAGAAACAGACATACGGCGGAACTCGAGGAGCGGAACCCGGTTCCTGGCCGCGAGGATGTGATCAAGGGAGTCACTGGTGCTGTCCCTGATGTCGTGGAAAAGATTGGCGCGGGGGGGAAGGTGCACGTTGAGGTGGGGCTGGGGATGATGGTAGGAGTGGCGGCGGTTGTAGTTGCGTGGTTGTGAGTTTTTGGTGTGGGTTTGACGGGAGCTGGAGGGAATTCTTACATATTTATGTCGTGCGTGGATGGAGTTGGCTGGGATAGTGATTGTGATGAGTTATGAAGTATTCTGAAACGAAAGTAGTCTGATAGCTATAATCTAGCTGCATTCTAAAATTTACGCATATATGAAAATTCTCTTTCGGTCCCTATCGAATTAGTATTTTTACCTGGTACAGTACCTGAACCGTTGTGAAATGCTGCGGTATTCACTATCAGCGTGCGGTTCGACCGCGGTTGTGACACGGTATTTCTGGCAGCATGTGAAGTTAATTCGGTATTTTCATACGTATACGATACTCCAGCACTAAAGGCGTAGATTGTATCGCATAGTCTTGTCTAGATATACAGAATCAATGCGCGCATCAATCAATGAATATATTAATAGCTTTTCCGTAGAGATATTTATGAACCCTGACCCTGGCGAAGTAGCTGTTTGGGGCCACATTCTGATTTCTACCTATCGGACACATTCCGGCCACGCTGTGATAGTGCTGGATTCGAACACGGTCCCACAATCCGACTCAACCTATATAACCCGTTGGGCTGCTAGACTTCTCATACATCATCCTCGCCGCGTTTCTTCGGTGAGACCTGAGAGAACAACGGGTTTTCACGGTGATCAAATTACGTTAAAAGATGTTTTTCAGTCATTCACATTTTGATTGATCATTCAACTTACCTTGAGTATAATTAAATACAGCCGAAATCATTTAATAACTTACAAAGAAACAAAGGAGTAACCATAGAACTGCCCGCAGCTTCCGCCAACCTACCACCCATAAAGGATCAACCACCGCTCATTCAACATCGGGAGCTCCGCTATCGCCCGCACCTTTCTGCCTACCTAGCTGCGACCTTTCCATCGCCATCTCCAACCTCTCCCTCTTCCTCGCCCGTAGCTCCGCTGCCTCCGCCGCCAACCTCTCGTTCACCGGTAATGCCTCCTTGTGCGCATCCACCACCGCAAACAGACCTTCAACGCAGTCAAGGTACCTCTCCCGCACCGCATGAGCAAGCTCATCGTTCTCCTTTGTCTTGTTGTTCTTCCTCTCGTATGCGCGTGTGATCTCGTCCAAAGACATGCGGAGTGTATTGAGCTTAGTCATGCGCACGTTGAAGATGGGTCTCCACGAGACTTTCTCCGAGCCCGGGTTGGTGACCAGGGCGCGAAGGATGGGGAGCGAGATGATGAATCTGCGGCACTCGGCGATGAGCGCGGTGGCCGCGGCGGGGTCGAAGATAGGGGGGTCGCTAGGGGCGCTGCTTTGGTGGTCGGACATTATGCGTTGGTGAGTGGCTGTTTACCTGCTTGTGGTTTGGAATTGTGGGTGTGATGTCTGTGGTATGGTAGAAGGGGGAGCGATACGCTTTTATAGATATGAGCTAATACCGGGGTATAGAATATAAACGTATTTCTGTATCGGAGATCTAGAATTATTTCATGGATATTTTTAAGCGTTGGAAAGATGATTCGAGCTAGAATTTCTTTGCTATACATTTATCGTCTTGTGCATACAATCTAAATTCGCTTTAACGTAGAAGCCTCCGAATACTCACATGTCTGTCTTCAATCTTAGTCCACAGTTCTCATAATGTCTGGCAGCATTCCTAAATGGGTCATATTCGGGAGTCGAGTACTTCATTTTCTTTGTGAGATTTCTCTCCCTCTTTACCATTGTTTAATTAGTAACTCTTACTACATCTACTATAGGCTAAGATAAGTCTTGATATTCCGACACACATATCGGTAATTATTATGGGGTGTTGATTCTGTTCTCTTACGGGGGTGTGTGGACGCTGAGGGCGCGCCACCGAGTGAGAATCTATGATGCGTTGTGGCTAAGCGACAGCTAGAAGGTATTTTCGTTTCAACACCAAAAAGACAGCCTGATAAGCAGTCCTGGAGATAGTGGGACGTATCTTGTGTGGAAATCAGAGTACCTTTCCAGCTGTCCGTCTCCCTCTATATAATGGGAAGACGGGTTAGGACGACAACGCTTGGCTCACCAACTATCACTCGCTTTCAGTAGCCGTGGGTTTCACGAATTACAAGCCACGCACGACAGGGTGTCTGGTGAAACAATTGTGGAGCTCTCTGAGCTGTCACCATAGCTGTATAACACGAGGGATAGAAAAACAGGGCAAGTTAGGATTGGATCACTATTCAATACCTTCGTGACTTGGGGGGATTACTGCGAATTCAACGAACACACATCTACCTCGATTTCAATTATACCAATGGGACATTTTGCAGTGACATGGTCTATAAGTACACCTTGATCCACGTCTCCACAACTGCAAACACCCTAAGACATCCGGCCAAAATCCCAGAAACACTCCGCCAAAACACCTCCCCACCGCAGCGCAGCACCCACCACGAAAAACCACACCACACAAACCCCACCACCACCACCAGCAACAATGCGTACCGCCGCCGTCAGCGACAACGTCATGTTCATCGCCCTCACCACGCACATCCTCCAGTCCTACCGCTCCTCCCTCACCATGCACGATAAGGCCCTCTTCGCCCCACACACCCCCTCCTCGCCGTACACCCCCGCGCACCACGCCGCCGCCGCAGCCCTGCTACGCACCTACAACGTCCGCGATGCGCTCGACGAGGACTTTGACGTGCTGGCCAAGGACATCCTGCCGGAAGACTACCAGGGGAGGCTGCGCGGCGCGGCGCGGGGGTCGGGCGCGAGCTATGTCCCGCTGAGCGGTGAGGAGGCGATGGCCGTGCAGGTGTATTCTGCGTATCGGCGCGCGAGGAAAGAGATGGTGGACTGTGTGGAGGGCATTGTGGGGTCGGTGGTGGGGGGGTGGCGGGGGACGGGGGAGGAGAGGGAGTTGCTGAGGGGACGGTTGGCGGCGAGGGGGGCGGTGGATCTGCAGCGGGGGGTGGTGCAGGGGGATATGGATGCGGTGGTGGTGAAGTGTGCGGGGGTGGAGAGGTTGGGGTATGATGATAGGGGGGATAGGGTGGTGTTTTTGAAGAGGGGGGAGGCGGGGGGGTGGGTGGAGGTGTAGGGTTGGGATGCGGGCTTGTTTGGTTTTGAGGGGCGCTGGCGCGGGCTTTGTGGGTTTTTTTCTTATTTATGTTCTTGGTACTAATTCTTTCGGAGTTATGCCTTTTTTATGGTCTTAATACTAATGCTGTAGGAGTTTTCCTCGTTTCTTTGCTTGATTGTTTCTTGATTTCGACTATTATATGTCGAGGTTCGCGGTTATAGCGTAGAATTGCTACTTCTATTGATAATATGATATTCTCCCTCTCATGTCTTTAACTAGCTTGATATAAACCCTTGAATAATGGATGTGAGATGAGGTCGAAGCGTAGAAAAATAAAAGGAGGAACGTTCGAGGAAGTACATTTTAATTTCTGTAGGAACATAGGAACACTTTGAAAGTAGAGATCATCTTCTCGCTCATCCACTCCTCCTCTCAGCCGAGACATACTGCGTTGAACAAGATATATGAAAGCGAGATATTGTTTATGCCTTTATAAGGGCATTGAGACGTGAATATTTCAGAATAGAGAAGTTCACGTTTCTTGCTACTAAGAAATCAGACGTGAAAACCCAAATCATATAGAACACAGAATATTAGAATACATAACACCAGCACATCCATGTTCCAAACCCACAACCTAACTCCCTCTCCACCCCTCCCTCCCCACATCCCCCACCCCCCACTCCACCCTCCCCTCCCCCCTCCTTCCCTCCAACCCCCTCACCCCCACCGTCGCCACCGTCCCTCCCGGCCTCGGCTTCAAGATCTCGCACAACTCACCATACCCCTCCAGCGCAGCCAGATACAACCCCCACGCCCTCGCATACGTTTCCTCATCCTCCCGCGTGCGCTCCGGCGTCTCGTCGAGCGCGGCTTTGAGCCCCTTCAGCGCTTGGTTGTGCTTGACCAGCTGCTCATACTTGACGTCCATGAGTGGCGCCCAGTTGACGGTGCGCGCGCCGGGCTTGGAGAAGAGGTCGCGGTAGATTCGGAGGGTGGAGTGGAACTTTTCGAGGAGGGCGAGTTCGGTGTGAAGGGGGTGGGGAGCGGCGGGTGGGGAGGGGGGCGGTGGGGGGATGGACATTGAGATTGAGGTGGTTTAGGTTCTGGTTTGGTGGATATGGGGTGCCGGGGCGGTACTATGGGTGGTTTATTTGGCCGGGGAAACGTATGGGCGCTTGTATATATACTTGTAGATACCACCGTTCTCGGTCATGGCTTTTCAAGGGTCTTTTGTGGTGTTAGAGGAGCGATAGTATTGCGTGGCGCGTTGCGTGGCACATGTGTAGAATAGGTCGATTCGACCATTCGTACGTAGAATGTTGTCCTATGTCAGCATTGTAATGGCCGACTCTTGCATGCTGGGTGTATTAGAGTTCGGTGTTTTCATAGCAGCCGGTAGCGGGGTGCAGAATCCAGCTGTAGGACGTTTGTTCCCCTTGGTCCTTGGATGTAAACTTTGATTGTTGTAAACCGTACGATGTAGCATACTTATATGTTTTCCCGAGAGTCAGTTCAGAAGCTGAAGAAGTACTTATGAGGGGTGGAATGTAACTAACGGTGCTCCTTTGACAGTAGTTCTCGTACGGCCAGCTGGTCGTTGGGGTTCGGCGCCGGATGCGCATACCCGCCTGAAGCGTTGCACGGTGATGGTTGTGGTGCCTGTTCCGAGGGGTAGCACAGGAAGGGTGATGTTTGGTTCTACGTGTGCGTTTTGCATGAAGAAGGTGCAAGGACACATGTACGTATACCTGTTACGTGCGTTGTACATGTAGAGATAAGTACCATCGATGCGCCATATCACAGGAGCACCTTGCATTTCATATAGCTATCTGCTATATGTAGATTCTTTTTTGACATTTAAGTTTTGAAACATTGTGTGTGCGGGCTAGGCGGTTTAGCGTTGTTCATTCGGAGCATTGAGTAAGTACATGTACATCCGCCGCGTGGATATGCAACGGCCCTTCGGCGCTGATACGAATCAGTGGTACCTTTGGTTGGACGTGACAAAGCGAGTGATATTCCATGCTCAGAATACACATCCGAAGAACTGTAGACAGTGGAAGTCACACTCGGAATATAATTGAACAATGCTGTCCCAAAGCATGGAATATCAGCTACGCCAGTTCATGCTCGTGGGCCAATTAGCAATGGGTCAGATGATCTATAACCAAGCTGTCCTTCACGAGACCGGCCGTGTCAATTCAGTTTGGGCAACTGTACTTATAACATCCGTATTACACGTAAAGCATATTCAATAGTAAGATGTAGCTTCATACTCGCATGGACCTTTCGTCACGCGCATCAGCTCGACGGGTACCGGCATGTTCAAGCGTGACTGAGCTTTCATTGATCCGCTGTCATGTCAGCATGTCTTGTTCCGAAACATTGTAGTGTACAAGTACACGGGTGACAACATGTATACGTATGAACAATATGAATTCCCATGCTCAACTAAAAGGACAACATCCGGGGCTATCTTGGGCTGCTTACCTTCCTGCGCTCGCTTTTCCCATTTCGGGGGTGTCGCCCGTGGAACTTCTGATTAGCACGTATGTACACAGACTGGCCACCGGTGCACACCGCGGCCACGATTCGAATTGAGTTTCGGGTAACGTCGGCTTACATTTGTCGTTGGGCACGATAAAGGCGTTCGTGGGGTGCTGCTATCAAGCTCATGCAGGTCTTCGATTCTTTACACCTACCGTTGCTAAGGGTCTTTCGAGAAATTCTTTTATCCGTCCGCTATGTTGATGGCAAGGCTCCGAGTGATATTTGATGATGCATCTCCGGTTTACCGCACGGCAGGCTAAGTGGCAATAAGTTAGATGATTTTGACGCCTATTACACCGCAAAGAGTGGTGTTCTTTTAAAGTGAAGAGAAAAAACAACACACGTATATAGGAAAATTACAAGGAGTACGACGACCGATATAGTGTACATGCCGAGAAAGATAAACATGGTTGGGGGAGGAAATGATCAAGTGAACGGGTTATAGTAACGGATCAGAATGCAATGAGGTAAATGGCGATTGGGGTAATCATATGACGTTCAGTTTATGTACGTTCAGAATACTTAGAAGAACTGGTGTTTGTTAGTAGAATAGATATTAAATATTTACCGCCACCCCACTCAAGCTATACTTAGGCCGCGCGGGAAAGAATCTTCTATTCCCACTTTCTTATTCACTAAAGAGAAAATATCGCAATACGGTAATACCTCTAGATAGAGAACTCAAACACCCCATTCGTTGAGCATACCAAACTATACGACCACTAGAATAGCTCTTATTTTTTATATTTTCCATTGCCCAGTTGGAATTATATAAATCGATAACATTCGACGTACAGCCACCCTGCAAAAGTGTTCGTGATTCGCTCGTTCAAGTGAGACATCCAACATGTTTCAATTGACTAATCACTGTGCCCAGGTTGTGAAAATTTGAGGAGCCCGCAACCCGTGAAAATTTGAGGAGCCCGCCCCCGGTGAAGATTTTGAAGCCCTCAACCTGTGAAGCCGCATTCTATTAAGCCGCAACCAGTGAAGCCGCAACCAGTGAAGCCGCAACTAGTGAAGCCGCAATTTACTTGTGAAGTCTCAACGGATCCGTGAAGCAGCATATATGGTACGGCGTCGACGCAGCCATGGGCAAGCCAATAAAGCTGTCGAAGTTCAGCTTTTGGAAAAGAGTCTAGCTCATTTAAAGTTAGAAAAGGCTCCTAAAGCAAAGACTGCAAGGAGGCAGATGTCGTCTGCTGAAAAGGGAATGATTATCGCTTTCTTCTTCTGCTTTGGCTGCATACAGACAGTATCAGCAATTATTGGCAGGTGTGTTCACTATCCGACTGTCAGTATCAGTGGCTACATATATCTGAACTAGCTAATAACCATGACTACTACTATTAGACCTTGGTCGACAATCAAGAGCTTTATTCAGCGTACTATTCTACGAGATGGAAATAAGGACAACCTTCCCGGTTCTGGTCGACCATGCTTGCTTAGCCACCGGCAAAAGAAAGCACTTATGAAAGCAGCAAAAAATAATCGGAGGATGACAAAGAATGAATTTAGAGATAAATATGCACCTGGGGTCTCCCTTGCTACGGTCGATCGAGTCTTACGATAGGGAAATGTGAAGAAATGGCTAGACAAACACCGCCCGCTTTTGAAGCCTGAGCATGTCAAAAAGTGGCTAGATTGGGCAATGCAACGGAAAGACTGGGGTATTGAAGAGTTTATGAGTGTTATTTGGAGCGATGAGTGTGCAGTTGAGAGATCTAAAGACCCTCGTCAAATTTGGGTCTTCAGAGAACCTGACGGGAAATGGCTCGCCGACTGCATCTATCCAAAGCCAAAAGATCGTGGTATTTCTCTGATGGTTTGGGGTTGTTGCTATGGGAGAAATAAAGGCCCTTTGGTTCCAGTACCCGAGAGTATGACTGGTATCCGCTACCTTAGAATTATCAAGCACTATCGTCCGTCAGTTCTCAGAAATGCTCTGATGATCTATCCCTATGTCACTTTTCAACATGATAATGCACCAGTTCATACAGCTAGAATAATCACTGAATGGTTCGATCATAACAATATTGAGGTGGAAGCCTATCCACCTTACTCTCCAGATCTTAATCCTATCGAGCATGTATGGGTAGAACTCAAGAAAAGACTTCAACAACAGTACCCTAGAATTGCAGATACCAAAGGGGGACCACCTGCTGTCAAGAGCGAACTGGCTCGAGTTCTGCCTTTAGTTTGGGAAACTATACCTCCGGAGTTCTTTGAAAAACTTGCAGCATCGATGCTCCGAAAGGTGGAAGCCGTTATTCAAGCAAAAGGCTGGTATACGAAGTATTGACTTCCTGGTGTTGAGCGGATACTGGATGATGAACTAGTACTGGACGATTCCGGAAACCTATTTGTAGTTTTACCTATTTGTATTGTATTTTACTATATCTATTTAACGGGCACGGTGTTGAATGGGTCGCAAACCTCTGTATTTTTGATATTGCCCACCGGCACCCACAATGTCCATGGACGCCACTGTCTCACGTCGATCATGTCTCACTCCAGCGGGCGAATCACGAACACTTTTGCAGGGTGACTGTATATAAAGCCTGTAACGTACCCGCAGGAAGTCAGACACAAAAAGAAATCCTGTATCAGTAGGAACCTATACCCTTTTATCAATACAACTCAGCTCCCAAGTACACATATGTCAAGCTCAAAACAGATAGACCAGTCCCCACTGCAGCCTGTGCAGGAACCCACGCCCAAGGGCAACCGCCGCCAGCCACCCAAAACCCAACCTCCTTCTGAATTCACAGGATGGGACCGCGATCAGATCTTTGCCGTCACGAAGGCCATCCACCTTTACTGGAAAACATTAATGATGTACATCAAGCTCGTCACCGGTGCTGGCTCAGAGCAGATTACCTGGGGCCCCATGTGGGATATCAAGAGGACGCAACTGGAACAGTTCAAGGAGTATGTAAATGCCGTCAAGGTATGCTTCGCTGCTAAACAGGAATGGAGCGACGAGGACCATTATAAATATTGGGATTTGATGGATGAGTATCGCAATGCCAATATTGAGTTCTCGGTGTTGCTGAATACACATATCAAGTATATACCGCTGAATATTGCGATAACTAAGGAGTTGGAGGAGTTGGAGACGGGGAAAAAAATAAGAAGGGCAAGTATCGTGGGCAGGAGGTCAACACCTCCGACGTTACCTTCTCCTAACTACCCCAAATGAGAGATAGGTGAAGGAAGATTTGGATGACCGAAAACCAACCAGAAATTATAGAGATCGAGAGCATTTACAGGAGTAGGAAGTTTATTATCAGGCCATGTATACTAGTCGGGTGGTTTCATTAATGGTGTTTCCTTAAACATTCTCAATTTAGCTGTCTTTGTTTGCTTGTTTATTAACAGCTCAAGGGTTCTAATAGTATCTTTTTTGCTCAACACCTGTCGATGATTTAAAATAAGCAGCTTAACAATCCTATATACATGTAGTTAGCAGTACTTTTACAAGTCCTATAGCTAGACGATTTAAGAATACATTATTTCACAGAATATCAGCAATATGGGTGATCAATTTTACCGTTTATGATGTTATAGATATTATATTTGCTAGCTACAATTCTATTCCTTAGGCTGAATTAATGGTGTATGGGTCTGTACAATTATTTACGCAACATAATTAGGTGTAGTGATAGCAATTGCAGCTGCGGCACAAAAGATCACTCTCATAGATCCTGGTGATCCACTCTAGATATTTTTCTTGTGTCTGCTGATTTGTCATCAACAGATAATCTCGGCAGGGGATGAAGTTAGGGATCTATTCCTAAACTGACTTACCATTTTTTTTTTTCCTGTTGAGAAGAGAGCATGATTGATGATACCTGTAACCGGACCATTTTTCAACACGATTTCAAATTTCTAATGGATTTTCAACCATCACACATGTAAGATTTTTTGGCTCTATTAGATGATAGCATTTGCTTTCCTGTATACTTCTGTAGAGCCGGATAATTTTTAATATTTGTTTTGGTTGAATTATTGAGTGCTTAAATATTGGATGTTTTGTGGATACATGAACGAATGTCAGTAATATTAGAGCCAACTCAAGGTAGGTTAGTCTCATTATGGGACACGCTAGTTCCGATTATCAAGGTACTCTATGGCAGAGTTCGGTCAATTCTTGAGTTATAGTCAACAATTTTTATTTTTACCATTTAAATTTATATACTACCTGACGGTGATTTCTGTAACTCCTATACTTGAATTCTGTAGTACCATAGGGCACTCCTGCTTCCTATTTATCAAGTATCCAAATACAATATAAATAGGACTTATTTACAGAAATATTGATGACTGATTTTGGAGCAAGCAGGAATAGTCTCTCGCAATACTTCAAAACTGTACAGGCAATTATCTCTTGTATAATACTTAGCAGTGGATTAGAAGCATTCAATGAAATTTAATTCGCAATGGAATGTACGAAAAAGGATAATTTGATGTTGAAAAGCTTCAATTTCTTCTGTTAAATTTTCTTTTTGATATATGAAGTCACTCTGACTTGATAGTACTAAGTAGGCACAGTGTTGATCTATTAAGAGTCCAGATTGTAGAGAGCTGTAACAATTGTTAGTGGTAGGGCATTGTAGTAAAAAAGCAAATCAGTCAACCCTTCTCTGCCTCTATTAACCTCTGTCCTACAAAACATTTTCAATTCCTTTAGCTTTTCCTCCAATAGCTCAAAGTGAATCTTTATCGGGGAATATCATTAGTTGATTTTCCTGTTTATCATGTATATATCTCTCTCCCATTAAAGATTGAGATCCATCGGGATTATTATTCATTTTTGAGGTATCAATACAACAGCTCTGAAGCAGCAATAATTTAAAGGATTGTCCAGAGCGAATATGGTTAAACTGTAATACAGTCATTTCAACTGTCTGCTGTGGGAGTACACACAGGGCCCGATTACATGGTGAGAGTTATTGTTAGAAACCAGTTTCACAGTAATATGCAAGTACCAGTAGTGTAGTTAGCTACCGACTATTAGAGTAACTACATTCTTTACGCTAGGATGGGGATCTATTAATGAGAGCAATGACTCACTAGTATATGCCTTGCCAAAGACTAGAAAGCTGACCAGAGTGAAGCTTTGAATACTCGGTGATCCTCTGTATCCCTTGAGTATGCAGGTCTGCTGATAGTAGCAGAGGCTATGCCTGGGAAGTCTACAATAACTGGAAGCTCTACAGCAATAATTAAGTTTAAACCTGAGCGGTAACTCATTCCTGCATGCTCCGGTGATGTGGTAACGAATGCTGCAGGTGTTATAATGGCTTTGACTAATATTGATTGCTTTGGGTATCAGAATCACCTGTTGGAACTTAAAGAAAAGCGGGGTAACAGTAGTATTTTTTTCCCGACCGAGGAAAGGCATCACTGGAACTTAATAAGGAGTTAGGAGCAGAAAATAGAAGTCTTCGAGTTATAAATACTCACCCTCACTCTCGCTCTTCAGTCCGATCCTCTCCAGTCTTCATCAGAAAAGAAAAACCAAGTTCTTATCGGTAGTAGAGCATTTAAAGATTATTGAGTTCTACTGATAGTATCTTTGAATAATCTGCAACCTGATTGCCTGGGTTGCATGGCCATATCTATTCCATCCTATTCTATTTCTCTTAGAAGAGACTCCAGTTACAAATAATCCTCAATGATAAGGGTTGTTACCTTTCACAATTATAACAGTTTCGAGATTCACTGGTGTCTAGTATCAGCAAAGTGAATAGAATAGGATTTCATTCACCATCTGGGTCCCTTAGGGAACACTTACCCTATTTCAGAAACCATTAACCTGATTCAAAACTTCTAATCCAGCTTTCAAATGAATATCACAACTAGTCCGGTTACAGGTATCCCCCACTATAACCCTTCCCACTGTCACTATTGCAAGCTATTTCATATAATTCGCTATAGTCACATGCAGATCGATCATAAATATGAATCAATATGAACCAGAGACAAGTGATAGTATTATGATGTTCCAATCTACGCTTTACGTAGTGATCTAAATCTAGTATTCGAATTATATATTCTTTTTGCCTCTGATTACATTGCTTCTTGTACTTGACAATAGCCATGAGCTATAACGTCTACGGGTATCAACCGGGCTTAATTTCAGTAAATCTAAAATAACTTGATCTAAGTTGTTTGAACACAATTCCTTCGTATGTTTTTGGTTCCGCTTCCGATAACGTTATACCCACACAAATACAGCGGGAGAAGTCCAAGTTTAAAAAATCTATATCACTCAATAAAATCCATTTGATTAACAAATTAAGACAGAGAAACTGTACAGCTTTACAGTCACTACAGGTTCTCTGTCTCATATCTTGATAAAATATATTTCCCCATGAGTAGTTACATTTTTATCTTAAGGGTGCGAGTAGCGAGTATTCCGCAGGGTATAAAGGAGGTAGTAGAGGTCGGTGGGAGAGCCCACGATAGGGGTTCTGAATGACTTTAGTGCTAGTAAGGGTCGACGTGATAAAGGAGCAGCACTACGGTGGTCTCCTTGAGTAAAGTAGAGGAAATAATATTAGATAGTAATAGACAGCGAAGGTACAGAAGACAGTGTATATCAGAGGAAAGAGTAGAAAGAGAACAGAAGCGAGTGTGAAACCTCCTAATATACCTAAGGAAATTCCAGCGATAATAAATCCAAAGTGACTCATACCCTTACGACCAATGGAACCCGATAGAACTTAATAGAATCTTTCTGACTAATTCAACTCCTCGTAACCCAGTGTGTTGACTAATCGATATATGAAATTTTATTCGTGGTAGGGTCGGCCTCAATAACTAATAAATAAGGAGGAAAAACAGAGCCTTAGGGTTAAAAACCTGGAGAAGAATTTGTCAGAAGAAATACTATACTAGTTATGACTGCTCAAGTTATCCATTACAGCATAAAATTGGTGACAATTCAGAACAGTGAGCTTTCCATCCCTTTTAGCTAAACTCTATTTATAAAATTGGCAGTTGAAATTGAATTTACTGATTGCAGATGATTTTCTGGTCTTTGAACCTGCGACACTCTGATGCATGAACTTTAACCCTGTTACCAAACAAACCGGCAACGTTTCAGCTATTTGATCCTTCGACTCCTCGATCTCGCAACCTTCTGAACAATTGATAATATAGAAGAGATTGAGTGGAGAGATATTAATGCCATGCCTTTAAGGAAAAGAAATGCTAAAAATATCATGGAATTAAATAAAAGTATGGCAGCTAATAAACTTAGAGTTGAAGGAGATCGAGTAGAGGAAATTGCATTCAGAATAAGAGCAGAAATTGCATTGAGAATGAGATCAGAAGCTGCATTGGGAATGAGATCAGAAGCTGTAGAAGGAGCTGGAGGTAGCAGATTGGGAGAGGAAGGGAGATTTGCTGGAGACTCCTTTATTTGCTAATAATGAAACAGAGTCGGAAGAAGAGTCTTTTAGTATGGGTGAAGATTCAGATGATAATTATCTATGCTGGAAAGGTTCAGGTAATTTTGAACTGAGAGATACTGCGGATAAAGGTTGGCAGGCATTGGAGCGGAGTACAGCTCAGGAAGTATCGTTGAAGTCAATATTTAAGAGCAGGTTCAGTTCCAATACATCAGATTACTAAATCAGATCCGGACTGTTGCCTAATCCTGGTGTACACATTGGTATTGGAATTTGGAAACTCATCCAGGAATGAAAGAAGGAATGTTACTGGTAGGTAGTTAAAAGTTAACGAAGCTGCTTCGTTTTTATCAATCAAGGGTTTACTTCAATTATAGCTTAATTATTTAGCTACCATGGACCTTGCTTTGCCCGGTATATTTGGTGAGTTTTCTGAACAATCAACTGTGCCTACAAAGATAGAACTGACTTGGAAGGATATTACTAAATGATTGAAATCAGAGCGGGTTCGAAAAGGATGGCAGTTTCATGGGCAATAGAGAACGTGGCATAAAATGATCTGAGGTTTTCGGACTTCCTGCTTGCACTTCTCATAGGATTCAGCAACTCATGTAGGTTTGATGACTGTAGCGATCTTTAACCGTTGTGATTTTGTAGTAAGGAGAATACGGAAATGGTGTTCTACCTGGATTGAAGATCACGTAATCAAAAAGGGGTAACAGGGAATTGACAGAAGAATGAGCGCTTAGTATAATAATGAGAAAGTAGTGCTTTTTATCAAGTGTGAAATTGACTGTCTTGATTACACACTTTTAGCTCAAAAGCTTGCTGCCTATATTGCTCTTTATTTGAGTTCTGAGGAACACGATTATGCTGAACTTTCGGATTTGAATGAAGTTATAACAATTGAAGTCAACGGAGAGGAGGATGGAACAACAACCACGGCATACCATTCCAATGAAATTTGGAATCATTCAGGAAGAAGATAGTTGAAGCGAATTGGCTTTAACTTTCATCACATCAAAAAGGGAATCTATTTTGATGGCATGAATGTGAAGATTTGGTCCAATACTGTGCATTGTTTGTTCAGGAAAAGGGCAGTTTGAGAAGCTTGATTGTGTAGTATAATGAAAACGGAATAATGATCGAAAAGCTTGAACTTCCTATATCAGGCAAAAAACTCATTCTTGTTCACGAATGGAGAATTTACTTTTACTGCAAAAGATGTTTGATGTCAAGCGTGACATGAATATAACCAAACACACTTTCCTACCAAGAGTAAAGGTACAGAAATCATGCTCAATGATGTCCTCTATCCCAACTGGCGGGTTGCTGTTCCCTTAAATATATCAAATAATCATATGATTGTTAGAGGTCTTGATCCGGCTTATAGGTTTGCTACAGAGTATTTTGAGTATGGTAAAAATAATAGTGGTTATTGAACAGGAGATCATTTGGTCGATCATATGGTTAAAATCGTAATACCAATTCAAGAGCTCATCTATCTACCTGAATTATATCAGGGTTTCTTATTCTTTGACAACGCTGGAGGACATGGTTTTTATGCATCTGATGCTCTCAGGGCTCAAGAAATAAATTTCGTGAGTGGAGAAAAGACACCTATAGTGCGGAATAGTTACTAAATCTAGACTGCTATGGGATGTTACGGGATTAACTGAACTAAAGTAATGGCGGAGTTTAGAGCTCGAATAATGTAAACTGTTGCCTAACTGGAGCAGAGTCAGACAACTAAGGAGCAAAACTGAGGTCGGGTTCATAGGGGTGAGGACGAGGACTAGGACTTGAACTAGGATGAAGGTTGGAGTGGGATTCCCCTTGGTATGATATAATAGGTGATACGGATTTACGTTTAGGACAAAGATGAGGATTATATGAGTAAATATTTTATTGCTAGAGAAACAAAACAAGCCAGGATGATAGTCGAGAACAGCAAGTTTAGATGAAGAAAGGAGAAGAAAAGAACAAAGGAGAGACAACCATATATATATATCCTCTGAATGTCGCTGACTAATCTGTACAACAGACACTCTTAAAACCAAAACCCAATGTAATCCAAATACAGAAAGAAACATAACAAACGGAGATCTGATTATTAATTACTCTCCTTCCCGAACTTCTATCTCATTCAAAATACGCTGTTACATTTGCCTAATTCGAAAACGGAATATGAACTATTCCCTCAACTATCATCCGATGCTAGGAAACTAAAAGGATTACGTTGCGTTCTCGATGAACAGTATCTTTGGAGTTCTACGATGAAGCTAGATTGTGGTAGCAATATTTGTTCCGACTGCAAGAAGATTACTCAATCTCGTTAATACTGGATTGTTAAAACACTCATTTGCAATAAATCTAATGACTTGTCTACAAACCGAAAACGATGCAGACAGTGTATCAATCATATAAACACTATAAGCCTTACCAAAAACTACTTGACCTGTAAATCTCTAAGAGTGCAAAATGGGTCATATCTCTTCAAGATGATTTCTTGGTCTGAAAAGGTAGACTACAAGAGGAGGTTGAGGCTCGTGGACACAGAGTTCTATTTTTTCGTAAATTTCACTGCGAACTTAATTGGACAGAACGCTACTGTGGTAGTGCAAAGATATATGCAACAGCTAATTGCGGCTACACAATTGATGCACTTCGGGGGATTGCCCTTAAGGCAGTGGAGTCCATTGGGCCAGAATTAATAGGAAAACATTACAGTAAAATACAACGGATATTGAAGGCATACGAGGAAGGGATGATATACGGCGCAAAGGAGTTCACAGAAAGGGTATTCAAATCATATAGACGAATTCGGGAAGTAGAGGAATAACTGTATCTCATCAAAATAATCTAAAACTACTTGTTGTATTCTAGCCCGCATTGATATTGTAAGAGCTCGAGCTACAAAAGTAGGGGAAACCCAGGGTTAGGGTTGGCAAGCTCAATGGCTGGATTGTTGATATATCGTGACCGGAATCATAGTTCCACGAAGATGGGGAAGCTCCGATCATAGAATATTACTCGACTAATTTCCAAGCGATCTCAACCCATGCATGATGGACCGGAAAATTGGAGATCAAGCTTTAATGAAGACCGTCAAATAGTATTACGTTTATTTATGTTAGGTTGAAATCTCCGCCTTGACTCGCAATCAATAGATATATCCGTTGAATAGAAGGATGTAATTAAAAATATTCGACTGAGTAAGAATTTTGCATTTAAATGCATGTGAGCCAGTTTCTAACGTTCGATTTGTAACTTATATCTCCAGCTATAGCTATCAATCTCGCGCCGCATATATCATCCGCTGATTCGTGGGATAAACATACTTCCTCCATCCCATACGTACACTTATAATCTGTACAAAAGGATGAAAGGGTACTATCGATTCCCCTAAAAATGTGAATTAGGGAGACTGGATGAGAATCTTATTATTCGTTAGCATATTCCGTACAACTGCGATAGGTCCACATTTACTTGATTTTAGCTGCTTGGAAATATAACTGCCCTTTAATTTTGCAGATTGCCTTAATATTCTGGTTATCGGTGTTCATAATATAAAGTGGAGTATGAAATCTGAGATCCTTTGAACAATGTCAGTAGGAGGCTTTTATTTTAGCTTTAATACATGCACAAAGTAATATGGTAAACCTACAAATTAGAACTTTGAATTGAGCATGTAAAGATATCCTGCGGACTGTTATCGTGACAGATTCGGGATTGAAGTTTCACTATTGAATATGTGAGTCCAAATACTTCTACACTATTGTACGGAACTTCCTAAGATATAGTAATAAATACTTTAATATGATGGTTTCGTAGAAATAAAAGAAACGATTATCGAATAGACCTTGCCTGACCAGAACTCAAAACCTCTCTATAAAACCCCCCACAACTAACCTCTATATGCTACCACATTCCCGTAAACAAAAATTACTCTCCTCTATATACAGCCCCCCCCCCCAAAAAAAAAACACAGCATGGCAACCGCTCCTCAAGCAACCTCAATAGTCTCCTCAACTCAAACACCCTCCCCCACTATCACCGGCGCCACCCTCGCCCACAACGTCACCTCCAACAAACAAGTTCGCGCCACCATCAAAGCGCACAAAGCCCTCCTCAAAAGTCCTCAGGCCCGTACAATCCCCTGGCGCCAGATCCTCGACACCGAGAAAGCCAAACTCCGTAAGCTCCGGGAGTACTACATCGCCGCCGATGAAGCCTATCACCGCGATGAAATCGACATTCTCGATGTGCTAACATTCTGGGACTTGAATGAGGAGCATTACTATGCGGTGAAGAGGTGGCGCCAGCTGAAGGAGCGGTATAATAGTAATTGGGATAGCGAGGGGAATCCGATTATGGATCAGGATCCTGCTAAAACTAATGTGGAGGACAGCGATAGTGATACTGATGATGATTCTGAGTCTGAGGAGGAGTCTCAAGCTGATGGGGAGGAGAGCGAAGATGTTACCGGGTCTGAGCCGGAGCCTCAGAGTGTTCCTGAGCATGAGGGGAATCAACCCGCCGTCCATAGATCTCGCCCGCGGCGGAGGCGGGGGGTGGTGCACAGGGCTCGCCCTATGACACCGATTGAGGAATAGTTTTGTGGGAGGCAGTCGGAATTTGATGTGACATTTGCATCATGATGCGTGGGATTACCGCTCGGGTGGGACATATATTAGGACATTATTGATGGGGATCGAAGAATGCGTGGGAATGGACTTTGTTGGGAAGACAGCGTGACAACATGTGTAACAAGTTCGATAGTATAGTTTTTCCCAGAAGGTTGAGCCTGCATCGACACACAAATTTAAATATGGTCTTAAACTTGTGTTGCGAAGCTATTGTATTAATTATTTAATTTGGTAACTATTATAGTACATGTGATATAATTATTTCAATTTATAATAACAATAAACATTGGAATTAAAAACCAAGTAAATTGATAGACGCGCCAGACTACAAATGCGGGGGTGTCAGGGTTAGGGGTTGTGTGTTGTACTCGAGTGGGCGTTTGATTCATATCAGCCGACAAGATCTAGTCCACAGTTTATACATCTAGGATAAAGAGCCCTAGAGCGACTGATTTTATCGATACTACCACGTTGCTGCTTCACCTTACTGCGCGATCATGATATATCACTCGTTTACTAGTTGCCAGCTTGGCATAAAAAGCATCTGTGTCATCAGAGGCCACACGTTCTAGTGCAGGTATTCTGACAGGCTGTAGCAGTTATGTGGTTTTACCCGGTTAAGCGTAGGTGTTAGTTTCGTAGAGCCTATAAAACGCCGCTGCGGCCCACTTCTTCACTCGGATATCCTGTCCGAGCAAATCCTCCGATACAGCACCAAGCAGCACCCCCTCCCCGTTCAGGCCCAGTAGACGCGGCATGCTTATTACATGGAGGCAGATCACGAACACCGGGAATCCACGAATAATAATTCCTTCGACAAAGGCTAGGCCTATAGGCTAGAGACGAGAGCAGGAGGCTGACTGGGGTGCGGCAAATGAGGCTATGGGCCCAACCACTACATGCTGTCAAAATAACAATGGCTTATATGACAAAGGTATTTTACACCTCTGTTGATTTCGATTAGCAAGATCAACGTGTGGCTAGAATCCGCAGAGAGCACATACCGCCATAGAACGGACGCCTACTCACCTGCAATCATTACCTCCACAGAACTAGATGGGTATTGGTCTATTTAGAAGAATCTCCGGATCTATTGGTACTCTAAGGCATTCAGACAATTTTAAGAGCTAACCTATACTATATACGCACTTGTACCCTGTTCTCACCCGGCGCCCACTGCGAAGACTACAGAGAAATCTCCCTAACGAAAAATGGAATACGACTCAATTACGGTACGTCCACCCGCCTGTAACTGGGCGCAAGGAGCCTGCTTTTGTTCCTCCTCCAACGGCAATGTTGAACATGCTTGCGGACCTGCATCAAAATCATTTCCCATACCGTCAAGAAGTATGGAAGACAAAGAGAGCGAAGACACGACTTATCATCCACCGCGGAAGCGAGTAAAACGAACATACCAGAACAGCAGTCCTCGTACACCACCGAACGATACTCAGGCATGTAGACCTCTTCGAACAAGCCCTCGGTTTAGCAAAGACACCACGATAGATGACCTCCGAGTAGTAGATCAAACTCCCCACGACGCCGGTGGGCACACCCCCGACGTCCAATACTCTCCACGGACGGGGACGGATTCCGCACCTCTCGCTGCGGCTCATCCAACCCTCTGGCTTCCAGAAAGACCGAAACCCATGCCATTCTCCCCGTCCACTACTTCAGCCACACCGGTCGAGAATGTGAAAGCTAAGAAGGGAGTTGTCAGTATTAAACGCGAGCTAGATATTGAAACGCCGAAGCTCATACCGCCTTCCCCACCCGCCAGTCCAGCCACACCTCATGACAACTTGCAGGTTCAGGAGGAATGTGTTAGTATTAAACGTGAGCTAGATATGGATACACCCAAGCATATGTCCCCCTCCCCATCCACCACTCTAGCCGCACCGGACGGGAACGTGAAGGTCAAGGAGGAACATGTCCGAATAAAACGTGAGGGGGGCGCGGGGGCACCAAAGCCCATGCCGCCCTCCCCGTCCAGCACTTCAGCCACGCCGGACGAGGACGTGAAGGTTAAGGAGGAGCGCGTCAGTATTAAACGCGAGCAGGAAACGGACTCTTTTAGTGCTCGGTCAGCTGAGGACGCACTACTAATAGATGGTCGACATACTGCGGAGGAGTGGTCGGTGGCAGAGGCGATTGTCATGCTGGCAGTAGCGCTGCGGGAGTGTGGGGGTGTCCGATATCGGTAGTAAAAGAAGAGCTAGAGGTGTGGAGGACTAGCTATTACGGTCGAGGTGGCTGTCCAAGAGGTTTGGGACTGCGAGTGGGGGTTGCATTGATACTGACGTTGGGCGGGAGAGGGGAGGTACTCGGGGGAGGCGGCAAGAGACATTATTTGTAGACTTGTGTATCTAGATTTTAGATTCTGTTAGTGAAAGGTACTGAAACCATTATGGTTATCGTAGGCCAATTCAATTATGGTGGTATCAGGAGCGCTTCGAATGAAGTGACAAGCGCTCTTGCTATTTGACAGTCGTCCAGTGGCGAATAGCCCTAACCCTGGTAAGATAAACACGAATGTACCAAACTCTGTCTAACAGACCTACCTGAGCATCCATGATACAATTGGACCTTTCGAACCCCAACCACCGCAGCAGCAAAACAAAATTACCTCATCCAGGCAGCCCTGAGGGAAATTATCAGGGATATCTGGGATGGCAAACCTGATATCACAAGACCATTATATTTTGGGGTGACGGTTATAGGATTTAGTGAGCTTTATGGGGCCCTTCAATCATTTGCCATACAACCTTTAAGTTGTGATTCCTCTGACACCAATCGAAATGCAGAGTTCATTGGTATTTTCCTACTGATTGTAGTACAATAACCCGCGCAGTCTTAGTCACTGGAATAAGATCTCTCACAGGAACTTGAAAAATAGTAGAATTCATGAATCCATTTTAGAAGTTTTGTGTATTACTAAGATTTAGAATTAAAACGTAAAATATCTCATAAAATTTCCTCCAAACACGATCGTCCAGACTCTCCCCACCACGAAATCCAAATGCACACCTCAGCATAATTGAAGAACGCCCAACGATAATGAAAACTGCGGTTTCTATTCTATGTCTTGTTCATGGTAAGTGCATTGTGTTTATATCTCCCTCAGGGAGTCCGATAAAGTTCAAAGCAGGCATCGCACCGTTTGCGCCTCTTGACAACATCCCCCTTGAAGATCTTAACAGTACAGAGATGGCTGGCGGAGCAGCGCTTGATCAAGATGTCAAACTCGCAGTCGCAGACGGTGTACCATTTGTGAATATATTCGCACATGATGAAGGATGTGTTTATTGAGCAGTGAAATTTGTTGTGTGTTTCTAGACGCAGGTCGAGGCGAGTAGGGGACTTGCAGAGTTCTGCAGGCTGTCTAGCGCTAGGATGGGGGTGTCGATAAGAGAATGTAGCAAGAGTCGAAGAAGGAAGGAAGGAGGGGGAATAGGGCGTATTTATGGGGCACCGGTGAGCGTGTGCCCATTGCGCCTGAGCCCTGGTATTGGTATCAGGTAGTACGCAGGATTTGACTCGTTGGGCCTGAATTCTATGGGAGCCTATGCCGATAATACATAGGATAGAGGTTGGAGAACCTATCATTTCAATATGAACTCAACTTTAGGCTAGGTATAATCAGGTCAGCACTGCGTACTCGGAACCATGAGGTGTCTCTCAGGGTATTCGGGGTGGGGGCCGGTGGTAACCAGAGTCGGTGCCGAGAAGCTAGGAAAAGCCAAGTGTCTCGTACCAGGAGTGCAATATTTCCCCAAACACTCTAAAGGTTACACACTCAGTTGGCGTGGCTTCATTGACACGGAATGCACGCTTCCTGAATGTTGTTCCTGCCTATACCTCAGTTCCTGCTTGAGTAGGCAATAGGTTCGTGTACAGAGATAGTTTCAACTGATTTTTGTTTATATGATATGCGATACCTAAATGCTATATCAAGGAAACTGCTCTAAGACGACTATGAAGTTCTTATCGAAAGAGATTTCAAAGCATATTTCAATGCATATTTCAATCACAGAGGATCACTCGAGAATCAAGTAAGCTCCCCCGGGTTTGTGGGTGAGCGACTGAGTTAAGGAAGCGGGTAAAACGTATCATCTAATCCGTTTATATTTAGCAGGATAGTTTAGTTTTAAATTTTACCCCCGGTTCGGCTCACTCCTGGGCAAGCGGGTTTAGAAGATTAAGGGCTTAGAACTTGTCTTGGGCCACCGGGTATTTTGTTTTTGTGCTCTCTGGGGCTTGGGGCTTGGAAGTGATTGGTTTTTAGTTTTATTTTTTGTACTTCTCACTACTTAGTGGTGGCCCACATCGTGACCGCGAGTTGCACTTTGGATTATATATAGGATCAATCAAGGGTGGGATAATTGTGGAAGGCCTTCCATGGGGGTGCTTCGGCCCCGTCCTCCTCCTTCCGTCAGTAAAGTCAGGTTTCAGTACATGTTAGATTGAAAGGGTCTGGGGAGTGGGCATCGTTTTCTCCTATCGCGCTCTCAAAATATGTGGAATCCTAACCCTCATTATAGAACACCTAACCCTCGATGTTGAACACCTAACCCTGAGCTTGGCCAATCGCCAACCTACACCTAATTCTTGGACATGAAATCTCACTCGATTCTTTCGAAAACAAACAGGCTGAGGATTTGTCGAAAAAGCATACATATACTGGAGGGACTGGAAGACTTGTAACCTTGTCACACGTAGATTTCCGGTGGCTTCACGTCTATACAGGTGATGAACTGACTTGCATATAGTATAATTTATGAGTATCTCGATTGTTGAACGAAGTGACTTAATATAAATGACGCTATGAATAAATCAGTTTTTAATCTGTCAAAGAACAGTTGATAATAGAATGTATGGATCGTTTAGCGCTGGAATACTCATACAAAACCTCAATACATCCGCGATCGTTATTTACCACAGTTCTAGGAATGTGAAATTATCAAAGTGTCGGTATCTAGGTATTTCTCTCTCGTCATACCTCACGCGGAAACAACGTTCAACCCCACGGCGATTCAAGTCAGGCCAAAATTACGATCAAGTAGGGAATTACGCGCAATCTAATTTCTCCATCGTAATAATTTATGATGGCTGCCCAAATGGGTCAACCCTTAACGGTGAAGATATGTTTAATACGATAGGATATCTCACCGATCACATAATATATCAACTAGACCAGGCCTAGGAATGGTGCAATCGAGTGATAAAGTGTGACTTCAAATGTGTGGAGGGTTTTCTGGTGGTCTGTGCGGTGTTCACTCAGTCAGTGAATTCCACTGGAGCTTCCTAACACAGATACCAGGACGTCATATCCGGAGCCAGACAGCTCCTATAGTTATCTGGCCGCTGATGCGACCTCTGTGGTGACCCGCATACCAATCCGCGGATAATCGAAGGTATATAAAATATGTTGATAGTAGCGTCAATCAAAGGATCTTTGAAGCATGACCAGAAGCATATATTTCTTTGTTGAAGGCGTAATTATACAATTTGATATTTCGAGTTTCGGCACGCCTGAAGGGCTGTGGTTTGTTCGAAAGTGAGTTCGGCGGGTGTGTGTGCTGAATGGAAGCTCATGATTCGCGCTGGATGAAATAGAATTTTAGCGAGGTAAAACTGCTCAAACATATTTTAACAAGCTGGAAATCAGAGAATCTTGCTCAAGGTCAAATTTAGAGAAATTGATAAATACCGACATGCCAAGACACATGCAACGTCTCTCAATTACTTAGGATCATGTTATTTGGAGAAATGGTAAACCTACATATATATCGTCGGGTAGCGCATTGGCTTGCAAAGAAACTCACAGATTTTTCTCATGATCAGAACAAAAAGCCAAATTCGTACGAACTGATGAATTTATTAATTATGTCAGAAGCTGAAAGGGTGGATTCAGCAGCACACTAGGTGTTGGTAGCGGCACATAGAACATGGAAAAGACATCGCTCTCTTAGCCCTAATCAAGTTCGATATAACAATCATTTGTCAGTGATACACGCACATGTCTCCGTTTTATAATCCCATTGATGATTAGTCTGCTGAAGCTCGGTAGACCATGCGAGGATGCTAATCGTATCTGTATTCAAAATATCGTGCTGCGAATCGGTAGTACTCCAGGTATGTTCGCCCAGGACATGGTAGAGGAATCATACCAAGATATCAAGATCCAGTCTGTGGGGCATCTGCCTTGACCTATGTCAACCCTTGACAGAGATCTGATTGATGCAAAGCATGGGCCCAAGTGAGGAAAGTTGGAGAAATAATAGTATGCTTTCAATCGATGGGTCGAACTGTTCTTCACAATAGAAAACGGTCAAGGCTGCAAAACCTGTAATTCTTTCTAGACTGAACGAAGGTGTGCATCAGCAAACCAACCAACATAGACGCATAGGTTCCCACGTTTTAAAGGAGCAGGAAGGAGCAGGTGAATTAAAATACCTTTTGTGATAGTTCTAAGTTTAGGTTATTCAATTTACCCGGCTGCTTTCGTGGGGAGGATGACTAAGGCCAATGGAAACAGCAGAGCGGAGGATGACTGACTATACGATTGGTGTTTCAGACATATCGTTCCCTTGTTTTAAACAGGAAATAGAATTCAATTGCTGCCTTTTGTCTCGCCTCTGAGTGAAGATGGGTTTCAGCTTCTACCATTGATCAAATTGATTGGGCCACTATTCAGCCCCATGCACCGCCGTTGTAACGGCCACTGTGGCAAACATTCGCCACGCTATACTCGTTACACAAACTGCGAGTGAGAGCTGGTGATGGGGATCGCTTGGCCCATCCAGCGATCGACGCATATAGACAAAGCTTCCGATGCGTCAGATTCAATAAGTAAGGAAGCAGAGGAGTTGAATGAGAACAGTTAATGTTAGACAAATGTATCGATCTCGCTTTTAATTACGGTGGTGCACCGTCGAGGTTGAAACTACCGTGTGAGGTAGCCCCGAGAGAAACAGGCCAGTGGAGCTTAGGTTGAGAGAGGCATTGCCGAGAAGTCGAGGTGAGAAGCAAGTGCACAGGTTGTGCTTTGGAACAAAATTGGACGCGAAATGTGGAACAATCGCGGATGAAATGGGTTTGCGAAGCAGGTGTAAGGGAAGACACGAGCAATCTGATCTAGCACACCCAGTCTGAAGTCTTGTTAGCGTTTGGGCTCTAGGTGGATATCGGATAGCAGAGGGAGTAGTGATAGTGACATCATGGGATATGGTGTGAATCAATTAAGTTGCGAGCCTTTTTTCCAGCCTTTGGGTTCGAAACGTCGCAGGCAGTTCGCCATCTCCTACCATATTTCTATCCTTTTGGCGCTCATTTTGCGTCCAGAGAATCGGGTATGCTGCTATTAAATGCGATTTACGGGGATAGTGAAGACGTTTTCTCCTTTTATTATATCACGATCGTTCCATTGTCTGTAAAGAATGTTAGGCTACAAAAGTAGAATTGGTTATAGGATTGTTTATAGGAGAAATGAGTAGAAGTTCGATCGGATGTTATTATTTGGGGCGGTATGGTGCGGGAAGAATGTTGTCAAAGTTTATAGCTATTCATGCGCTTTAGTGTTGTTTCCTTCGCTGTGGGTGGGGGTCTCGGATGTGGGAGAAATTTCTTTCGCTAACTTCTTGAAGGCTGTTATTGTGCATTAACTGATATATTAAACATAGGTAACTGAAAACAGTGACTCTTCAGCATGCAACGCATGCGCGACTGCAGAATATGCACCCTATAAGTAATACAAGCAGCAGTATTAACAGCTATTATAACTTAGTTAAATCCCGACCACTCCAAAGTCCTGATAGGTAAAAGTCTGTTCGGACAAAAAAGCCTGCCGAGCATTCAACTTAATTTATCACATGTGTCCAGATATTCGATCTCGACACAGTGTCAAGAATGGTCATCACCTTGAGACAAGTCAGTACGATAGAAGCTATTCCCACGGCGGGTTAAAAGTTCGCGACCTGAAATTAAAGTTCATCTCGCACATGTGCACGCCGAAACTGGCGGTACCCCCGCTCCCTTCCTTGAAATCAATTTCCCCTACCTCAGCAGGGTCCGGAATCAATTCTGAACTTGAAAGTCTACCTATCTTCCATTGAGCTCTGTTAAGTCGCTTCATAGAATTGGCACTTGGGCGTCAATCGCTATTTGAGCGTGAAAAATGAGCACTGTTATTTTTGCTGTAGGATGAATTTCAATTGTGGGAACTTAAAGTGCATGTATCAGGGAAGGATATTGAGTGTTTAGAGCACTTTTTGCAGGTTAGGCAGTGCGCTCACACTGAACTGTCATGATCTGTAATGGTTAGTTTGATCGCCTTGGCTCATTGTAGACCTATGATGTCGCTATTTACGAAGTTCACCTAAAAGGCACGGATGGGCTGTCTTTCTGGAGTTCCGTAGAGGTGGAGAGGGGATTGTGTTCTTGGTCGTAGATCTAATTTGTCGAATGATGCAGAGTTTTCACTTCGGGAGATCGTCTAACTCGTTCTGCGGGTAGAGACGGCTTCCATCGTTGTGAACCTGGGTGGTCACGCTCTATGCCGCCCTACGTCTTTGATGGACTGAAGGGTCCTAGAGTGAACGTGTCCGATTCTAGTTCATCCTAGGGACGCCACGAAGTGATAATGGCCCCGCTGGCGGTCGGTTTAGTCATTGTGCTTATATCTGCACGCTACATTTGCCACTTTATGTAATTTCAGCCACAGCCCAGATTTATCAGGCCATACAGAGATAATATCAGGCTTGGCATAGATCTGCAAGCAGCCAGGGCAGCGGCGAAAATTACTGTGGCGTTGACTCTGCTCAAAATCTTGAGATCGCGCTGATTTCTTCTCCTCCAATTCTTTGTAACTTTCAAGATTCATACGCTCGTTCACACCACCCACAGTCGCTTCCGAATCAGAGGAGTCGTCCTCACAATACGAAAAATGGCAGACAAAAGTACCAACCATCGTAGCCCAAGCCTTGCAGTTCAGGAGGAGGTAGCACAGTACTTCCCCCACATCGCCGATGAACCTGCTGGCATCCAAACCCAGCCCCATGGTGAGAGTGTGCTGTTTGAAGCCCTGACAAGAGAGCCTTCGTTTTCGTCCCACCACCAACACTCTGAATATGGTCCCCGGTACTTTCCGGCTCCTGACACTACCTACTTCCGCTTCAACGGTGTTGAAGTAGACACTGACCTTTCCAAGCTGAGCGATTGGGAGACGGACACCTCTGACGACAGTGAATATGATCACGAGCGAGAGTTGACTCCTCAATCCGGAGGCAGCCAGGCCATCAACGAAAATATTGGTCAAGAGGGAGAGAATGAGTATCCCGCGATATTGGTCGCCACAGGTATGCCACCCCCTGGTCGTTTGAGAAATTTCTTGAACTAAAATAGGCACAGCCAATGCTGCCGTAAACGCTGTGCAGCAGCGCTACCATGGTCATGTACGGTTGGGTTTGTCTTCGTATATTCATTCTCCACCAAAAATGATTATTAACACATCACCAGGAGCCGGTCACGAAGTCAACAATGGTCAGGCCAGCGGTCAGGCACACGTATCTGGCTTTGGTAAGCCGTTCCTTCCTCTAATCCTGTAATCACCATAACTATCTTCTCACATGTGTTGCAGTCGATAACCGCGGGTACATGTACCCCGATCCTTCCCAGAGTGACCAACAATCCGGCCTCATCGGTAGCGTATTGCCCCTTCTTTCACACTCTTTCATTTCTTGTTAACAGTCTTCCGTGATCCATAGTCGGCCCCGCCTTTAGTCGACCTACTCGTATAGGCCCTGAGGAACCTCAAAATGGTAAGCTACACTATTAGGCCAGAAAGGTACTTTCCATTGCTCTTCAAACAGTTCGCTCACACACATATAGAGCCTTTCGTCCTTGGCCCAAACGCGGCAATGCTTGAAGAACATGGTGTCGAGTCCACTGCAGCCCACACCGGTAATACACCACAACTGGCCACACCCCCTCCTCCACTGCCTCTTCTGTTCCTTCCATGCTAACACGCAAGGCAGCTTACTACGGCCATAACCTCCCAACCCGGAGAGCCCGCTGCCCTGATGGTAGATTCCGCTGCCGTGTCTGCACCTATACGAGCGGACGCCTCCAAGCCCTGCAGCGCCATATCAGCACGCGCACAGGCAACATCAGGTTCAGCTGCCCCCACTGCGGGAGACGCTTCGTCCGCCAGGACCTTATGCGCATCCATTCCAGGAAGTGTAAACACGCCGGCAAGCGCGAAGGTCCTCCGGATAATGCTCCTGGCCCGCCTGGTGGTCCCCATGGGTCTGACGGCGACGCTGGTGCTGGAGCCTCTACAAGCAAGGCTGCGAGGCGCAAGGTTCAAGGTAGCGGTAGAAACCGTGGGGGAAGAAGGGCGGCGAAGGCCTAATGAGTCCAGTATTGAGGGATCAGTAAGCTTTCCGAGGTTGGTTGGGGTTTCTCCATAAGGAACATCTGATACGCTATGTTTGCACTGCTTCCCTCCCTGGCGTTTCGATAGCATAAAAGTGATTTTCAAATAGGCTGATTGAGCTGTTTGCTCCTAATTTCATAGCTTTTTCCAACTGTGTTTCATTGTGTTTTCTGATCGCGGAGGTGATCTTGGATCACCTTGCATTGCTTATATTGGCTGACAGTTCTAATGCTTGAAGCTGGCGAAGAACGATGCTGACTTGATCTCCAGGGATGCGGACTCAATCTCCAGTAGTTGTTCTAAAATCCCGCTCTAGGAGAGTCAATAATCCGCAGCTCAGCAAGGGGAGAATACAGAACCAGGTAGTAGGAAAGAAGAACCCATCCATCCTAGCATGCATGAAGGCTTAGGATCCTGCTAGTTCAATAGAGAAGGAAAGGGAGAACGAAGCGACTTTACCATCTCGTTCTCTCATCAAGACATCCGACTCCCATTGTGCGGATGCCCTGGTCCTATCTGTGGTATTACATATCTGGGGATCTCTAGAGCGGCTATTTGTATGTTAAAACCAGCAATAAACCTCCAGGAGGCTGTAGGAGTCGGTTTCGGTCGAGCCCGTGGAAGTTCAGCAGCAACCTTCGCCGGAAATAGCTGATATGTTAGCGACGCATTTGTATGATGTCTTCGAGGTATCTGCGGATAGATTCCAGTGAAGGAACGTGGGTTTCTTCGATGGAAGAGCTATTTACCGAGCGGTTCCGGTCAGTTACATATGGATAGACTGCAGATCCAAACGTACGAGGTTCCGACGATGCATGGCTGATTGCCCATTATGGACCTTGGAGTTGGGATGTGAAGGAGATGAAATGGGAGATGAAGGAAGTAAAGTCAAGTGACATTAGACCTATAGATATCGAGGAGGAGGATGTGAAGGGTCACGGTTGTAAGATATATCTGGCCCGAGCCGGCACTGTGGCACCAAGCGGTGGGAGGGAACAGGTGCTTGCGAACGTGCCGTGTTTACACGTTCCCTCAAGGATACTTTACAGGGATTACAAGAGAGTAGAGAAAGATCTCTTTCGATTTGAATGATTTGATTATACACCAGGATCATTGGCCCTCGTGCGCAGACTTCCGACTGGCACTGGGCAACTGTCCTGTGGGACTTATTTACTGGTTTCGGCTTTATTGTTTATTTTATCTCCGTTCTATCATATCATGTAGGAAACGTCTGCGTCGATGACTATAGGAACAAGCTGAGGTCTATTTTCGGAGGGGTGTAGCAAAAGCGTGTGAAAAAAACGGGTCACACTTCACCTAATAACTTACACAGCCAAGCCCGGTCTAACCAGAACGAGAGACAGCGTCCCCCCCTGTGTGCTTCAATGTGGTGGCCACTGCTGGGATCGGCACACTGGACACAAGTCAGGTTCCGCAGCGCCTTCGAAAACACATGAAAAACGTCTATCTACCCTCCAAGTCATCGAAATATTTTTCAAAAAGCTTGTTATTTCATCAAGACGTCAGGCAAATTTTAGTATACATCTTATATGATAGACAGTGAAGGAGACTCGGGAGAGACGTGCGCGATACTCTCTGACAGATCAATCGGGAACTATGAAAGCGGGATGGTTCGATTATGGCTATTTATACGTCCCATCAGCGTTCCGGGAATCTTACGAAGAACCAACCTAGTGTCTCACGCCCTATCCCTTAAGCCGTCAGGCCGAGTTGAAAAGGCAGCTCTTAACCACATTCAGTAAAGATGATGGATTGAACGCTGGTCTCAGTCATACCGTCACGCCAGCTACTTATCAAATGCATGGCAGATCGTACTAGATATCTCCAATGTTTACTGAATGTGGTTAACAGCTGCCTTTTCAATTCAGGCTGACGGCTTAAGGGATACCCCTAACTGCGTATCACCCTGGGTGATAGAATGCGGGGGAGCGTTAACCAACTTGAGAGCCAATGGCAATGGTCACAGGCACCTACCCCTGGACTGCATATTGCAGAGTTTTCATTGTGACGCGGTCTTTCCAGTTTGATAGATATGTGGCCTCTTATTGACCCTGAAATTGCAGATAATGCTACATGTATGCCTGTCTAGGGTTTCCAGTGGTTCATCGGTTATATGGTTCAAACCGGTTTAACTGAACCGTTTAACTTAACAGTTGGTGCAGTTTTTATTGCCCTCAATACATGGTTTGAACGGTTTAGAAATCTGCAAAACCGGTTATACCGACGGTTTAAACGGTTTATACAACTCATGTTCATGAGCTCGAACACGCCAGTTCCTGAGGTCGAACACGTCCGTTCCAAAGCTCGAACACCCTGTTCGAGAACATGAAGAGCTATTTTTTGGACTGTTATCATGGTGAGTATGCCAAGACATAAAACCGCGGTTTAAGCAGTTAAACCGGTTCAAACTGTCACGATAAAGAGTTGGTACAGTTGGTACAGTTTGAACTCCTTGATTTAGTGGTCGGTGCGGTTTTGTCTTATATAACAACCGGTTTCTACCGTTGGAAACCCTGTGCCTGTCCTGCTTGACATTTGATTTCTATGGAAAATCCGCCAAAATATATTATGAGCTGCAACTCAAGTCACAAGCTGAGCTAACACACAGAGAACCTATCAGGATGAGACATTTCGGAATGGCAGAAGTTTGCTCCCCGTCTTGAAAGTCAATGATAGCAAACAACAGAGTAGGCACACCGTATAATTGCAGTGAGCAACAGGCGACCTCACGAGCATGTGGAATTAATATCTATTCCAAGGTCGTCCTAGATTCTATATCGATCTATGTCTCTGCGACGCCCAATACAGATGGTCATGCTAGTGCATTTGTGGCAGTTCCGGAAGTCTTCGGGCTTCCTCTATTGCTGACCGAATTCCGTATATAGCACCGCCGTGAGAGCCAATTATGTTTACCCACAGCTCACACAGGACAAACACCACCCGGGATAATGAAAAGTTCACAAATGAACTATAATCTAGATATTCCGGCACATAAGCTACGCTATACCGGCCAGTCTAGGATCCTACCTGGCCTTCCCACCGATGCCCGTCTTTTCTGCCCGCGAGCTGATGCCACCGAGTATGACTTTCCTGAATACGATTCAATATTTCTAAAACATCACCTTAATGTCTCTAATTTCCACAGTTTCCTCCGAACACCATCCTTGTTTAAGTGAGCAGCTGACCAGGGATGAACCACTCCCACATAACCTCCGATCCCACGTACTAGTAAGCAAACATCATGACAAATATCAGCAGACGCCATGTAGTCCCAACTAGTCAAGTGTTGAATTCAGAACACGTGTTCATAACCCCTAAACATCTGGGGGGGCAGAGTTGACTTTCCAATTTGACAGAGTTGCCAAGAAAGTTGTGGATTGCCAGTATTAAATAATTCCAATTGCCTATAGAGATAGCTGGGGAGATTGGGGGTAAGGAAACTCGATACTGAGGTTATATTTCTAGCTACTTGGGTGGTTCGGGGAGGGGGTAGTACTTGATTCTTCGAGGCCAAAATTTACTAATTAAAACTCTGTAACTCGCGGGTACGAGTGAACGTTTTCCCGGGCTATATGTATGTAGTAGAGAGTAGAGAGTACCGAGTGTACCTGCAATACAAATTCCTTTTGGCAGCTGTTAGACAAAAAGAATAAAACGTTTAGGAACTGCCTCTTCTTTCCTCCCACCTTGAGAACAAATAACTATAGAGACCTGGTTTTCTTCCTGACTGCGAATTACCCCGGCGGTAATGACACCTCGCCCACTAAGCTTTAACAACTTTCGTTGACTTAATGTACCCTACTGTATAATCATGGATTCCCAGAAGGAGCTCGCAACGAGCTAGGCAGGGACCAATTTTATGACCACAACCAGATTGTGAGGCGCTTCGAGAGTGGGGTGTCAGGTGGTATCACTCGCCTCTTGCCAAGAATGCACAGGAATGAGCTGGCTTCATGGATCATCACTCGGGCCGGTTGCCAAGAAGGCTTTTGTTACGTTGACTCCTGCGAGGAAGTACATGTGAGATTGGGTGTTTCCTTTCGGACGCAAGACACAAAATATGTGTTTCCCGGGTGCTTTACATATATCACGGGTGTCCTTGGCTGTGGGTAGTATGATGAGAAAAATACTAGTAATCACAACTTGAGCGAGTCGGAATTGCGGTGCGAGAAGTGTGATAAATATACGATGTTGTAATAAGACTATTTTTTAGGGCATAAGAGATATACCGACATCGTTCTAGAGACAAAGGTTCCTGGCGGTCCTCGCAGCTTGCGTTTTGATATAGAACTATAGGGAAGAACGGAGTGTTGGTACAGTAGGATCGTTAACAGGTTTTATAATTTGCTTCGTTCGATGATGAATTATATGGCTCATTCATGACCGTTAGTGGATCTTTGTGACGTAGTGTATTATATACAGCGAGATGTAGTATAAACAGTCAATGCCAGCACAGAGAGCACATCATGATCGAAAATCCCGAAAAATGAACAGCACATTACAAAGGTTTGAACTGATAATAAGATTTAATTCATTGTAAATCCCTTAATGTAAGCTCGTACAAGCACACTACTAGCCTCAACGAGCCAGAGCAAAGCTACTATTTACTTCTTTAGAACTATCTATCAATCCACCTCATCCCCTCCTCCAACGCCACCCTCAGCCTCCTCCTCACATTCTCGTTCGCATTCCTCTCCTCCTCCACCGCATTCCTCGCCCTCTGCTCCTCCCTCTCCCTCTCTATCCTCTCATCCTCCTCACGATCCTCCCTCCTGGCAACGCGATTATACTCCGCAATCTCCTCTGCGGTCATCGTCCTCGCATCAGGCCACACCCTGCTCGACACACCCGCACTCCTAGGGGTCTCCACGTAATGATTCTCCACTCTAGACCTGCGCATGCGCTGCCTCTCGTAGCGGGCCAGTTCCTCCTCGATCTCATCTTCTGTCAGCGTGGGGAACCGCAGGCGATAGCTCGCCGCGGTGGGCGGGTTCCCGAACGCATAAGTAACACTATCAAAACTGTCCACCACATCCGTTCCGATGCTGTCTGTTACGTCGAGCGCCTCTCTCCTCACAAATCCATTACCCACCATATTGCGGCTCCCTTGCAACGCCTCTCCATTGCCATCAACCATGAACTGTCTCCTCACAGGCCTCTCCTGCGCTGCACCGGATACCCGCCGGGGACTCTCCCCCGTCGCAAACCCAGCCTCGTCCTGGGCCCACGCCGCCCCGCCGGGCAACATAGATCTGACGGCTTCCCCCGCCGCGATTCTAGCGGCGGTGTAGAGTGACCGCGTGTCACCCGTGGAGCCCATCATACTGCGTAGGCGGATTGTGAACTCTGCCACCGCGCGGCGCACGGCCGCGTCGTTGTTAAGGACAGTGGCGGGATCGGGGGCAGGTTCGGCGATTTGGAGACGGATGGCAGCCTCGCGGGCGAGGAAGGACTGGTATTCAGATAGGATGAGGGTGTCCAGAGGTGTGTTGAGCGTGTTGTCGGCAGTGGTTGGGTCGGGAGGGTTGGCGGCGGAGAAGAGCGTGAGTGTGGTGGAGAGGGTGCGGATTTGGGACATGCGGTGTTGCATGAGGGCGTATGTCGGGGGCGTGGGGTAGCTGATGAGACTGGTGAGGCGGTGTATGAGGTCGTCGCGAGTTTGGGCACGTGTTTGGGGAGTAAGGGCGCCGGAGGGGGTGTAGCTGTCGAGGGTACGGGCGGGGGGAGTGGCGGGGGAGAGGTCGGAGGGGGCGTCGGCCCAGTCCATGGAGTCGGAATCTGAGTCTTCGGTGTCATTGCGGTCTGGATTGGCCAAGGAGGTGAAGGTGGAGGGGCGTGAGAAGGTCAGAGGTGGTCGGGGTGTGTCTGGGTTGCTGAGACTGGTCCCGCCTCTAGGTGCCTCCGGTGTCCTGGGACTCGGTGCTGCGGACCTACCTGTTGTTGCTCCTTCTCTCACTGGTGTTATGACCTCCGCTGGGGGATGCGGTGGAGGAGTGCTTGGAGGAGGTCCGCTGGGGATGTTCCTGCGGAACATTTTGGCCTTTTGTGTGTGGCTTTTGCCAACCAAGATTGAAATGAGGAGGAGTGAGAGTAGTGGGTTGTGGTTGGTTGTCGGAGAGTGGAGGTGAGAAGGGAGTTTATATAGTAGCTGGGCTGGGTGCAAAAGCACTCTTGGTTGGCTGTTGGGCGAGGGGGCTTTATTGGGTGTTTGGGCTTGTCATGGGAGTGCACTAAGGCCTGACACCCCCAATCGTCACCTAAAATGTTATTTTGGTCAAAATGGTTGTAAACCTTTGTTCCGTACGTTGTGTCCGTTCTGATAAGGGCAGCAGTTGCATACAGGATGTAATCAAATTCTGAAATGACCTGTTTTTATCGTTCTCCATGATCTAGTCTTCTCCCTTTTACAGTTATTATGTTCCGGCAAACTACCTATTTTGCAGTGATTTGTTCCTCTAATCCTCCAGCTCTGGGGGGAAGTGACCGTAGCTGGGGCGTTGCCGGATCCTATGCTGCACTTGGACCCTGTCATGGTTTTCTTTCCTGCCATTTTTGACTTGGTCTACTATACTGTCGATCATTGACACCGACTGGATGAATAAGCGGCATCAGCCGGAATAGGGAGATGCATTGCCGATCACCACCAGAGGCTTGAACTATCCATAGTACGTGCAAGACCAGGATGTTCGTGAAGGAAAAGCTAGATGACTCCTTAAGTACCCGTTTCTCTTTTCCCGACATAACCTAAGATTCCGTTCTCTACAGTCTATAAACATGAATCAGTTTATGCATCAATTTTACACACAAAGTTTTTGGTGTGAAATGAATCATAGGAAATGTGTTATCTGTCGGAAATGAATCAAATTTTGGTGTAGAAACGAATCGTTAAACGAATCATAAGGTGCACCCCGTACTTTTATTTATTCATTCCTTACTAAAGCTTTTATTCTTTTATTTCTTTATTCCTTTTGGAAAATCCTCATTTCTCTTTATTACTCTAAATTATGGCCTTCAAACATCATCTGATTAATCACTATGGTTTCACAATGGGTAAGATATCCTAGTCAAGCTTGAGGAATAGACTGCGGGATCAATTTCGTCACTATGAATAAGTGGCCATGGTAAATAGTTGAATTGACAATTAAGCTTCCTAGATACAAGCCGTGTGTCACAAGAATAATCCCACCTTAAGTGACAGTACTACGTAGTGTGATGTAATGAAGGTCGAGCCTCCAGTGTTTCCAGTTTTGATATGCGTTAGAATGTCTACTACAGGGCTTTATATAACTGTAAGAAAAGAAGCTGTCCTTAAATAATGAATGTTCACTGAGCATTGAATAGGATTCCATCAAACAAAGCTCAAATGCAACTTCATCCCACTTAACCATTGATATTCGCTTCTTCAGTCTACAACATCAACTACCCACGTGCACCTGGCAAATCCAGAAACTCGCAGTCAGGCAGAAAAACCACAAAGCGAAAAACAACCCGCACCACGACCAAAACTCAAACCCCGCTCCCCTCCTCCCTCCTCGGCGCGTCACCGCCCCAACCCTTCAGAAGTGTCTGAATCCTATCTCGAAACTCACTCAACTTCACCTTCATCTCCTCGTCACTCATCTCCACCTTCTCCACCGTCCCCTGCACCTTCACCTCCTCCACCTTCACCACTTTCTTCCTCTCCCGCGCCGCAAATTGGATCACCTGCGGACCCCGCTGCTCAATTAAGAGGCGCTGACGCTCGCGAAAGGCCTTCCAACGGAGGTAGATCTGTTTGTCGGCGACCTGGGCCGGCGTGAGGGTGCGGCGGGCGCGCCTTTTGGGCAGGTGCATGGACCAGGGGCGCCAGGGGTTGCTGCATGTGGAGAGGGTCCAGGCGTCTGTGTGGGTGGTCTCGAGAACGGGGGTTTCCATGGGAACGGACTCGGTGGTGAGAGTGTTGATAGGTGCGGGTGAAGCTTGGGTATGTTCCGTGGAGGCGGCGGTAGGAGACGTAGCCTCAGTGGAGGTGGGAATAGGGGCGGTAAGGGCAGACTCAGTGGAGGTGGAGGGAGGGGCTGTAGGTGGAGCAACACCGGAGGTGGCAGTAGAGACAGTAGGGGCTGCCTCGCCAGAGCGTAAAATAACAGTAGGGCGCTGCATTGTGGCCGTCTGTGGGGTTTGCATAGTCGTTGTGTGGAAGTGTATGTTTTCTTCTTCGTTTTTGAGTTAGCATAGAGATATCCGTGGATAGGATTGAAGGGTGAGATATGAAGGAAGATGGTTAGAGTTATTCCATTCTAGGCTGCAGGAAGCGTAGGGATTTCCGGTGATGATTATGTATTTCAATTGAGATCAATTGGAAGTGTGGATTCTATGCTGTGACAGCTCCGTTGGTCATCGAGCAGCTGTCTTTCCATGTGGTGTTTTACCAGCTTTTCTTTGGATATTGTGAGGTGGCCGGATGCATGGGGAGACATGACTGTTGCAGGATCATTCCAATCAGCTTGAGGAGCACAGCAAGTTTTTTTTGCCTTCCGTCTCTGCACTAAGTGAATCTTGTCTTTCGTGCTTCTCAGACATTAGGTTCATAGGGTATTTAGTAACACTATAGTGGCCCTGAGCTTGGAGATTCGGGGGTGTGGTGGAGCTGAGACAGAATATCAACTTTAACGTGGGTGAGTAAAAGGTGCTGAAGAGCTCCCACTCTAAGATAATAATAGTCTGGATTGCGGTTACTCGCAGTTGGTATGTGGGCAAGTTATTATTAGTTTCACAGTGATTGGGAGAGTGAAAGTGGGTTCGGAAAACTGATCCTTGGAAGGCGGGTTTAGATAAGTTGTGGTTGTTTTACTTGACGAGCTTGGATTAAAGATCAGGGGGCATACGAAGGAGTAAAGAAAAAAAATGCCATAAAGAAGTTTGAGAATTGTTTATGTTTAGTCACACGAATAGCTATGAAGAGAGTGGGCACTCGAACTACTGACTGACATATCACGGTCTACAAGAATGCATGAGATAAAAGTAATATCAGAAACCAATTGTTTATTGTTACTCATTTGCAAACTCTTTATAGGAACTTCCTACTTCAACAAAACGTAGCAGAGTAAAAACACAGAAACTTGTAGAAAAACGGCTCACGACGAAAACAGTCTCACCCCATATCATCGATCACCATGCAGCCCAGCTGCTTTGAGATGAGCCCTACTGACCCGCCCTCTCCCTCTCCTCCTTCTCCTTCGCAGCCTTCGCATCTCTCTCCTCATTCCACTTCCTATTCTCCTCCCTGTCCTCTGCAATCGCCTTCCTATTATACTCCGCCAGCTCCTCCCTCGTCATATTCCTCGCATCCGGCCACACCACCGCCGGGACCTGCGGCCTCTCCATCGTGATAGTCCTCCCACTCATAATCGGACGCCCACCCAGCGCCAACCTACCACCAAGCCTCCTTCTGTGCGCCGCGTCCTCCCGTTCCCTGATCCGCCTAGAAACCCTTGCCTCCAGAGCCCTGAGGACCTCATCGCTATCAAGCTCCTCATTGCCGGCCACCAGCGGCAGCCTCGCGCGGATCCGCTCCAGGTTCACGGCCTGGCGCCTCTCCACCCAGTCCTGCTCGGTGATCATGTTCTCGCCGTCGTCCTCGCTGCCGCTTTCGTTCTCGCTGGAGTCCTCGTCGTCGTCGTCGTTCGGGCTCTCGCCTTCGGCCATCTCAGTGTCCTCCAAGGCGGTGGTCATGATGCCGTCGTTGCGCGCGATGTTGTCAGCAGCAGCGTTGGTAGACTCACGGTCGATGTAGCGGGGGCGGAGGAGGTCACTCGTGGTGTCTGCAGGGAGGGCACCAAGCCCGTTGGCGGCGAAGCGTGTACGGCCGGCGGTGCGTCTGTCGGCCATGGTGGGGCGGTCGAGGAGGGAGGTGTCGGTGGGGGAGATGTTGGGGGAGAAGAGGCTTGCGGGGGGTGGGGGGGTGGGCGTGTTGAAGATGCTTGTGAAGTTGGAGGTGGGGGGGTCGTGTGCGGCCGCGAGGGCGGGGGCGGATGCTTCTTGGTTGAAGAGGGCCACGGCATCGTCTACGCTGGCGGCGAAGCGGCGGGCGTCGGCGGGGGTCATGGTGCGTTGGCTTGGGAGGAGGGAGTTTGAGAAGGAGGGGGGTGGACGGGGCATCTTTGTGGTTGTGGTGGAGTTGTGGACTTAGAGGAATGTAAGATGCTTTTGTTGTTGTTGTGAGAAACCGGAGAAGATGTCGGGGAGAGCAAAGTTGTTGTCAGAGCTGTGTTTTTGAAGGCCGAAGTCGCCAAGATTCGGGTGATTGGACACGGGGCGGTTATGTTACTTTGTGGTTAGTCTGGAGTTAGTTTGGGGTTTATTTGTAGCTGCGGAGGTCAGCAGACTTGGTTTACAGTGTGAACTATTACGCGGCCTGTTGGTAGCTTTGGTGTGCTAGCATGAAGCTATGCAGAGCTATGGGAGGCCACATCACCCATCCATCATGTGACGAAGTATATTCTTTAGCTAACCTGCTAGCTTGAAGTTAAACTGGCTCTGACGTAATTCTTGATTTTGTTCATGTGAAAGCATTTGTCTTCCCAGGCCGCTTGCTCAACTTCCCACCCAACACCGTCAAACTCTTGAGCTCAATACTTTACATCTCTGCATGTTCACACCTGGTTCCCAGTCCATCTACCTTAGACAAAAATAATGATTAGACCACCTTTTAAACACCAAAAGCATCCGCCATCACGCTTCCAACACCCGTCGCTGCTCAAGCTCGCGGGATTCGTGAACGAGTGATATCCGATGAAGCTCTGTTACATCTGACGATTGATTAATTAACAATTCGTTCGCCTATGCTATCAATATAGTTGCACCTGATAATAAATAATTATGTTGACCTTAATTAAGCATAGATATCATCTCATGAGCCATATTCAAAATAATTATCCTCAACATATCAGACCGCCTCTCCTCAGTAAATACAAATGTCACATCTGCCGCCGCCCCCTTCTCCACCTATGGTCTCACGGTCCCCCTTCTGGCAGCAAGAACATCTCTATTATCGGTATAGTGGGACGGAAGGTGTCGCGAGTACTACATCCCATATGTATCAGTTGGAACGTATGTTCGACGCTGCGAATGATGGGTTGTCTCCTAGAAATGATTAGATATGTGTCCGTCAAGATAGCAAGCTCGCGGTGTCAAAAGGGAAATGACCTGCTGTCAAGAGCAATGGTGTCCTTTCCACACTCTTATAAGATAACACCTGTTGCCTTTAGATATCAACGTCAATTGAAAAGCTCTAAACCTCCTCCTACCTTCAACAACAATGACCACTAGGGTGACCAATGTCGCTAGGATTATCGCTAGCATGCGACTTAATGGGGACGGTATGTACCAAGAACTCTCTCATTCAAGAATCGGACCTAGACGGTTGCCAGCATGCTAGACCGTTGAGAATATAACAAGAGCGGAGGTTCCGCTGTTGGGTAAAGCAAATGGAGAAAGAGCCAGAGGTTGAAGTTCCAAACCATAAGACGACCAGCAGATGAAATGAGGCAAAATTTGGAAGATGGAGAGCATGGAAGAAAGGTAACATGGAGTGTGAGCAAGGGCTCACTCGCCAAAATACGATCCGCCGCTACTGAACTGAGAGCTATCATAAGACGTTCATGCTATCCTGCTTCTCTCCCCCTGGTTGTACTCCTGCAAGACCTTCGACTGGGTGCCGGTCCTTCTGGTTCCGCACCCCCGCTCCATAGCTTAGGTAATCTGACCACGGTTGGCCGTCGAGATGCAAATTATTCCCCACGCGCTTAAGATCTCAGGGAGAAATAGCTTTCGCTCGCCAATGTAGCGGTGCTCATTGCTGGAATAAGTGATGCTCTATTTGGTATGTGATGAGACGGATGCCGCAGACTTGGTGATAGAGTAAAAAATACTCTATAGAATTGTTAGCAATAGTCCATCCGTGTAGATTGTAGAGCACTGTTAGGAGACACAGTGTGCTGTAGGAAGATAGTTTCCTGCTGGGAATAGAGCTGGAGGGAGAGAGAGGGGAAAGTCGAGGTGGGGTAGAGGGAGGCATAATGGGGAGGAATTCATATGAGAGGATGAAGAGCAACGATCAGCGGGTGAAAGCACCCAAGAATACAGTTGGGGATGAATAGAATACCAAGAGAGGTGCGGAGGGAGTAATAAAGGCGGCACAGACACAACGCGGACACATAGAAGAGTGTAACAGAGGTAGAGGTGAAGCGGCGGAAAAGGTAAAAGAAAAAGGTAGTGAAGAAGGGTAAAGCAACCAGGAGTCCTACCATCAAAACCCAGCGTGAAAGAAAGCCAGATATGCAGTTTTCCCCCTCTCCAGGTATCAGTGCACATATGCCTCTGTCCCCAATTAATTGTCCAACCACCCCCCTTCCATACTTCTTCCCCACCCCAGGGTAGCATCTATACTAAGTAGTAATTACGACTACTAATTGCAGGGTATATCTTAGTAGATTGCGTTAGGAGTAGTAGCAGCTTCCACAGCCTCTCTTGCTGCTAATAGCTACTCTCCATAATTTCATTGCAGCCAAGTACATGCATCCATAGCTCAAGAGACAGACCACGTGTTGTCCCCCTCTTGTCACAGAGGACAACTATTTTCCCAGCCATTATTAATTCCTGGCCTGCAACGCAGCAAGATGATTGTTTATCCTATACCGCCGTTAGCAGGTGCTCATTATTGATGGCCATTGGGCTTCCTACCTAGCGTCCTCAGCCGGAAGAAAGCCCTCTCTGCTCCTTCCGATGCTCCTTGCCACAGTTTCTCATACACACTTATGTGGCCTTGCATTATACTGTGGATCAGTTGCAGCTTCTGACATGCCTCTCTGTACGAACGCCAGCAGATGGAGGGCACGTGTTGCAGGAAAGCATCCTGTTGAAGGGTGGATTCGGTGGCGAGAGATTTGCAACAGAGGGTGTTTGGGGAGACTGCAGATGTGAGGAACAGAGGAACAGTATTCACCCAGCGGTTGAGAGGTTGACCTAATTGAGCTGCGAGAAGGTGAGGAGCACAAAGGTATACGGAGGCGGTATGACGGACTGTGAACAACCATTGTTAGCAGGTATGTAAGGATGGGAGCTGCGGAGGACAGGTGTGTTACTAGATGATGCTTCTTCTTCCCTTTTGCAGTGCCTGGAGGTGCTCCTATTCCGTGGGATATACGCTGAGACTCCTTTTCTGTAGATGGACATCCCGAGAGAGAAGGGGGAGGGGGGTGTGGCTGTGGTGGAGATGTTGGTGAGCCGGGGCAAAATGGAGTAGAGTGTATGATCGGAGAAGGGAGCTCTCTGTTGATGCCCGTCGCCTACCTGCTAGTTACAAGGCTTGCGGGGTCCGGAATACGGGCGCGGGATGATGGCAGCAGCGAAGTGAGCTTAATGAGTATAGTTGGAGGACACAGTGGAGATTATGTGGGTGAAGCAATCTGGTGGTCCGGTCGAAATACGAGAAGCCACGTAGATAAATGTCACGTCGGTGATCGCTGTTGAGGCTCTGCTGATATGGGTGGAAGAGCCACCACAAAGTCCCGCCCATAGGTAGAAAGGTCAATGATGGAAGGTCATTTGGGCATTTTGGAAAGGTTCATGATTGCAAGAACCCTGAGCAGAATGGGGTGCACAAATTCACATTCACAATCACATGGAGAGAAGCACAGAAAAACTTCAATTTACAGCCAGAAAAAATTAAATTTCACCCAAACGCCAACTTTTCCGCCTCACTATTCTAAGGAAAACCACCGCAATTATTCAGACTAACGCCTACTTCCTCTAAAAGTCGTTCAGCTCCCCGAGGACCTTCTCGTCACCTCCCTGCTCCTCCCTTTCCTCTTCATGCTCCTGCAATCCCCTCCTCCTCAAGGCGTCCTTCAATGTCCCAAGTGTTTCCATTGACGCCGGCCTTGCCATCCTCATCCCCAGGCTCTCTTCAAATTCCATCTTTGCTCTCGCCCCCCGGGCCTTCGCTGCAGCACGTGCATTCACAACAATCGGATCGTCGAGATAACCGTACGCCACCGCGTCATGGACGGGTCTGGTCTCGCGGGCACGAGGGCGTGCGCGGGCGGGATTGGTAGTGGTGAGGGCAGTGGAGACCCCCACAGAGTGCGGAGATTGGGCGGAGCGGAGGAGCGACAGAATTAGGTCGTGTGAGCTAGGCGAGAGCTTCTTTGTAGCTTCGGAGGTGGGGGAGGTGTTAGAGGATGAGGAGACACTGCTGTCTGCTGTGCTGGGAGACATGGATCCCAACGAGGTGGGTGTAGAGGTGGAGGACGACCTATTGCTGGACGAAGGGGTGCTAGGGAGCGAGGTAGGCATTATAAGAGGTGAAGATATTGGCAATATCGTAGACGGATTACGGAGGTGTTATGAAAACGGTTGTGAAAACTGTGGTTTTCGCAACTACAGTGATGAGGAGGTTGGTGGTTAGAAAAGAAGAAGAAGTGAGGGTGAAAGGAGAGCTTATAAATGCAAGAATCATGCCTAGAAAGATCATTTAGCGTCGGTGAAATAAGGTTCATCCCTAAGCTATATTGGCACAGCGTGATCAAGTTTACTCGGTTTTATCGTGGGCTTCAGATCCAAGCACAGAGATCTTTTGGGCGAGTAATGTTTTTAAAGGTACTTTTCGGCATGGTTAAAAAGGCCATGTTTACTTTACTGTTGATATTCTAACTTCCAGATGTTGATGGACAGCAAGATTAAATCTCGTTTTGCGGGGATCCTTGTGTTCATTCTCAGTTTCTGGTGCTTATTCATTCCCCTAGGATATCTAAAACTGCCGAAACCTCCTCTTACACTCCATCAGAAGCATTGTCAGTCTTCCACCATTCGCTAGTCCAAGTCCCGTCGAGTGATCGTTCATGATTCCACGATCCGAACAGAGATCAAGTAAGGTGACCTAATTTCGCGGGATGGTTTGTATAGCCTTTCTTATGACATTCGCCATATTTATTTGCTCTAGTTTGTATCATCGCTTTGTAGTGTACTACATCTCGCCACTACCCCGCCGAGCCGCATTTGTCAATATAGGAGCACCGCATCTTATCGATCGATACCATCTACCAACACCGCCGCTATGTATGGGACTATAAGAACCAATTTGGACAACGCAATGCAGTGTTTGCAATGAGACGTCAGTTTGGCGGTACAAACCGGTACAAATCTAAATAATAATGAGACAGTTAGTACAGTTTGAGCTTCAAGCGATGGTGGATTTACTGAGACATGATACACCCTAAACTGATATAAACCAACTAACTAAATGGTACGGAGTATTGTCTTTCCGCTGCCTTCGGTAGAACCTTTACCAATCCGGAGCAACATTCGGCTCTAAACACCCTCGAAGAACCCTAACCCACATACCATTTAGATAAATGGTATTACCGGTTTAACCATATTGGAAGAGGTGGTTAAATAGTTAGTACAATTTTGAAGTCCTGCTGGTACAGTTAATACAATACGCGGACGTTTTCATACCGGTTTGCACCATTGCAAACACTGACGCAATGAGAGGCATTACATTGCACCACCCTCCCTACCTACTGCGTTTGGAGCCCCACACAGAGCGGCCTATCGACGGGGGCTTCGGTATTGATAGGAAATGCACACGTGTTACAGGTGATTCCGTCATATGTGGCACTCGTCGATCTGGCCAGATATCTTCTAGGAGGAACGTGGTCTTCTGGCCAAACTTTCAATATGGTCTCCTGGTTGAATCTCCAAAGTGTCTTTGGCCGATACTTCATGTCCTTTCTCAACCTCCATCTATCTTTCCTCTCTCACCATCTCTGCATCTCTTTATCTCTCCTTCAATCGTTCTCGGCAGTCATCCAGACACTTCCCACACGGCTTTACCACACTCTGATGGATCCCTGCTATGTTGGCGTAGGGAGTGCATGTCCGTATGCATAACCTCTCTACCACCCGATCTTTTCTGTGCTGTTTTGCTTTGTGGAGAAATGGTTGTTGGCCTTAGTTAACAGTGGCATAGACATTCTCCTTCCGCCAAATACCTTCAGCTTCATTTGAGTTGTACTACTCCTTCAGATGAGTTACATCGACTCGCTGTTAACGAGACCGCTGTCGTTACAGCTTGATCCACGAAGCTTGCTTACACCACCCCCTTCTATGCCGTGTGGATCAGCATCTCTTCTCATGGATATTCTTTCAATGTGTACTGGGGTTTTTTTCTAATATGTTATCCTTGCCTTTCTAGACTCCCCGCCCCCTATCCATCCACCAAACAGTAGATTACATACTTACTTGTTCCCGCCTGTAGTATAGGATGGTAGGAGAATAGAAAGCTGACCTATTCTACAGACTCGCTCCAAGCTACCTGCCGATTCTACTCTCTGATTGCGTTACTGAAGCGTATCCAAATTCGTCACAACTCATACACCGGGTTGAGGACCATCTTATTTTCATACCTATCCTCGTCCTCCCTAGACTCTTCGAATCCCCACCCACCCATGCTCCCGCTCTTGGAACATAAGCCCTATTATTTCTTCCTTCCCCATTGAATTGATTTACTGCCCACTAGGCACTAGGATTTGGCTTCCGCAATTGAATACCTTTGGGCATCCTAGACTCTAGAATATAAAGATATGATGCCTCATAGTGGTAGACAGACCCAAAATCTCCGGCTAGATACCCACTGCCATCCAAGATGTCCACCCCCCACCCCCTCGTTCCCCTCAAGTATGTAGGTCCCCTTCCACCCAAGCTCATTCACAACGAATAGCAGATCCTAGACATATATCCCGAAGCACACTAAAACCGTGTTTGAATCACATCAACAGCGGGTTCAAGCTGCACTTCCCGCCGCTCCACGGCAGCTATGAGTACTCGGTTTTCAACGCTACCACCGGAGACGTCTATAATCATAAAGAACCTGTTCTCGGAGAAGGTGTGCCCAAGGCTTTGCAGTATGTAGAATAATCGACGATGTTCGCGGAGGTCTTCTAAGGAGGTTATGGGCATTGTCGTTTGAGGCTTGTGATTCTGATTGGCCTTATCTCCCTTCGGTCTCGCTATGATTCGAGCTGGCGATCGGTCTTCTTCGTGCGATAGCTGGTGCTTGTTCCCACACTACATGCCGCCAAATACACAGGTCGTTCTTATACCTTGACCGTCTCGCCTCACCTCTGCTGGATAGAGACCTAATCCCGGGTACACATCCCTTACACTAGTCCTCGAGAATTGGAAAGCCAAAATTGGGGTTCGAGGCAGGATGAAAATCTCGCCCTATCATAGGAGGCTAATCAAAAATTTCTATTAGCAGCGAGACCACTACCGATTGACTCACAAGCCATGTCTTTTAAGTTTTAATGCGACTTGGCCAATTTATGGCTTCCAACGGGTAATCAAGGTCCTACCATGACGGTACGGTGAATGGGGCAGCAGGGGAATCTTCCGGAAAAGAGTCTGCTTGGACGGGGGATGTGAGCTCCTCGGTACTTCGACAGTTGGCCAAGCTGGGACCGGGATCGGCACATGTTCTTCCTCTACCACCGTGCTGGCCATGGTGTTGTTAATTATCCAGGTGTTGTACCGAATTTATTTACCTCTTTTTATAGCACCTACACAAGCAGCTCTTGATTATTTCGGTGGTGCAAGTAATCATCACAAATTAAGTACACCTCTGTTAGAGAGACCCATGTTCATTTAATGGTTTTCACTTGTAGTCCTCAGAGTGCGATGGCTTGAATACATTTCTCTCGTTCCGCCAACGTACACCAGGTAATAACTGCTGGAAGAGAGAGTAAATAACTTCAGTATATAAGGCTCTAACGGACTGAAAGACCCCGTTGAGATGCTTTCGGAAATGATATGGATTCTCATTTTATAACCTGTCTCACTTTCGGGGCCGGGGTGAGGTCGGAATAACGTGTATTGCCGAGCTGTCCCTTGCGAACTTCCTTCGCCCGCCGAGCGCGTTTTTACTTTTTTTTTTTTCCCTTTATCAAGCACAATTTCTTTTTGTGTTTTCCAGTATCGATATTCACGCCGAATGATGTTGGCCCATCAGACTTCACATGCCCTACAGTTCGATGGCGTGATGTATTGTTCACCTCTGCTGTGTACCAGTCATCGTGCTGAGTTACTCCTTGATTGCGTATAGGTGTGTCGGATGGTTATTCGCACTGTGATGTGTCATACCCCGGGCATGTATAAAAGGTTCCACCTACCAGTGTGGCTTGGCATGCGGGACCGAATATTCGCCGGTAATGGTACATGTCAGCAATGTGAAACCCTTAGGTGCGCTGAGTATCGGAACTCGGGACGGGCGGTTCGCTTGTCTCGTGCTTAGACACGAAATATTTAGAAAAGGTAAAGGAAATGAAATTAGAGAAAAATAGAGGTAGTCGGAGAGAAAAAAGAAAAAAAGAAAAAAAACTTTGAACTGGAGGCTTATCATCTCGTGTATTCGGGGGTCAACCTGTGGCAGGAACACAAATTTGACGTTAAAAATTCCTAATCTTGATAGCCGACCGTCGGACAAACGTTGCTGGCTGTTTCTGTATTCACTAGAGCCTAGGCTGTGTCGAACATAGATTACGATCGACAAAGCTGATGTAGACTAAACGAACCAGAGCATGTATTGATTATGTATAAGTGTAGAAGTCTAGGAGTTACAAGGGTCTAATCTGGGTGTGCGTTTCTCTTACGTCGCCTCTAGTCTCCCGTTGACCACATATCTCAATCGCGCTTATTCATAGGTATACTAAGCCTCCACTCGCAGCCACGCGCCACAACGTTACTAAAATAAGGCTAGCTATTTCCCGACTAGCTATTCAACCTACACAAACCAATGATCCATATTCCGGTTCAAGGTGTCTGAGTATTTTTCGCTCCATCCGTACAAGGTTCAGTGCATCAAGCAGCTCCTCCGACAAATCCTCCTTTCCCGGACCAGATGTTCCCTAGAGATAGCCTGAAGCTCGGAGTATGGGTTGAGAAGTCCTTGGGCTCTCTGGTTGATCTAGCCCTGGAACCTCTATACTGTTGGAACAGGGTTCCCGACTGTAAAAAGCTGACTCATTAGTCGGTAGCCGTGAAGATTTTCTTTATTCCTTTAGCGAACTTTCCGATATTTTTGCTTAGAATACTTTCTTTATTCTTTCTTGAGTTAATTCATTTCACTAATGAAAGTCATTGTCTCTCGTTGTTTTCTCTTTATTTCTCTTTATTTTTACGTTATTTCACTTTCCGGAACTCTCTCTAATGATCCACGGAGAAGAAGCCGCAGAGTATAGTCATTAAATTATTTCCTTTGTTTTCGTCATTATAAAACGAGAGCCAAAGAAGAAATAAATAAGAATTATCCACCATAAAAACAAAAAGTAGTCTTGACACGTCCATTATTTGCACCCACATTGACAATATGTATCGATACAATTCTCCGGTGGTACAGTGGATACAGTACGATATGATCACCTTTATGTAATAGTGAGTATGATCTGGTATCCTATCTCTATCGATACTATCATAATAGAGTCTTGGCATGCGGATCAATAGTCCGTCCCCCTTTTTCAGCTAGTTCTAAGCTTGATCTATCTTTCGGACAACTTTTCACAGCATGAGATATCACTCGTTTCCGCCATGATATATCCCGGTTAGTACAATAACAACTTTGCAAAATAGCATGCATTTCGATAATAATCTGAACACATCGCAGTTGGTGCAATATCACACGGGGATTGCACCGATACGTATCATTGAGAACTCTGCTGTGGGGTATCAGTTTCTCATTGCAGTGGCTAAAGTTGCACCCGAAAAAACTCACCTATGGTTCCCGTGAAAACCAAACCTTTCCTTAAAAATATATCCCCACCAACTTTTATTATCCCACACAATGGATATCGATCACAGTACTACTTGTGATGTAACCCCGGCCGCAGAGGAAGGTCATAACAATCCTCTTACACCTCAACGACTCCCTTTCCGCTGTCTCACTCCAATCGGAGCCAATGCCTCACCCACTTTATCGGAGGGCTTCATTAGAGAATATCTCTCTCCGGGTACCATCTATACTCCTGGTCTGAGGTATAGCAACACTCCGATTACAAGAGAGAACTCCCCGGCGTTGGCAGCGGTGTCCGCTGGGGTCGGTTCCTCGTTATGTAAGTATCCCTATATCTTCTGAGAAATATTATTAGCTCAAATATTTGCCATACTAATAACGTTGAAGGTGTTGAAGTACCTGGCACTTCCGAAAGACCGCAGCCTCCTTCCTGCTGGCCCTCCCCAGCTGAAGGGGAGACATCATCTACTTGGCGATTGCGCTGGGTCAATGATTTTGTTCCGCATATAATCTATAAATCCAGTTCTCAGAGGCAGACTTCGGATGCCATAGGAACCCTTCAACCGATGAAGCACGAATTCCTTACTGAAGAAGTCTCTTTTAGTGAGTGGGTCCATTGACCATATGTTCTTCCTTCCTTGACAGTTATATATATTAACAAATCTTAAGATGATGGCGCACCGGGCCCGCGTACACCTGATAGGCATGCTCGCTCTCGGTGGCTTACTCCAGCGGAGGGGAATGCCTCACCTACATTGCGAGAAAGTTTCCCTAGGGAAACTGACGACATTATGAGCATGAGTGACGATGACCTTCCGGGTTCCGTTAAAGGACTTTGCACTTCCGAGGGGAAAGATAACGGTTGGGAACCAGCTGAAATACTCCAGCTCGGTCCAATTGAAGTAGAGACCTCAAGAGCATTTGGAGATAACTCCACAAGGGATGTAGATATTTCGCATGCTCGTGTACCTGAGGGACGGAAGGGAGGCCGGATGACTGATGAGGAGTTCTTCCGTAAGTTGATGCAAATGTACCCTGCCACTAGCTCTATCAAACCTCTAATCCCTGCATATAGGCTTTGATACCCCTGGCCCTGGGTACCGGATTGCACGTCTTCATGCTCCACCGTCAGCCGTTCCCAGCGGTTCCATCATCAACAATCACACGACTATCATGCATCATCACTGTGAATCAGTCGACGCGGTTGATCATTCACCCTCACCCTCCGTTACTCGCGGTCGTCGCAACTCCCGCGCTGGATCTTTGGAGATTGAACTATGCAACCAGGGACACGTCACTGACGCTAATTTATGTTCACAGGATGAACATACTACAATCTCAGCTGTGGGAGCCATCAAGAAGGAAATTACAACTTCTCCTGTAGAGGAGAATCATGTTCAAACTTTGGTCCACGAGAGTGCTCACCAGCCTGCTCATTGGACACCAACACCGCAATGGATTAGCCACATCCCTGGCACCGACATGTATGCCCTTTATTACTCACTTTTCCTACTTGATTGATTGATACTGACAGATTAATGTACAGCGTCATTCAGCGGGGTCCTCGTGGTGTTTCTGGAACGGAGACCTCCCCTACCAGAACACGTCGTAACAGAACCACTGCACGAAGATCGCGGCCTTTCAACCGTCTAAGGGACCGTACAGCGGGTCATGGCCATCTTGATACAACAGCCTTTGATTCTGCGGGTCCTTTGAGTGCCATTACCACTCGTCGTCGGATGGTCACCTCTCCTACTAAGTAAGTCGAAATTCCCGAGGAGTTATTCGGATGCGCTGAAGCTGATTTTGTTCATCGTATACTTAGACGTCGTCAAGTTGCTGGACGTGGTCATATCACTCATGCTGATTCTGGCGTTTCGAAAACTGATGACATTCCGGAGGAGGACGATGATGAAGATGGTCCTGAGGATGAACTTGACTGGTATTTATTGCGCTTGAAATGTCTTACCTAAGCCAAAGCTAATACTAACATTTAATTCATCATTGCTTTAGCAACGAGAACAATCTCCATGATCTGAAGCATTGAAGCGACCACGTCTACATCTGTACTGCCCCTTCGTTTTCAAGTTTTGATATGGAGTTACTTGTTACTTTGGGTCAGCTACTACTAGGGGTATAGCGTGGGGTGTTTTGGCGAATATTGTAGGAGTTTACTGTGTAGTGTAATTCGCTTTCTGTATCGCAGTTCTAGCGGTTGTACAAGTTCGCGATATCGATCACTGTAATACTACAAAGAATACCAAAGAGTCTTTAGATACCATGATCTGTAATTGATTTTCTGAGTTATCGATAAAACTAGAATCCGCAAATGTTATTTTTACACTCCGATTCATCGAAGGCTCAACCAATGGCGGAGACAACATCTTCACTAGCAAAATCGATTACTCCCAGTGAAAAGTAAACAAAGTGCTTTTTATAGTTAGCCGGTGATCACCCTAGATTTTTTTGAATACAAGGATCTGATGTAGTGGTCTTTGATTACGTAATTTAATAACCGGTAATCTATTCGGTACCCGGTACCTAATCCATGTAATTATTAATCCTTGCTGCATAACTATTTGCGACGTTTGTACAACGTGCGCACGGAGCTTGCCGAACAAACGCACAATCTCACTCGTTGATCGAGCAACCGGCTAACTCGACATATCAGAAACGATTGACAGCAAGAGCGGGTATCATAATCAAAAGTATTTTTTCACTTTTTTTTTTTGGTCACGTATTCCGTAAAGAATGATATTTGCACGTAGAATCACTCCTCAAATCACTTTCTTCACTCTCATCTTATCATTTTAGTGCAGTATTCTAGATCTTGACATCTCTGTTTTTTTTGCGTAAGGTATGATATTTGTACGTAGAGTAACCCCTCAAATCACTTTCTTTATTCCTATTCTATCATTCCAATGCAGTATTCTAGCCCTTGAACCACCTTATCCAAACTTCTCCGAATGTGATATTTCATCCAGGCGTACTCATAACTCGAAAGTGTACACAAAAGCTCTTGTCCGGGCAAAGACAGCCTATGAGATATGAGTTAGTATTAGTCGTTAATCTGTGATTGGCAAATGACTGGATGAATGTTACCTTTCTGAACAGTAAGAGCCTCGTTAACCACCAATTTCTCTCAGAACAAGAAAGCATACAAAATAGTTCTCATGCCGTCACAATCCATCTAGAATATCAATTAGCATTGGGGTTTTATGATTTGCAAACGACCATCGCAATATTACCTTTCAGAACAATAAAGCTTTGTTGTCTAATAACGAAGCCAGAGGAGGATGCAGGTCACATCTGCATAAGCGCTGTGAATTGGACGCTAAAATACCAGTTAGTTCAACGCTCCCAATTACACAACTGCTCAAGTAGAAGGATAAAACCTACATGTTCCTGACCAACGCCTGAGCATGCGCAGAGATGATCATGCCCACATCCTCAATCATAGCCCTCTCCTGCGCCCTCTCACTGACGAGCAACACCCACCACAGAAGGTCGATCACCACACCGCCCTCATCAATGACGTCCTCCACGACGTCTCGACACAGCGGACACGGCATGGACAGCGGCCAATGGTGCGGGTATCTGACTCCGCTCCACCAAATGCCAAGTGCACACGAGGTGCAGAAGAAATGGGTGCAAGGAGTGAAGCAGATGAGTGCGAGGCGGCGCGAACAGATGCTGCACACGAGACGCGTTTCGTCTTCTTCGGTGTCGGATTCGTCGGATTCGTCGCCAGGCTCGGTGTAGTCTTGAGAGTCGGTGACTTCGTAGAAATCGACTTCGTCTTCGTCTTCATCTTCGTCTTCGTCTTCAGCTTGGACGTCATTGATGGGATTCGCCGTGCATGATCCAGGAGCGTGATCATGATTGATTGGAGTTCCGTCGGTCGCGTTGATTCGACCGCAATTGGCACAGATCCCAATGGAGTTTAGGTTGGTCGATCCCTCGGGGAGATCGCCAAAGATTCTGTTGAGGAACTCGACCTCTTGTTGGGCAGTCATCTCGATGTTTTGATGATGCAAAGAGGCTTGACGGGGGACCTCGGACTCGTCGTCGGTGGATTGCGAGTCAGAGTCATCGTAATCAGGGAGGTCGTCATCGTCGTCACTCTCATCGCCTTCACCACCAGCATGATCATGGTTGGAGAACGGAACGGGTATTGAGTGACTTCCACCAAATCTAATGGCCATGCAATGGGCACTCGAGGTGGTGTTTTGGTTGCCCGTAGGAGCATCGGCGGAGGGAGTGTTTGTGTGCACGATGTCTTGGTCGACAGTGGTTTGGATGTTTGTGTCAGCTGTGACTTGGGTGGCTTGGCCATGCGTGGTGGTGGGGCTGAGGGTCTGAATCTCAAGTCCGAGATTGTTATCTTCAAGATGGACCGCACGCAGGGAGGCAGGAAGATGATCCATGATGATCAAGTCCTAGTATGTTTCTTTAAAAAAGAAGTGGTTTTTTTTTTTTTGTGGAGGAAGGCTGTGAATGTTTGCCTGTGTCTGATGAGGATGAGGAAGAAGAGTATATCGTGAGGATTGGGTGATAAAGAGATCCCTTAGGTTCTCTTGGCGTTGATTGATATTAGGGATGGAGGGCGCAGAATAAGGTTCTGCACTTTTGGTTCTCATTCAATGGGCCGTATTTTTGCAAGCATGTCCGCAGCTAGCTACATATGGAAGCCCAAAGAAACAAACGAAAAGACTCTCTCAGTCAGTCGCCATTATACCTTTTGCACCTCAAATACGGATCTTCTCTTAGCCAACGACCCCCTACTGTAGCTTATGATTTCCACCCTCACTCACGTCGCATACGTACGTGATATATTACCTATCCGCTCTATACAAATGTAATCTATGGACTAGATCTAGTAGAAATCAGATCAGCGGTTTGTATAAAAGTCTTCACAGCATGCTGTTTTTCTTTGAAAAAAAGATCACGATATATCAAACTCGGTTATGCAATTAATGAATTAAAAAAATATCAAACGCGGTTCCTTCTTCACAGCCTATCACTCGCAGTTTATCCTCCTTCACCATATCTCACTCGTATTCTCGTAATCCCTGTTATTTCTGTACAGTCAGCATGCCAACAACACCCATGGATTTTTACTACTCTCATGACACGTATAATTAAACCAAATGAAACCCGAGAATTCAGCGGATAGATACAGACTTCTCCACGGGCTCAACGCACGCCGAAAATATGAGGCCGGAGTGGTCGCAACTCAGTGAATTCTAAACCAGTCAACGGCGAACCCATCTCTGTGACGAATTACAAATTTCCATCTGGCCCATAGTCGCTAAGCAGCCAAGAAAAAAACTTGGTAGCGGTGCTTTTTCAATTCTCTCGTTCGCTTTACTTAGCTAACTAGCCTGGATTCCTGCTCGCCATCATCTCCGGTCCCCAACCCACCCAAGAGAAACGAGCAGTGTGTTTCACGAGAACGCCCTAGCTAGGCGAGGTTGATAGTTTCGAGGACGATGAAAAAAAGATCCGATAAGACACAAAAGTGATATTTGAAAGGTATATTTTACGCATGACCCCATTCGAGTAGGTATATTCAGTATGAACTATAGCCAAGAATTGTCCTTCGCAGTCCTCATCGAGGTTGCATGTCCTTTTGGACCGCTCTCCTTGTGTTTCATCGAGGTCGCGAGGTCATCTCCGATAGGAAATAAAAACAGGACACCTGTCCTCATGGACCACACTAGAAACGAGCCTGCGAGCGCTATTACTTGCAATTCTCCTTCTTCACACTATATCACTCGTTTTCGCAATCCCTGTTGCACTTGTTCAGTCATGATCAGCACGCCAGCGCCGGTACATTTACAACCTCAATGACAAGCTAGTATAATTCAACCAACTAAAATTTATACTCCAGACTCCAGCTTTTATATATATAATAGTGCCCACAAACAAGAGACATTTCTCCAGTTGCCCAACGCACCCCGAAAGCATGAGGAGGCGGTGATCAAAGGATAGTACTATCTGGGTCAATGGCGAACCAGTCCCTGTGACGGGTGTCAAACTTTCGCTCCCCCTCGGAGTCTGCAATCAGTCAAGAGAGATGGGCGCATGTGCTGATTTATTCTTTGTTATCTTTGCTTATCCCAGCTGTTCGCCATTGGGCGAGGAATTATCATAATTAATCCCAACACTGCCCAAGCCACACGAAATCTCGTGCAAGAAAGGCAAAGCTAAATTCTGTAAGACGCGGGCGGCGTCATTGAAACCACACATCCACAATCACTCCGGTAGAAACTTGTATATAATACTCCGGACCCCGGCGGATGATAGTGATGATAATTCTATTTACACGCTACAGGTCTAGCACTTTTTTCCTTTTGCACTTTTTTTTTTTCTTTGATTTTCACAAATGGGAGGTATGCTTTTTGCTCACTGATGACGCGAAGCATTTCTACATCATTGAAAGAAGAGCATTACATTTACAAATTCACATGCACATCTCCAATACTATCTCACTACCGCTAAAAAAAATAAAGAAAAGACTGATATTTGATATTTGATATTCACTACTAACGATACAGAAAAACCCTTGAACACTTGAACCCTTGAACGCCTTTCTCCGAACTGAAACCCGCAATTGCAGAACGTAAATCGCGACCGTAGATAGGATGTAAACCAGCCAGCTAGATCTTCTATCCGATGTTATGATGTTGGTTGTTCCGATTGTTATGATATTTGTTGTTCCGTTGACTGCGTTCTACGTGTGTGGGAGCGGGTGTGGTAGTGTAGTGGGTTTACTGGGCCTAGAATGGGTGGATGCGTTAGTACGATTCGACCTGCGCGTGGGATAGTAAGGAAGAAAGAAAGGAGGATCTAGAAACCCACCCTACGAACAATGCCGAGGCTGTCACTCCCCTGCGCCGGCGGCTGTCCTTCAGCCGTCGGGAAGAGATGCTGCATGAAAACCTGACGATGCCTATCAAACCCATCAGTCCCCATTCAAACCCAATCAAGATAACCACACAAAAGGAAAAACTTACTTAAAGATCAACCACGGCTGCAGCTCCACGGGCCTCACCCTATCAATCTCCTCCCACCTCAACTTCACCCTGACAGTGCCACTCCTCTCCACCATAAACTCCAGCACCCCCTGCACCCTCCCCAGCACGCCCCCCTCCAGCACCCGCACTCTATCCACCTCCGCCCGGCACAGCCCACACGGCAGCACCGTCGGCCAGTGTCTCTCACGATTGATCCTCCCCCACCACGTGCCCTTCATGCACGCCACACACAACCCATGGGTGCACTTCACAAAGCGCACAATCGCCCTGCGGCGCGTGCAGACTTGACACGCGGCGGCGTCGTCGGCGCCGCAATCGGAGGCGTCCGACGCATACAAGGAAGCCTCGGCGTGGGTCGCAAAGACCGGGTTGCCGTTGGCGTCGGGCAGCGTGGGCAGTGTGCCGTTGGAGTGGTTCGACACGGTGTCGGCCTGCGAGGCGCCGTCGGACTCGGTGCGGAGGTCCATGGCGGTTGTGGAGGCGGCGGCGTCGCGGTAGACACCTGTTGCATGTCAGTCTTGAGATATGAAGGGGGGGAGGGTGGAAGACATACGGAAAGCGATATCAGCACGGCGGTTGGACGGGCCACGGGCATACGGACTCGGGAAGTAGGATGCGCGCTGCCACGACTCATCGCGGCGTGGGTTGGGGAGCGGGATCGGGAGCGTGCGCGCGGTGAATTCGAAGAGGCTGCGGTGGGGAGGCATGAACGGGTTCGGGCGCGCGTCGGTGTCGCTGGCGTCGCGGTGGATGATGGGGATGATGTACTGCGGCTGCTGCTCGACGGCGGGGATGCGGGGGGCGACGAAGGTCTCCTGCAGCTCGTGGAGGGCGCGGCGGGTGAGGGGGCGGCCGGGAGCGGGGGCGTCTCTGGGGGACAGGAGCCGGTTGATGGACATGAGGTTGGCGGTGAGGGATGAGCGGGTGGATCTGGGGAGGGGGGGGAAGTCTTGGAGGTCGGGGGCGGCGGCGCCGGGGCGGGTGATGGAGCGCGCGGAGGGGCGGGGTGCTGCGGGTGGATCGGGGTTAGTATTGAGAATATGTAGTAAAAGAAGGGGGGGATGGGAGAGGTATTTACCCCTAGAGTGGTGAGCACGGTTCGAGTAAGGCATTTCTGCGAAGGCTTGTTGTTGTTGATGAACAAGTTTCGTTGTGATGATCTTTGGGTAACGAAGCTGTTTGAGAGAGAAATGTTTGCGATGGAGAGGATGGAGCTGGGAGAGAAATGTTTCCGAGGTAAATAAAGGGTTGGTGGGCGAAGTGCGGAACCTGGATTGGCTGGTTCGCCGGCCGAGAGAGCACGCGCCCGAGAGTGGAACATTGGGCAAGGGAGACTGACTGCGGTCGTGGGCCGCGGGCTTGGTTGGGCACTGGTTCTCTAACGTCTCTTTTGGGATTCTACAACTCGTGTCTCGGGGCAGCTTGCAACTGAGCACTGGACATTCATCATACTCCAGGTGATTCATGACAACTTACATATCGCCAGTGCTCCACTGCACCCGTACTCTGCTGTTAGGAGCAGCGTGAATGTCAAGTGTTGCGTTTTCTCCAATTCTATCAAGCCATTTCTCAACCCTGCCAGACCATTCGACGCTGGTTGAATCAGACAGGGAACAGATGACGCGAAAGCATCACAACCATTGAATGAGCCCATGCAGATCCTCTTTTAGCGCATTTGAAGTCTATTGATTGGAGAAGCGCAGAATTAACCCCCCCCCCCCCCCCCCCCGAGATCTTAAGCTAGCAGTAGTCCACATCTACTCGCACAATAAGAATACGGCAGGAACTATTTCCCACCCCCTTGCCGTTGCTCACTTCTGATTTATGCGTACCTCGATCGTGCCTATCGAAATATCGCCCACATTCGTACTATCCGGACGTTGAACCATCCAATGAAGTAACACCCCCATCGTTACACACGAGGACTATCAGCTAATCAACTAGCTGACGTTACACGAGCCCTTTACGCCACAGTCCACACGCGAGTGACGCCCCATGATCCAGCTACCTCTGCGACCAATCTCCTAACTGGGAGAGGCTGTGCCCATCTGACCAAGAAAAGAGGCGCAAGCTGTTCCGGGTAAGTGTGCCCGGCGTCAGTCGAGGTTCTTGATGATAGCAGAAGGTCTCATTTGGCGTTTATGGGGCTTGTGAACTGTGGGGGAGACGGGCGGGTGGGGAGATATGAAAAGGGATTGAGTGCAATTTGGAGGGTGAGGAGAATTACACTGTGCGCACCGGGACGATACGGGTGTGAATGCCTTGCTCTGGCTTGCCTAAGTATGTATTCCTCTGATATAGATACATGTATATATAGTACACCTTCTTTAGAAAAAAACTACGATGTCTAGCTGCTCGTTCCGAGTCAAATAGCTACAGACCTTTCGCTGATAGGGGCGAATCCCGTTACATTATGCGTTAACCACTCGGAAAAGCAAGAAAACCCGCACTGATTTCCGTTGCTACCACAGCTAGCTAGCTATCGGCACTATGGTTGGTTGGGAGTGTGCCATTTCGCCTTAGGAAAACCTCACATCGATCGGGGCACGGAGGACAGGACTCTATGTGTAAAAACAAAACCCACATCGCTAGCTATGGCGTGAAAAATCAAACATGGCAGACCGGCGCCCACCCAGCGAGAAATGAATATCAACATACCATGCACCACCGAGGGCTCACGAACTAGCATATCAGCGTCAAAGATGTTTCGTCAAGAGCCTACACTGGGGAATACATAAAGCTGGGTCTCAGAGACTGCTGGCTCGGTGTGGTGAATCTCAATGCCGATGTCCCACGGTACATGTAGTTTTCTAACCGCTGGCCTCGCACGTGACATAGCATTTCCGGTGCAAAACCAAATCCGGCGGCGCCGCGGGCTACACAAAACCACCGTCGTTTCCCCCAGCACAGCACCACCACCCCTTTCTTCCTTCTCCACCATCATCAGTTCTTTACCAACTACCAATTCACAGCCCGAATCACGCAAAAAGAAAAAAAAAGGTCAGAAAAACCAACAACATTTCCTATCGTCCACCACCACCACCACCCTGGACCTCCACTAACATCTCAACCCTAACTAGACAGGATGCCCCCCCGCCCCCGCCCCCCACCAGGCACCCCCCACGGCGACACCATCGACTCCCTCCCCGCCCCGCGCCGTCCCCCCCGCGAGACCCCGCTCGCAGAGCTCCGCGCAATGTCTCAGCCCGAAACACCCCACCCCGAAGGCCACCGCGGCCCTACCATGAGCAGGCTCAGCACAGTAAGCATGAACCCCGTACGCCACGGCCCCTACGACGGGGAGTCGTGGCGTGTCGGGGCAGGCCACGGCACGCCGCCGGTTGCGGCACAGCAGGGCAGATTCGGTGTGTTGCATCCTGGACATGGCGGCGGCGGCGAGTCGTCGAGCAGTGGGTCCAGAGTGGCCGCGATTGGGCATGGGCAGAGGCAGCGCACGGGTCCGTCCCAGCACGGCGGGTTCGGTGTCCTTCATCCCAGCGACGGCGGCGAGTCTTCAAGCAGTGGGTCGAACCGGCCGGCTGGAAATGGGAGCCAGCACGCCGCCCCGTCGCAGCACGGCGAGTTCGGGATGCTTCTCGGCGGGGCGCCGTCGAGCAGCAGGCCGGGAAATAGTAGCTCGAGTGCGGCTCCAGGTCCGCCGGGCGAGTTCGGGCTCCTTGTTCCCGGTTACCATACACCCGGCACTATCGGCGACCGTCCGGGTCGACCTCAGCACAGCGAACTCGGCATGCTCGCGGCCGCCCCCGCCCCCGCCCCTGCCCTCCCCGGCGCAACCAATAGCAACCCCAACAACACTACGCGAACCCACCGGCACAACCCCTTCGCCCCCGTCGCCGGCGTGATCACCACCAACGGCGACTGGAACGGCCCCAACAACAGCCGTAGCCGCATCCGCCTGAACGGCGTGCACATCTTCCTTCTGCCGCGGCGGCTGACTGTCACCGCCAACACGCGTGTCCTTGCGCCTGTGCCGCGGTGGAGATCCGTGCTGGACGACCTGGATGCGCAGGACCAGGAGGTCATCACCCACCAGCCGTGGCGGACGATGCGGGAAAGGTTCCCCAGGGGAGCGGAGGTGCAGGAGGCCGATGGGAGCCGCCGCTGGCGTGTGGAGGATGCGCTGGTGTTTGTGAGCAGTGATGGCAGGGATGTGGAGATGTTCTTGGGTGGTGAGTAGTACACCAGGAGCTTGGATAGATGGTGTAGTAATAATTAACACTGGACTGATGTTCTGTGGTGTATGCAGTGACCCGCGACCCCGACCACCGCATCACAGCGCTCGACTGGCGCAGCTTCAACGGCCAGGACCAGGCCGTCCTGGCCGCCATCTGGACGCTCACGCCGCGAGCCGTTCTCCACTTGGCCGCGCCGAGCTACCACTCGTTCGGCGACGCCTCGGACGCCACGGACATCGACCCGCTGCATCCCGAGCCCGGCCGTCACCCGGCGTGTCCGTGCTGCACGCGCCGCGAGGCCAGGCTGGTCTTTGCCTGTGGGCACCGCATGTGTCGCTCTTGTGTACTCGGGACGTGGTGGGCGGCGATCACGAGGCCGCATCACTGGCCGACGTTCTTGAGGTGTGCGTTTTGTCGCGCGGAGGTGGGCGGTGTGGGGGGTGTCAGTCTGGTGGTGTGGGTGCTGGGGGAGAGTCGCAAGGCGAGGATTAAGTTGTGGGCGGAGGAGGTGGAGGCGGTGCAGCTGGAGGAGATGAGGCCGTTTTTGAGGGGGATGTGAGTTGTTCATGCCTGCTTTTTGAGTCTGGTGATATGATGCTGATGGAGGTGTTAATTAGGAAACGTCGGTTCGAGAAAAAGGAGGGGAAGGCGCCTGCGCCGCGTGAATAGCGGAGGTGGTTCGGTGGCTCTTTTGAACCTTTGGGTTTCTTATCGTCTACAAAGCATTGCGTCGTGTCAGTGGGAGTTACTAGCTGGTTAGGGATGGGATATGAAAGCATTTCTCAGCGCGGTGAAAGGTGATCTCTCATTGTTTTTTCATCAAGACGTTCCACTCTAAATGTTGTCTGTTCTAAACCGCTGTAGTAACGAGTTAAATAGAATGAATATCAAGCCGTGTACCTGAGTCTTCGAGAGTTCCTGTAAGCTTGGCTTACATTTCATTTCGGGGTATTTAGAATTGCATAGCGTAGAAGCATAGCATATCTCAGTACGCACGGAACATAGATAGCTCGTAATGAATGGAAGGAAGAGTTGAGGAATACCTGCTCAACATCTCGAGATCAAGTTCTTTTCTTTCGCATCATGCTGCTTAGATCTCCCGCGTATGACCATTTCAAACTCTCTTCCTCACCCATGCCCTCAATCCATCTCCATTCAATGGGCGTCACCCATCCACTGTTAGCGAACCATGCCCCACTCCACAATCCCCCGCGGAACTAACTTCCACCTACCATCGAGACCGTTAACTGATGCGACGTCGAGCACACGGACCCGGGGCTGCGTACCTGCTTCTGCGCTTCATGTAGCACTAGCACTTGAAAAAGCCACAGAGGCTGCTGCCTCATGTAATATCACTCGTAGCCGAGTTGTGGCGCAGACTGGGCGCTCGTGTAACGTTGGTCACCCAGCGGGAATGTGGAAAGAGTATAGTAGGCTACAGTATACATCTGGCACCGTGGATGAGCACGACCAAACTGGCATCAGATGCGTCATTCCCTGCACATTGCGTTTCACTCTACCCTACGCCCATCTGATAGCGTGGATATAATTAGACATAAATACCCAACTGGCACCTCAAGCTGAGCTCTTCTAATTCATCCAGGTCTTTCTGCTAAGGCGTCATGATTTTATTCTCTTCTCCACTAATTAACTAACTACCTACCCAGCATAGACGGTCTTAAATACCATCCACAACCTAAAAGCACCTCCTCCGCACCTCCTTCCCCTGAACGCACACTCTCCTCGCCTCTGCACTCTCCAACACATTAATCTCTGCCCCCACCTTGACAAACTCGATAGAAAAATCCCCCAGCACGCGATTAACACGATTCAGCTCTCTTTCGAGCGCGTCGAGGAAGTTCTCGGTCAGCCCATCTTTACACTCTGTTTTCAGGGTCAGTAGTTTCTCGCGGATGAGCTTGTGGGCGGTGGTGGCCTTTTCGATGGCGGCGAGGCGGCTGCGTAGGATGAACTGCCGGATGGGGAAGTCGGTGGGGTGGTGGATGTCGAGGGTGGGGTTTTGGGATGGCATGGTTTGAGTATTGCGTGTTGGGGTTCCTGTGTTAGTTTGGATGGCTTGAGTATTGGGTATTACGATATCCTGTGTTAGTTTGGCTGGTTTGAGCGATGTGAGTTGGTAGTGAGAATTTAGTCTGGCCGGACGAATGTTCGTCTTATAGCACGATCGGAGGATTCAAGAGGTGGACAATTTTCACCCAAGAACCTATACCAATTTAACCAACTGTTTCGATATCAAGTCAGATATCCTTTCAAATGGTCTAATCCCCATGCGGCCCATATCCCACCTTCTCGGTTATCAACTGCCTCTAAATGTGTAAACTTGAAAGAACATGCTCCGTCACGCGCTCTCACTCGCGTCATGGGATAGCACTCGCTTAAGCCAAGCCACTTGGACAGGACAACAAACCTAAGTTTTCAATAACGCCCAATGCGGACCTTTGGTCGAGGTGTTTGACTTTCTGTGCATGACCCACTAGCACAGCTACAACTCCCCACCCCCCAACATCGCCGACCAGAAAAATAAAAGTCAACAGAATTCATTCTACCATCTTTCTATACGGCTCAAGCCGCAGGGTGAATCCCATTTTCGCCAGAAAATTTCGATGCTGCGGTATGGAAGTTTCTGTAGTATCTAAGTATCCGGCGGCTACATAGAATCATGCTAACGGGCGTACTGCCTATATAATGACAAATTCACCCCTGCTCCCAAATAATAAACATCCATCACACATCCGCCGTATCCGAAACCACGCTCCCGTTCAAAGCAACAACCCAGAGCCACTAATTACAACTCTACCCAAAATACACCAACCCAACCCCACGACCTCCCAGTCCCCCCAGTCACCTTCGAAAACATGAATTCACCAACCTGCCAGCCCTCATCTTCTCCCTACCCCGCAGCGCCAATTGGCGCAATCCTGCCTCCTGATATGGCGGACACCCCGAACGCGTGCCCCCGGGGGGGAGTGCCGGGTAAGGATGCGCTGTGGGAGTGCTGCAATTGCAGTAGTCAGTGGTCGTGGAAATATGACCGCGAGTGTGAGGTGTGCGATCACTGGAAGTGTGACCAGTGCACTTTGCTTTTGTGATGGTGCAGTGGTGGGGTTGGTGAGGGTGGGAATGGAGTGAACAATTTGGGCCCCCAGGAGGGGGGGGGGGGGATTTAATGGAATTGGTTGTGGCAGAGGGTGTTTTAATTTGTGTGGGTGATTGAGGTGCAGAAGATTTTTTTGGTTGCGTTAAAAGTAGAAAGATTCTCGATTTGATAGTACTAATACTTATAACGAACTAATTATCATACGTAAGAAAAGAATTAATTTCTAATTAATAAAAACCGAGCATCAGACGTTAATTGCCGTGCAGTGACCTTAAAGCAAAACCTTCTTTGATATGAGTCAAAATATTCCAGCAGTAACTGTCAATCATGAACTATCACTCGTTTACCGGTGTATTCCAGCAGTAATGATCGATCTTGGATCATCACTCGTTTTAATCGATACTTAGCCAATAAACCCACGCCCCCCCCCACTCATTATGACTCGTTGATGTTAGCTGTGGGAATATGACTCACTGTATATTCATATACACACCGGCCGTATACATAGCCTATCGACATCTAGGCCTCAAAGTAAGAAAATAAAATCTTGAAAAGCCATCGATTTATCAAAGTCCAAAATATGACATCACCGGTGCGATAGATGAAAGAAGGTAGTGACAGACAGGATATCTTGAAATATTCCCGCCCTAGCAGCCGTTAACCAGCTATATTTAAATAGTTTGCGTTCCGTCTTACTCTATCCTCCATCACCCAGCCAACTCACATTACAATACATCAACAAGCCCATTCCGAAAACAAACAACCAACCCATAATATATTATCAAAGCTCATTCCAAAAACCAACAACATCCAACATGGAAAGCCCCACAACCCCCGAACAACTCAAGGTCCTACTCCACCGCCTCCAAGAGCACTGCGACGAAATCTTTTACGTCGGTGTCAAGATCGCTGATCTCAACGAGTGGTTTGACGAGCACTACTCTATGCAAACCGAGAAGGTCAGGTCCTTCTTGAACTTTCTCAGGCGTGAAAAGCGCGTGCTGCAGGCTCGACTCGAGGCTGTCGAAGACAAGAGAATGGCTGTTCTTGATGAGATCTATACACTGTGCCCGGGGGTGACAATCACAGATAGTGATGGCGTGAGAGAGAACATGTATCGGGAGCGCGAGAGGAACCGCGATCCTGTGCTTATGGAGGGGTGGGGGCAGATGAGGGGTGTGCCCGTGAGGGACGAAGACTTGACTGGATTTTGGGCTTCAATGTGGGCGTTTGGGGAGCACTATGCGTAGTGAGGTTTACTTCACGAGGTGCCCGAAGGAGCGAAGTGAGTCACAATCAGGAGAGCAGGCATCGGAATGGAGAGTAGTACGAGTACTTAGTTAGAGCTAGAGGGTATTGAAAGGTGACACGTTAATTAAAAGGTCGGAGGTCTGTGTGGGGATTTCGTCGTAACGTCTTCTGACCTTTTAATTCATGAGCGATTAGATAATTAGTAATCAAGATAAAAAACACTACAACTTTTATACTATTGAGGGATGTGTATGGTTAACTGCGAAAGGCTTGCTTTCTGATTTGGTGATAACCCGGAGATGCCTGCTCTTTTGATAACAGGTAGCGAAACAGGGGTAATAGCTTGTCATGATCTCAGCGAGAGATCCGTTTTATTCCGAGTTCCTACTTCTCGCAATCTCAACATAGCTTTGTATTTAAACATGGCCGGTTCATCATTTACGTCAATGTTTGTAGGGTCGGCGAGGGCCAATGACAGCTGGGGATTGATCGTGGGTTAGGGTTTCCTAGAGTGGCGCGAAGAGCTTCTTCCTCTAATCTTTCCCGGGTCGACATGTGTCTGGACCATGTATGAGAGGTCAAACGAAGTCTAAATAGAAGTGCTGCTGTCCCATCTTGCCCTGCTTAATTTCAGTAGTTTGAAAGACGGAAATTGAAAATTTGTAGGTACTTTCTATCAAAGGTACCCCCCAGTACTGAGCGCTCGCGATAATATAATCTAGAGGAAAACAACAGAAGAAGTATCCATTTAATTCCGTGTCCGACCCGTGCGGAAAGAGAAAACAATTTTTACCAAAACAGCTGATCTGGCTTGATGTCCCAATTCCCTTCGCTCCCCCGCCAAAAGAAAAAAAAAAAAAGAAGGAAAGAAAGAAGTAGGATCTCGGTAAAAGTTGACAGATTGGATACCCTTTTTAACTATTCCAAAAGACTTTGTTCCCCCAACCTAGTCGTCCGCCACGGGGACCCCTAGATCCTGAAGGAGTTTATCCACCTTCATAAGCTCCGTAAACTTCTCGAACGCCCTCGCCTCCGCCACGTTGACAGCATCCAACAAAGCCTCCAGATCACTCGCAAAGCTCTCCAACCATTGCGCAAGTCCATTGATCAGAGGTGCCGCCCTGAAAACCTTGACGGTAGGATTACGACCAGGGTTCAACGCGTTGGCGTGATCCTGCGCGAGTCTCCTGTAGCGCTCCTTGAGTGTAATATACTCAGTGCGGAGAACGCTGTGTCTCCGAATGAGGCTGTCGACGTACTCCTCACGGGTGACTCCGGGGTGGATGGCGACTGCGTGGGGGGACATCTGTGTACGGGAGCTGAACAACGGCTGGACGGGGATGAGGGGAGACATGTCCGGTGAGCGAACGCCAGGAATGAGGCATGGAGGATGAGGCTGTGAGCTGGCGGTGTGCGGGGTAGTGGGCGGTGGTGGACCTGGACGCTGCATTTCTTATGGTAGTCGACTTTGAAAGCTGGGACTCTTGAGCTGCTGCTCCTCTGACAGTTAGCATGGCTTCGACTCGAACTCCGAGCTGGCTTTGGTACTTACATCGGAATGCGGTGGATCTGTCGCGATGATGGGTTATGGAGAGGCAGTTATTCGTGTCTTAGGTTTGTCGATGTTGGGGAGAAGCGAGTCATCGTGTGCGGTCCTCCAATAGTCATTTGAAATTGGAGCCCCCTTTGCTCATGGATCGTCCACCGCGGCCGGCAGCTGGATAACTACTTCGGGGGTGTCAAAACATCGGCATTAAAATTCAATAGATCACTATCACAGATGATTCAAGGGTGTATGTGTGCTTCGAGGCTGTATGGTCGCCTACGAGACACAGCTCAAGGTGCGTTGTGAGAAGGAGCGCATTGACATATCCGAGTGATATCATATGATGCCGAAAGCAACGTCGCGTACTAACACCCCGCAGCACACCGAGGTGCAGTCTAGCCACTTTCATACCGCGCCCCCAAGACCGCTATAGAGTATCGAGTTCAGTATCGGAGGGGCGGAGGGGCGCAATGGGCAGAGAGGGGGTGGTGTTGGTAGGTCGGTACGCGTACGATTCGTGGAAGCTTTAATAACCATGAAGAAGAAGCCACCTTACAACCATCAAATATTATATGTGGTTACTTCGGGGAGTGCTAAATTCCTTCAGATCACATTACCCGCAGTTTACGTCGCCGGTCTTCGCGGGGTGGGGAAGCTGAGCTTCTCCTAAGATGCAAAACCTTTGCTTGCGACTCGCGGCAATCATGGGGAGGGTTTAGAGGGGTGGGGCTGTGAGACACTATTAAAGCATATTTTAAAATTCAAACTTCTATTCAAGCTATTTGATATGCGTAAACGGCTCATTGGTATAAAATTACAGGAAAATTATGAAAACAAGTGAGTCACAGCTCCCATCCTCCTCAACCGTCATCCTTAGGTTGTTGCACCGCCTGACATTGCGTTGTTTAATTATTGTAATCGGTGGTTCTGGTCTGATCTAAAGGACATGTTAGCTTTTGTTTTCTGTATTATTCGGCAAGTACTATTACCTTGAAAGCCAACAACTTTGAGAACACGTGTCACGGCACCTCCCAGGATCTAAAGCAGGTCATGCCATTGATTCGCCGCGAGAAAACGCCCTAACTTCCTCTCCAAGAACGCAATAGCCCCTTCGATCTCGCTAAGTCTCCCCTCAACTAGTTTCAGGCTAGCAATAGTGTCTTCGTAGCAGTCATTCATCCCGTCGTGAAGTTCGTGGATGCGATGGCTCTGCGCACGAATGGCCGAAACCTAGGAGACATAGTGTGTACGAAGTTTTTTTGAGATGGAATCACTAGCCTTAAGGTCCGCGATCCTCTGTTTAACGGAATTGATCTCCTGGGAACTGTACATAGGCGGCGGAAGAGACATGGCGGTAGTTTGGTTGGTATGTGTATAACTCTAGATTAAATCGTTTTTAGTAAGTACCTGTTTTCGTGGGATATAGGTGTTACTAATTACCGATGTTGTAGGATGACTGGTGCTCGGTAACTCATAGCTTCCGGTTGTCGACACTACATATTTCTGGGTGCTTCGGATGACCCTGAGTTAGGGTTATTTGTGAGAAATTCAAAAACTAAAAGTCGCTTACGCCAAAGTCATAAATGGTTCAGAACAGCATAGCCAACTGTTAATGTTTGGGGATTTCTCACAAGACATTACCGACGGTTTTTTCACAATAGTATGAAGAGGGATATCTACGGAATTAAACTATTGTCACGTGAGGAGAGAAGGTTCGCGATAATCATATGAAGTCGGAAGAGCTATATAATGTATATATCGTACTTTGAAATTTATTAATCTCTTTATTTATTCAATTGATCAAGCTATTTAATTTGAGTGAGCGACTGAATTGGTATCAGAACAAGGAGACATTGAAAACAGGTAGATCCCATCCCCTCCTCCCTCATCCTTGCGATCCTTCATGATCACCGAGTATGTCGCTTTGTGTATACGTTATTTACTGTATGATCTCGTCGTAATTTTGATCTAGAGCAAATGTACATGTTAGCTTTTATTCCCCGCAGTATTTAAACTCTCATACCATGAAAGCCCAACCCCGTGACACCTCCGAGACCGGGTCGGATCTAAAGAAGCCAAACCCATCTATTCGCCTCCAGGAGCAGCCCAAGTCTCATTTCCAAGCTGTTAGTCAATCTTTTTCTCTTCACAATCCTGAATGTAAGCGCTGAAATTCGAGCAGTAAGTTCCTCGTTGCTGATATTGATGATATCGCCGGCAACTGGGACATAAACTGCATTAAGACCGTGGGTGTGCATCCTTGCAAGTTGCCTGACATAGCGCTCGAGGAGAGAGTGCGAGTGACAGAGCTCAGCTTTGAGGACCTCGATCCTGTTACTTAGGATATTGATCTGCTGAGGATTGAAAATCGGTGAGTTGAAAGCCATGGTGGAAGCCCGGTTGGTTTATTTATTGATAGATTAGGTCAGGTGGAAGGCCTGTTTGTGTATCTATGGTTCTATATTAAGTTGTTTTTTAGTAAGTACTTGCCATAGAGTGGGGTCAATAGGTGTTACTAATTACCGGTGGTGGAAGATGATTGATATGTACTGAGCAAGTCCTAACTTCCGGTGCGAGATTCTACATATTTATAGGTACTCTGAATGCTTGAAATTTGAGTAATTTGTGTGAAGAGCAAAAATGAAAGTGGCTCCCTTAAAATCATGCTAATGCGCTGTGAAAAAAAGGAGGAAATTCTAATCAAACCTGCAGAACTAGCTTATATCTGGTAATGTTCGGAGATCACACGCACATGATCGACAGTTTCTATTAAAATTATCAAGTGAGATATCTACGGAATTAAAGTACTTTCCGGAGCAACAATGTTCACGACAATTATAGTAAGAAACAGGTATAGGATACTACAAATGTATTAAAATTCATAGTTCCCTTGATTTATGCAAGTTATTTAATTCGAGAAGACGTCTTAGTTGGTATCAAAGAAGGTAATCAAAACCGGCAGCTCCTCCCCCCCTTATCCGTCATCCCTGTGAACATAGCTTCCTGACCGAGCATGCAGCTTTGTGTACTCGTCGCTTACTGAAAACCTGGTTGTATCTTTGATCTAGAGACCATTTTAGCTTCAATTCCCCGTAGCGTTCAAACTTTCTCACCTTGCAAGCGCAAGCTCGGAGATCTAAAGCAGCCAAACCCATCTGTTCGCCTCCACGAGCAGCTCTAACCTCATTTCCAACTCACGAATCAACCTTGTTTTTTCGGCAATTAGATTTTCGAGTTCCGCAAGGTCTCGAAGAGCAATCCTCTCATAGGCCGCATCAAGACTATCGCCGGCAACTGGAGCTGTGAGCCTGTGGGTACGAATCCTCGCAAGCTGAATGAGGTAACGTTCACGGAGATGGTTTGACAGAGAGAGGGAAAGCTCAACGAGATCGATCCTGTCGCTGAGGATAATTATCATCCGTGGATTGAAAATAGGCTCTGTAAAAGGCATGGTGGGAGGTCGGTTGGTGTTTGTAGGAGAAAGTGATCATGAAAAACCTCCGGTGGCAGATGCTACACACTTCTAGGTACTACGGGTGCCCAAACGACCCTGAGATCAGAGTGATTTTGTGAAGTGGAAAGCTAGGAGTGGCTTGCACGAAGTCACGCACCCCAAGAAAAAGGAGAAATTCGCCTCAAATCTTGCGAACTACATGGCTCTTAATTTATTGTTTGGAGATCACACGCACATCACCGACATTTTCTATCATGAGTATGAAGAGAGATCTCTACGGAATTACTACTGAACGTTCGCGACAATAATATAAACTGAGGTATACGATGTATAGTACTGAGCAATTAAAACCTGAAATTCTCTCTCCATTTATTCAAGCTATTTAATTTCCAAATTTGAGTAAACGGCACAAGTGCTATGAGAACAGGACGATATCGAAAACAGAAAGTTAATCCACAGCTTAATCCACCCCTCATCCTTCGTGTTTCCTGCCTTCGCCGACACAGTACGTTGTGTATATGTTTGGTATCCGAGAAAACTGTTTATGATTTAAATCTAGAGAGAGTTAGCTTGTTAGATTTCTTTCCCAATATTAATGTATTGAAGCATTCTCACCATGATAGCACAAGTCCAAAGATTTCACATTTGAGTAACGAAAAACCTCTCTTGCAAAAGTTCCCCAAGGAACTAAAGAATCCACAACTCCCTGTTTACCTCCAACAGGTTTACCAGCTCATCCTCAGAATCCTTGATCAACCACATATTATGAAGGATTCTGTGCCCGAGAATAGCAGCATTGACCGCAATGGTTTCATACGGAGAATCAATGTCATCTCCGGCAACCGTGGCGTAGTCTTCGAGAGTGTAGATATGAATTTCAGCAAGCTGTGCCATATAATGGTCGCGGAGTTGTTGTTCATGCATGAGGGTTCTCTTGAAGGCTCTGATACTGACGACCAGGAGGTTGATCTGGCGAAGATGCAAGAAAACTGTGGTGGAGGTCATGGTTGAAGATGTATTGCTATGTATCTCTAAATTAATTGTTGTTAATAAATAGTTGTTATTGTAGAATATTGCTGTTACTAATTACCGTTTGTAGAGGATGGTTGGTACTGATGATATGTCATGACTTGCGGCCGGAGGTACTTATTTATAGCTCCCTTAGGTACTCGAAATTAACGAAAGTGTCATTAACTGGTACTAAGTGCAAAAGCAATAGTGGCAGCTTTTCTCATAACAGAGCAGGATTGTATTATCTTGTGTGAAATGTAAAACTAATAGCGGCTGGCCGTAAATGGTATGAGCCCCTCGTAGATGTGGCACGCCGAAACTTACGGAATGGAAGGAAATCTCTCGACACCTATCAGTGAGCTAGACACCGAGACTCTGACCGACGGTATATATATACCTACCTAAGTACAGACTTTTGGACCGATACTAGAGACCTAATGAGATCAAGATAAGAGAAGAGAGGGAAAAGAAAAGAGGTAGGATTTATCGTGGAAGAGACTCAATCAAAGGTGGCTGACACGGCCGGGATTAGGTGACCATTCTTTTCTTCGTATTCTTCTATCTATAGAAGTTTTTAAATCGTTTCTTGCGAGAGTAATTCAGCGGGTATCAAAGATCTTACTTTTTCACTACCGCCGCTCGAGAAAGATGACACCCTGGCTGATTTGACGCCTTTCCGAGAAGCTTACAATTTGTCTCAGAGGGGGAAAAGACAGAATAATTATGATTACAGGGGAATAATCCACCACCCTTGTCGCAATCCATTCTGCGAGCAGAACTATTATCGTCGAGGCACTACCAAATATGTACTTGCGAAGCTGTGTTATCAATCCTCTTTAACCTTCCTTCCCACTGGTTGTGGCTCTTTCAGCACCCATGCGACCTCTAGGTTTACGTGGCCAGTTCGGTGGCTAATGGTCATTAGATCACACGTAGTTCACAAATGGCAGGAATCTCTCTCTATATAGCTAGTCAGAGTATTCGAATTCATTGCTATGTGAGTTACAGAAAATGAAATGCTGGTATAGCTACTTGAAAGAAGCTACAAGCGGCCAATTTGAAAACCGACCCGCTCGATCAATCAGATTATTCCAAAAACCTCCTCCGTGCGTTGTGACAAATTCACAATTCCTTCGTACCCACTCCCATCTTTTCTCCCGTCCCATGTCGTCCCAATGCTTCGATCGTCGTTCCCATTCTGAGCCTTCAAATTTCAAAGCTAAAACCTTCCCTACGTCCCTGTAGAATCTCCGCCATTGTACCCTGGCAGCGCTCAAGAAGTTCGGGAATGATCTTTGCAATCAGCATGAAGCAACCCAGTGCATCCCGCTCCAGCTCCGTGAGTCTCTCGCGTAAAGTGACCTCCTGGTCGGTGAGGCGTTTGAGGTTTTGGGCTAGGAGTCGTAGGCCCTTGTCTGTTTTCCAAGAGCCTCCGTCCCAGGTCTCCTTTCCCACGTGGTCATAAGCGATCATGTACATCGTGCGGGTTTGACGTATTCTTTTCAGCGTGTCGCGTCTCTGCTCGCCGAGGTTTTTGTATTGAGCGAGCAGAGTGAGGATCTGTCCGCGGGCGGAATATGGTTGTAGCATTGTTTCAGGAGGCTTATTCGAGAAGTTCGAGGGTAGCTTGCGGGTATTAATTGGATGATTTCGAGGACCTCGGAGACGTATCGAGGGTTTTACAGATGACTTCAATGGATGAGGATATTGAGGTTTAAAGCGATGGTTGTTTGGATGAATGGAGGACAACAGACAGATGGATGGAGGAATTGAAAATAAGAAGGACCTGGCGGGCTATTTATCTAGATTCCCCTAACAGGGGGTTGCAAGCGTGAGGCAAAAAGACTACATGTAGTTCGAAGCCCTATGTTGCGGGGGCGGGCGGTAATGTGGTGCGTACGCGTAGCCACCAGGAAATGCTTTAGCACATCGCAGACCTGGGTATACAGAACAAGTTTGTATTTCCGGTGCCATCGAGATGGTGTACTTTCAACCTGTGCACCTCCGGCCCGGGCTTCTATGATTGTTCGAATCCGTTTGAAGTAAGTGAAAATATTTTCTAGAAGGTGAAGTATTTATTAATAAGCATGATTCAGAGGTTTTATACTTAGCTTGCAGGCGGGAAAATCACTATTAGTTACATCTATAGTCTATCTTGCTCGGTAAGGTTTCGCCAAACCCCAACTTTGGAGGAGGCTCCTCCTCCGAAAAACGGTAGGAGACTCTAATTACCATTTATCTCTTCACCTCCCCCTTTGTAATATCAACGTTCCCAACGGTTGTAACAGGTTCTTATGTTCAAAACTGAATTGAATTGAACTGGACTGAATAAACACCGTCGACAACTGAACCGAGCGAATAAGAACCGGTTGATACTGTGGAACCGTTCTGAGGTCTTGGCACTAGTCAAACATGAACTCTACACTGAAGGTTTCGCGCGGCGTTCTGTTCTCCTAGGTCACAATGGAGACTCAAGAGTAGAACGAAGCGAGATGGTTTATAAGAGTCTCGGAGGTCTACTCTAGTTTTATAGGTTTAGACAATTAGAGATACACGCAGTCTAGTTCTACAAACGGGCTCAACGTGGTACGTTCTGCTAAATCATGACACCTGTTTAGTCGGGTCGCTGGTGTAACAGTGTTCAGGGTTAGGGTCGGTTCTAGAAAAGCGGTTTGAACTGATAAACCGAACAACCGTTGGAACATGACTACTTTGTATATACTAATCAAATTTTTCTCCCGGTGGAGAGGGTGTTCATGGCAATGTCAAGTGAAAATTATGGAATATTATGCGGGCGAAATATTCATTGGAGTGGATCACGGACACTAGCTGCTAAGAAAAGATTATTTAAAACTTGTGCTTTGAATTGTCTATCTAATAACTATCAAATTACACATATGAAACCCGGCCCAGATCTTCCAAACGAGCAAGTACGGATGACATTCTGTTCAACAACCTCCCAATCAGGAAGATGCTCCCGGCATCTTCTCATCGTTCGACTTCAGGAACAGTTTCCAACCACCCCCCTCCCTTTCTCACCACCGAGATATGTCTTCCACCTGTAAGATTCAAGAATCAGGTTGCTCAGCGTTCCAGGCGTCAATCTCCTCCTGGATCATGACCACCTCGCAAAGAACCTTCAGCTTAACCCACTTTACCTTCCTGATCTCTTGCCCCTGTCTAAGCATTTCACCCTCCATCATCGCAATGCGGAAGCGGCTGTCCAGTTTGTTGCGCTTGAGCTCGTGGAGCCTCCTGCAATGTTCTCTATAATTGTCCAGAAGCTCCTCTTCGATGTCCATGATACCCCTGAGGCGCATGCGGACGTAGAAGCTTCTGTTGCCCATGGGGTGGCGGTCGGACATAGGGATTTCGAAGCACGCAAGCTCGTCGACGTGGCTTGGGACTGTCGGAATGGCCGTTGGAGGGATCACCTTAAATGGCTTCTCGGGACGGTCATGTTCGCGCTTGAAGGGTTCGCGGACCCATTCGTTGTAGAGCTTATAATCCTTATTCGAGGATCTGATAGGATTCTTTATGAAGAGAAACTAGTCTTAGCAATGTTTATACTCGAATCACAGGTATTATACAGGGATCAGCAAGAGAGGGTACTTACGCCTCTGACTGGACCTGGGAGGCTGTCCATTTTGTGACAGAACACCTCTCCACTTGGAAGATTATTATTCACGAGTTTCTCTTTGGTCTAAAATTATGCAATTGCCTAGTTAACTAAAATGCTTCCAATAAAGTTGGGAAAGAATCGGGGAAGCGTTTTGAATAGGCATCGTAAAGGGCGACTACTTATGTTGGGTGGGGAGGAAGAAATATAGGAGGTAGGATAAGGGGATACCTACTGCTGACTCAGAGCTGAAAAGCAAGCCTGAAGGGCCAAAGAATGTATTTTCAAGCATACTTGTTAATTAAGCTCTTGTGATTGTGCTTTGGAGTTGTAGGTGTACTTTGAATGTGGGTTAGGGAATGGAGGATAGATGAAGGTTTGTTGGGTAAGAAGTGGAGGAAAGGAGGGATTATATTATTTGGTTCTTAAATAGCGACAGTTTTCCAAAGACGTAAATAAAATTAAAAGCAAGAGCTCAACCCCCTTAAGCCAGTGCGTACGTGACTTGGGTATATATGCCTGTCACCCATTTTTAAGCAGGCGATTTAGCTCCTGGAAAAGCCAAATATATATACCACGACTAGCCTATACGAGTCATATTAATTCTTATATGTCGTGCAATACTCCCTTTGAATAGATGGGGGTTGATTGTCCGGAGATGTTGCCTTGTCTCTACTAGCTATGTAAACGAATCAGGAAATGAATCGTAACTTTGACGTACTTCTGTAGCACTGTCAAATGCACCGAAAATGTGCTAATAAAGTCATCCGAGTTTCCGTCGAAATGAATCCTTATTATATGTAGAGATGAATCAGGAAATGTGCTTTAAGGGCAAGTTAATATCCCGGAATATACATTATTTGATACTACCCTCTACCGACCATGAAAATGAATCACATGTTACTTTAATAAACATATTATACTCAAAAAATAAAAAATAAAAAAATGGTTCGGGGTGAAACCTTGGGGACTGCGATTAGACAGTCCGCGCCTTACCACCTGTGCTATCAATCCATATACTGAGCCCTGTACCTTCGGTGTAAAAAAAAGCCTGTTATGACCGGCATAGTACATACTAACCGGTACAGGTAGGCAAGCTCGGTATAAGACAAGAAAAAGACACAAGAAAAAGACACAAGAAAAAGACACAAGAAAAAGACATAAGAGAAAGGCACTAGAAAAGGCACAAGAAAAGGAATTTATAGTATCTATTCTAGTACAATAGGCGAGAACCGGCATCAGAAAATGCATAGAAAAGACAGCCTGGTGATCCCCGTGCAGCCGGAGGAAATTAAGGCATTGGAAAAAGGCATTAAAAAATGCATTACAAATCGCAGCAGCAGAGACCGCGACGAGCAGCAAGGTACTCGGTGGTACAGGGAGTAGGGTTCTGTATAAGTAGGGAGAAAGGCACGGGAAATGTCACAGGAAAAGGCAGAAGAAAGGTACTAAGCTGAGGCGAGAGGCGGCATGAGAAGAAGGCATCAAGAAACTGCATCAGTAAATGCCTTAGAAAGGTCATTCCGGTATCCGGTGTAGCCCGGGGAAAGGCATTATAAAAGGCACTGGAAAAGACACTGGAAAAGACACTTTGGGGTAGTGGATTCCATCATGGAATATCACTCGATATTTACTCTTCCATTTTATATCTAATTTACTTTGTCCTTTGACCCGCACGCGCCATGCCCCTGGCATATCTCCCTCATTAATCGTAAAAAGGTATTTGAAAACAAGCAAAAGATCCGATCAGGTTGGGGTTTCTTTGCGGGAAATCGGGAGTGTGATTGTATCTGCAATTAATTTAAATTCCCTGTAGGCTTACAATTTGTCAAAAAAAGAAAAGATTAATATTGATAGATATGTATCCTTAGGGGACCTATTCTAGAGCGCTCTTATATATAAAGAAAACCTATTGGTAAGAATAGGTTAGTAATCCCATCCCCAGTAATTAGACTCCCGAGCGCGAAGGAAATAACAAATAATTGCAGAGAAGAATTTGCGCAAGGCGAAAGAATTCCAATACGAAATGAACGAGTTACTCCCATGTGTTTGTGTCAAGTACATGGCAAAGAATGTAGTGAGTCGGATCGCACGAGGTTTATAATTTAGCAAGATTTTACTCTCTAGTAAGAAGAGATTTCAACTTTGGTTTATCAACTCTTATTCTAGCCGATATGACCTGGTTAAACTTTCTTCACCCCAGGGAAATGTACTCTATGGCCATCAAAAGACTGAACATCTATTCAGCCCTCTCCTTCTCCTCCTCCTCCCCCTTCCCCTTCTCCTCCTCCTCCCCTACCTCCACCCACCCCACCCCCTCCTCCCCCTCCTTCTCTCCCCCCTCCTCCAGCACCCCAAACATCTCCCTCGCCTCCTCCATCACATTCACATCACCCAGCCTCTGCTGCAGCGCGCGCACGCTCTTCCCATGCCAGTCCATGCAGCCCTTCAAGAACGCCACATGCACGCCACGCAAGAACTCCTCGTTCGACAGGTCGAAGCGGATCTCCATGCCGCTGGACATGGAGGGGGCCCGGTAGTTCCCGCGCGGATACTTGTCGCAGATCGCGTTGAATTCGTCGACGGCCTTGGCGTAGACGTCCTGGTGGGACCGGATCATGTTTTGGACCATGGCGAGGTGGGCGGCGAGGTCGGTCTTGTAGGCGGTGAGCGGATGTTGGGACATTGTTGGTGGTTCTGTGGCCGCGATTTGGGATGTTGATTGTGTACTCGTAGAGATGTGAAATGCGATATGTTGAAGCGGGGTGTTCGGGGGAAAATGTATTTTACACGGCCCAAGTATCGAGTGCCCACTGCCAAGAGAAACGAGGAATGCTTGTCGTGTGTCAAGTACTCTCTTTCCTGGACCTATGGACTCGCTCCACAGCCTGCCGTGCTATATTGAACAATCGCACTTTGAATACCGAACTCCGCTTCCAAATTCAGGAACAAACCCAGGGAGCAGTCTACTCTCGAGATCTCAGCATCCACAGTAATAAGGGTACAAAACCAATATAAATACTAAATGGCACGTCCAATCCAGCGCAGCTGCCCCCCGGCCTATCAAACCTCCGCCTCTCCCCCGCCCGCTTTCAACAGCGCTTTTTCGAACTGTTACCTGACCCACCTCTTCCCCAACGAAATCTCCACCACCTACACCCATTTCCGAGCGTACTGATACGGCCGTTGTCGCATGTACCGCGAGTGTCCAAAAATCCTACTTTCAGCTGTTGGTTGAGACCACAATTACCACACCGCATGCGCAGCAGAGCCGCAATCTGGATTACATAAGGGTGCATGGCTGGGGGGAGGGGGGTAATGATTGGGTGGTTGGATTTGGGATCCCTGTCTTGTACTACCAAGGCGGTGGCAACGAATGGTGGACGGATTTTAGTGTTTGGGAGAGATTCGGGTATTAAGGAATTTTAGAAGTCTGGGAATTTGGCGGAAATTCTGGCGGTGGTGGGTGGTTCAGGATGCATGATGGTTGTGTTATGGAGGGGTTCAGTTTGCTCGCGCTCATGAGTTGATTTCGGGTTTTTTTTTTTTTTTGCTGTGGCTTATATTGGTTATAGAGTATGTATGCGCAAGAACTCAGATGGGTAGAGTGTGCGCGAGCTCAAATAAAATGGTAGAAATTGATTTTCAAAGCTTTCTACTTACTACTTATTTTCTCTATTGTTCTTTTCTAAAAAATATCCTACCATAGGCTATGGCGGTAAACGCTCGTCCGTAAATTAAAACCTGTCTAAAAGGTGATTTTCTCTAGCTACTAACATACGTGAAGAAAAGGATCGGTAAGCCGAAGTTGACGACCTCAAAGCTCAATTACGACGACCTTCCGATCACTCTTCCACACTAGTTTCCCAATTACTTTACCATGACATTATTCCGCCTTATCTATCTCCCCCTCCACCCGAGGGGAAACACCGCACACTCACCACCCCCCAAGCCCCACCTCCTAAAGAGCCACACCCACCCTTCGCACCTATCCACCACCCTACCACCCTACACCTCAACACCCCCCCTCGCAACAAACTCACACCCCATCTTTCTACAATGCACCCTCACCGTATCCCCGCGGGTAAACACCTTCCCACACACACAGGTATACCTCAGATGCTTGGTATGCTTGTACGAATGCCTGAGCAGCGCCGCACGACACGGCCATTCCTTCTGACAAACGTCGCATCGATAGGTTCCCGCTGCGCTCCTAACAGGCTGGGTGGGCTGGTCGCCGCTGGGCGAGCTGGGGGTGGAGGCGCTCTGCAGGTACCAGGCTGGAAATTTATCTCGCTTCCCGCGCGGTATGTGCGGGAATGGAACTGTAACAGCGGGGGCGGCGGGAGCAAGTTCTGAGGCCGGAACGGGAGCCGCAGCGAGAGCGGGTGCGGTGGTGGGCTGCGCCGTGACCGGAGATGTGTTGCGTCTGACCTGGCGGCGTGTTGCTATCTTTTTCTTCGTCAAACCATCGGATTGAGTGTCCTTCTCGCTGGCGCTGGTCGCCTCGACAGGAACAGCTATCTTCTGACGCCCAACTAAAGGTCGTTGCGCTGTCGCCGCTGCGTTAATCTTGGAGCCAGCTGCATCAGACTGTCCTGATACTGAGATCCCTGCCGCGGGAGTGACCTTCTTGCGGTGCATGCGGCGCTTCTTGGCAGGCACTGCAACTTCCTCCATGCCGACAGGAATGCGTGCGTCATCCGGAACAAGCGCTGTGACGGCAGCAATGCCGTTACAGCGCTGTGCGATAACAGGAGGAGCTGGTGTGGTATCGGCTGTCGTGATGTTGTCTATGATATCATTAGCCTCGCACACATATACTCCACAGACACCCAGTATCCACCAGAACACATACCTGCATTACTATCCGAACATTGTTGCTCGGGGTGTTCAAGAAGGTTAACGAAGTCCTGCAAATCACTAGAATATTGCTGCCTCTCGCCTACAGGCCTGTTCCCCACCGCGCTTCCATCCATACAGCCAACAGAGGGGCCGTGGGGAAAATTAGTTTCCCCCGCGGCTGCAGGTCCCAAGATGGATGGGCTGCGGAGTCGGGGGTCAATGATCCCCCCCTCCACGTCCCACCCACTGTACTCGCCTCCGACACCGCATGCTATAGGGGGCGCCATGGCGCCCCCACAGGCATATTCCCCGGCATCCAGAGCTAGCGTCTCTCCCCACAACCTCTGTCCACGGAGCGACGGATCGATGTTCGATTCCACCACCTCACAAAAACGTGGGTGGAAGCGTGCGCGCTGGGCGCGCATAGCTAAGAGGGCAGCGCGGTGGTGAAATCTTGCCATGGCTTGATGGTACTCATGCGCCATTACTTGAGGCGAGAGATGATTGGTGCCGGAGGAGGACGGTTGTGTGTGGTTGCTCAGCGGGGGATACATTGCCTTTGTGGTGGCACTGGTTGGGCCTGGGTAGGGGGGTATGGGAGGGATGGTGAACATCAACAGCGACGTTGTCGAGGTGGTGTAAAATTGTTGTGCAGCTTGGTAGGTAATGATTTGATTTGAACGGATGGCTAAACATTTCTTTTGGGTCTCTATGGCTAACATTCGTCCTTGGTATCAAGGCTAACAATCTCGCTGTATCTTCTTATGGATGGTGCATCCGAGAAGGGTACCGACATCTATTGCATATACAGACTAGGCGTGGGTGGGGACAGGTTGTGGCTAAATCTGTTAGACACAATCACCAGATGATGAAGATTGCAGTATCGGGGGTGTGGGAATTGAGATGCCCACCCGAAAGATATTTTTCTTTTGCACTTTTCCTAGAGAGTTCAATATATGGCGACTGTTCATTGCCAATGATAAAACATGATTTTCCAGCTTTCGCGGAGCTGGGTTCGTCGAAGGTATGAAAAGCAGATACAGCACTTCCTGATACAAAAAGTAAAAGGTCCTTGTGATCGGTATCTATTTTCCGTTGTTTGCTGCTACAAATATTTTCCGTGACTATGTGAGAAAAGATATATATGCCGGAGTCAGAATCATCCTTCCGCGCTCAAGTTTTTCCGATTATTCTCAGGTAGGTCGCGAAGAGAGTATTCGACCCTTGCACTTTCAATGTGAGAAATGATTGCTACAGACTTGGTAAGACCTCGCTCAAACTGTATTCCCAATATGAAACAATGAGTTACTATTGTTCCTGGATCTTAGTTTTAATCATTGTAAAAATGGAGAACACTCTTCCAGCTACTTCCGAAAGTCCCAATATCCGAATATAAAAATCCAGCATGTTGGGCGGAATCTGCACCGTTATCCCTGTCCGCCAAGCCTCGGTTACTTCCGCCGTGACCTGGATTTGGTTAGCGGCGGCTTGAATTCCAACGTCAGCTGTCAACCAGGATCCCGGGAACTTTGGTCGGAGCTTTGTAACATCGTCTTCACATACCATCTGAATATCGACCATTTTTTCTCTCCGTCTATTATCTACCTTCCATCCATGGGCTCGACGGAATTTTGACCCTTTAGGATTGAGGTCGCTGGATTTTGAATATCTCTCTCGGTTCGGTGAGTTCTGGGGTTCTCAAACTCTGGCTGCTCCGGAAGTAGGATGGGTTGTGGTGGTATGTTCATTGATTCGATTTTTTGGTTCGTGGTGATTTTTATCTGCATTAATGAGAACCAGGGAATATCAGTAAAGTTTCAGAATAGGAAAACATTCTCAGCTTTCGACGGGTTACGGCGATGCTGCCACTCAGTATTGCCTCCGTCAAAGTAACTTAGCAGCAGGAATCTGCTCGACCTGTCAGCAGAAGAATCAAATAGCTCGTCAGAATGGGCTCTTACTGCCCATCTATAATGCATAGGGCCTTTATTATATCAATTCCCGCCATTAATAATCTCTCCTCGGGGTATTCGTTTTTCGTTCTCGGAGATCTTCATCGGAGAAGAGGCACTGCTGCTGCCGTCAGATCACGCCTCCTATTTCAAAAATGGGTAAAGAGAGATTGATGAAGGAGCCAGGGGAAACGTTACTGAACGTAAAGGAAAGGTGTGTATCGATACGTGTCTCGCATTGGCACAATAACACAAATAAGTGTCTCCATACATTGATCTCCACCGCCGGTGGAGAGGATTCGTATCACGAAATCACGCTGCATGCCCTCGAGGAAGCTGAAAATGAGGACGGAGATAAGATCGAGATGGCCGGAGTTGTCAGAGGTACTTGATGCAATTCAGTCAGCGATTTTGTATGTAATGCTAACTGGTATGGAGTAACAGTGAATGGTAGAAGACTTCCGCAATCAGGATATTGTCGGTCCGCCGAAGCCATGGAATGTCTGCTCAACATTTTAGCTTATGGATGAAGCGTAAGAGAGTGGGATGATGCTGCCTTTTTGTTCAGCACCTTTATGAGCTCGACTTCTCTATCGTCGAGCTTTCTTGAATTACCTCGCTTCGTTGGTGGAGAAGAAAATGGCCACACAGCATGGAAATATGGCCATGATGTTCCAAGAGATCTGTTCTTCCGTTCTTGACTCTTGAGTTGTCGAGAAACTGTGAAAGGAGGGCGAAGCAGGGGGAAACGTTGCAGTACCTAAAGGATACGTGTCCATCATTGGCGGAAGACCACATATGTATGTCTTTATATGTCGATAAACACTCGTGGTCTCCAGCTCCAGTGCTGCAGTATTCAAACAAAAGGCACCGGGTCATCCCCTCGATCGTGTACTACCGCATACCGGGGAGAAAGGTTTGGGTGAGTAGGTGAGATAGAATGGACAGCTCCATAGGTTGAGATCTATTCCACGCAATTAAGTTCGTGATTGAAAACGCAGTGCTAACAGGTATGGGTAGGAACGAAGATAGAAGACCTCCGGTTACCCAATGTTGCCAGTCAGAAATTTTGTGACGCCAGAGAAAACGAATTCGGCGCATATGGCATTTATGAGCTTCCCATTAGTAGTACCCTGAAGGCAAGACTCGGCGTAATCTCTTCTCTCGAGAGCGTACAGGCAACGGCCGATACACTCCACCGAGAGTCCCTGACTAAAGAGGTTACATCCCCGGATGAGATGGGCAACGCTGCACCGACCAAAGAAGAACTCAGGTGAGTACCCCAGCAAACTCCATGAATTTTGTTAATAATATGGTTAATTTGAATTGTTAACGATACAGTGAATCCTAAACCAGCTACCACAGTCAATAATATCAGAGTGAAATCGATATCTGGCAAAACCGAACAAATACCTGAACCTAACAATTATCCCACAATACGTGCTATCCAATCTCCCCGCTGCTCAAGGGAAACAAGTATCAAAAGGAAATATCTATATCCACGCAAAACAGCAGTCAACGGAAACAACTATCCAAGGGCCCAGCTATCGAAAGAAAACAGCTATACAAGGAAGAAAAACACTACTCAAGGAAATGAGTGCTAAAGAGAAACAACGATCCAAGGGAACCAAGTAATCACAGAAACAACTATCCAGGAGAAACACCTATTCAAACGAAAGAAATATGCAATGGAAACAACTATCCAAGGGAAGCAACTATCCAAAGGAAACAAGAATCTGAGATAAAAAGTAGTCAATGTTCAACGAGCACCGGAGCAAGACCTTCAGTTAAGCTGTAGAAAGAAATTGGAAGAAAACGACAAAGACAAAGGACATATAAGTGTAAGTTTGATGTATTAGCCTCCTCCCAGTTACACATTCCTCCTCAAAGAAAAACACCTCCGAGGGCTTTAGTTTTCGCCTTCAGGGACAGACTCTGTTGTGTTTGGGCCAGCGGGTGGAGCAGGGGTTCCGACTACAACACTACTTGCAGACCCGTGGTTCGTAAGGGGAGGATAACGACCTTCACTAATTGCATTCTGCCTACACATAATCAGCATCTAATACGCGCACATGCAACAGGATTGAGAGCTTACATGAATCCGACCCACCCCCTCATCTCCTCCGGCTCCACAGTTCTTTTGTGGGCCCTCATGACCCTTGTCCTCCCCTTTATACTCCACCTCACCACCCAGAGTGGTAATCGTCTCATTCTTCCTGAGTCCTCATCTGACTTCACAAATTGAACTAGCCTGCGACAGAAGGGGCAATCGATCCCCAGCGGCCAGTTGTTGTAGTGAGTCTGGGAGGAGAAGTATGTTCTCCTTGTGCACGTTGCACACAGGCTGTGGCTACACCCTACCAGTTGCACGTTTGCCGATCGCCTGTAACAGACACCGCAAACGGGATCTGGCTCGGCGTCTGATGGTTCTGAAGACGGAGTCGGAGAACTAGCACAACGGGTACCATGGAGGCACGTGGAGTGGCGGCGCGGGGCATTCGGAACGGTGTCACCAGAGGTGATCATCTGGTTCGGTGGGGTAATAGGAGCTGTGCTCGGAGAAGGGATTGTGGGGTATGAGGCGTTTTCAAAGAATGGATGAGGGGTTGGAGGACGTGCGCTATAGATTGCGATGTGCGCATCACTAAGTCCTCTAGTTCGTGGCGGCATTCTAAGCTGGGCTCCCTCATCGGGGAAGGGAGTGATCAACCGTTCCATGCCCTGCAGTTCCTGAGCATCGGTCTCCCAGCGAAGGATCCGATGCATCAACAACTCTGAATTTGTATTTTCGTATACCTGATCATCTTGTCTCTGCTCCTCTCCGTCCTCGCTGCCACTATCCTCACTCTCGATATTTGGGTCGTTGGCTCCAACAGCCTGGCTACCTTCGGCCTCTTGGCCCAGAGGGTGACTGCCTTCGGCTTGCTGCGCTTGGGCATTCATACGTTCAGCATGAGCAGCGGCGAAGCCTGCGGAGTGGTGTCAATATATACAGAACTCCTTAGTGATCATAGCGACTTACGAGGATGAACATATTCCTCCGCATCCACAACACGTCTATTCTCGGCCCAAAGAGCGGCGGTTTCTCTCTCCTCCTTGTCCGGGCAGAGATCACGGGTATTGCGAGAACCAGACATTGAATTTCCTTGCGTTCAGGTTCTGGTAGACGGAAAAGCAATCGAAATCCGAGATAGCGGGGTAGCGAGATGAGAAGGCTAATAGAGATGGAAAGTGGATGATGTGTATTGAAGGGGTGTGATAGGGGTGAAAAAAAAAAAGATAGAATGAAGTGGTTGTCAAAGATGCCAAGAGAAACAACGCCTAGAGACGACTTAGCAAGATGGCACACTTCCTCGATGACAACAATGGCTCGGCAGAGAAAGATTGTGGCAGGAGGAATGGCTGTCTTGAGGGGCATTGAAAGGAAAAGGGGAATGCTTACCACAGATTGATGGGATCCAAGATGAAACGATGGTGTTGAGGGCTATCACAACGAGATGTAATACTCTCCGTTCTCTATAGCACAAGGAGCACTGCTTGATAGAAAACCTGAAGATTCGGTATCGGAAACGCCTTATCTGGATGAACTGATAGTTTAGGGATGATTTTAGAGATGATTTTGGCCGATGAAGACCTTCCTCGATGACGATTAAAACGATCTTGAAGTATGTGCGGAGGTTGAGTGGGTTGAGGAGGGGAAGAGAGTTGGGGTTGGGTTTTAAAGGAAGGGAGGAACGCAGAGCGGGGAAAGGTATGGAGGTAAGTCATCTTGCATTGTGGAAGTCGCACTTACGCAGCTCCCCTCCCCTTTGCTCGCACCCGAAGACGACATAGGCGGCGCAATACATATCCTGAAATGAAACCAGAGGTTCCCTTGGCGTACTTTCATGATCCATTTCGGGCGATTTGAAACAATTTACCATTTGGAACTTGAAATCTTTATAGAACTCGAAAGATCAAGCTCCCTTAATGGCACAGATGAATTGATTTCCATCCATATATATGGCGCCAGCGCCCTTCGAAATGAAGACCACACACACAGACTTACACACACAAACCTACTACAGTAACGCACCTACAGCCGCAACCACATCCAAAGTCTACCCGCGAAAGACCAAAACTGACAACGAAAACTGCAATTAAAACACCCGCACCCACATAACCCACACAACCATGTCTACCTCCGCTATTCTCACCGCCCTCCGCACTGACCTCTCTCTCCTCCGCGAGATCCTCACCCTTCATATAACTGCTTACAATTCCATCGATAGCGCCCTCGTCTCCGCCATCCACCTCTCTGAAAATGACTTGCGCGCTCGCGCTCAAGACATGTTCCCCGGCGAGATTAGAAATGACCGTAGAGTCTGGCCGCAAATTCTGGAATGTATGGGCGGGCTGAAGGCCCAGATACGCTGTACAGAGATGAATATTGCGCTTATCGAGCGGGATATCAGGGAATTGGAGGCTCGTGGTAGGTCTTCAAGGTGAGTAGGTGGTCCGGTAAGAAGATTATTGGTATGGCAAGAGAATTACTAGAATGTGCGCAGGTGATTTTATACGCGGCGGTAACCGTAGCAGTGGGTGAAGATAAAGAGGGGAAATTCGAGGAAAGCATGTTGAGTCGAGTTCGAATAGATTAGATGAGTTAAAATAAAATCAAATGCGTTCCTTGAAATTACATTATGGCTCACTTCTGTAACATGAGTGATCTCGTTTCTGAATCTGTATGGACTCCTCCGATAAGTCGGAGGTGCTAAATAAACGGTTTCTGTCACCCGTCACTTACTAACTCGTTCGGAGAACCTAGGTATAGTTGTAGGCCAGCCGTGACGGTCAGGGGCGGCGTCGCAACGGCTTCGACCCGCCCGAACCATCACCCGCGCCATCACGACTACCACCACAGCAACCCCAATTGATCCCTTGGAGAGCCGGTTTTTTTTATAGTTGTTAAATAGTAGATAAATAAAAATAATTTGACATTTAATATCTTGTGTACCAACCCTTTGCCTTTATAACAGCCTCAATTCTCCTAGGCATACTTTCAACCAGCCTACCAAATAACTCATCAGGTAACAGTTCCCAGCAATGAATAAGAGCTTCCTCCATGAGGGGCTTAATTACTTGAGGTGATCTAGTATCATATACTAAATGGGGGTAATGCTGATGGTAGAGTCTCTTGAGGTGTACCCAAACATGCTCAATGAGGTTCAAATCAGGTGAATAGGCAGGCCAGTCCTCAAGAACTTCAACCCCATGCTGCTCCAACCATTGAGTTGTAAGGTCGGCGGTATGTACCCTAGCGTTGTCATGCATGAAGATTGGTCTGATACCCTTCTCCTGTAGCTCTGCCAAAAAATCCAGGAGACAGAACTCAAGAGTCCTGACATATGCCTCTGCATTTGTCCTCCCCCCTTCACCCACCATAACCCCATTACAGGTCCCCTTCAATTCCCCGGCAAAGCATGCCCACATCATCTTTGACACCCCTCCTGACTTCCTAACACCTTTAACACACTCGGGAAGCCATTTTTCCTTTGCAGTTCTGAATGCCCAAGAGACATATGGATCTGCATATTTCTCAACACTGCACTCATCACTCCACACCACCCTCCTCCACCTTCTGATATCCCAATGTCTGTGTGCAATGCACCACCGTAGCCTTCTTCTTGCATCATATGGGGTCAGCTTGGGTCTCTCAGCCATGATGTGCTTGTGGACACCAAATGTAGCTAGCCTCCTCTTGATTGTGCTAGCTGAAATTTGCACTGCGAATTCCTGGCGGAGTTGCTCATATGTGATTGTCCTCTCACGTCTACTGCAGATGAGAAGCTGTCTATCATCTCTAACAGTAGTGATTTTGGGTCTCTCATGCCTGGGTGTGGATTTAACCTGACCAGTCTTCTCATACCTTGCCATGGCATTGGCAAGGGTTGACTTGGGCAGTTTGAGGATTTTGGTAATTGTGGAATAGGGGGCCCCAAGACGCTTCATTCCAATTCCCTGCCATAGCACCCCCTCTGGCCACTCCCTCCTAGCTGTTTTGCGGGGTTTGTTCGGCATTGGTTGTCTTGTCGCGCGATGTTGTCGCGCGACGTTGCGCGACGTCGTTGCCCTGGGTTGGTTGCATCGCGCGTGCCTGACCATCACGACTGGCAACGCGCTGTACAAATATCGCTCCGATCAACATTTCTCAGTGTGATACAAATCAAACTTTCTCTCGTCATCCCCAGCACATCGTATCTACTATACCAAAACCAATGTTTTATGACATCTAGGTGTGCCTCCATCCTTCTTGGCCTATAAAGATCTATGAAATTACATTTGATAATTTAACCCAATGTCCATCTTGTCTGGAAACCGTCTATCGCCTCCTCCGCCTACCAAAAAATGCACATATCATCCACAACTTAGCTTCCGGGGGTGTGCACGTACGCCGATTCTCACTCTCATATCCGTACATGCCAGCGCCTACACAGTACCACCGTCTCTCCTTTAAAAAAAGAAACAAAACCTCACTACTTATAGTCATACACTGGCACAATGAATTTGACTTTAAACCCCCACGGGGACACGAACATCTCGCTTTCCTTCTTCGTCTGGATATGCGGGTTTACATCTAGCTTACTAAGATCAGTGCAGCCTCCGGAAATACAAAACCACATGTAGATGTAGCTCCGGTGTCAGAAAGATACCGTATCAAACCAGGTCTCCCCCTTCAAAGAGTCATTGGTCTTCCAACTAGAGCCACTCCTCACTCCTCCGACCACGCCCGTTCCCGGATGTCATACATCCCTTAGTACAGATATTAACTCTCAAACACCCGGGTCGCATAAGCTGGTTGTCCTTTCTCTCGATGTTCGCGATGAGACGTCGGAATATTATTTTTCCGACTCCATCAGTGGATCCTTTACCCCTTCTGAACAAGACTGAAACAAATGCCAAGATCCCTAACCCAAATACCATGTTGATAAATACAATACGGTATTGTACTTATAGTGATACTGGTTTGAACACGTTGGAGTAAGTAGTTCAAGATCCCGGTGTTAACTTCTGGGTGCTTTATTGGTCGGCACAGTTGAGTACTGTGACAAAGATTGAGCAGCACCACCGAGACAGCAAACTCGGCACCCGGATCATGGCAAGCGACAGATACAAAGTATAGCCTATCAATAATATACGTCCTAGAAAACTCAAATAGAACATACAAGATAGCTCTCGAAAGACGCAAATAAAAGTGACAGAGCGAAGGGATGGTTGGGGGTCGAACCTTCCTCTTTCGACTTGCCATACTAGGCTCCGGGACCTCTCAGTCACAGAACTATGGATTCAGCTTGGTAGCAGGAAGAATGTAGCTTCTGTTGGAGCTTCTATACACTTTAATTCCAATAACACAGCTTCAAGATATACGGCATTCCCAGCGACTTCCATGCCACAACAGAAAGCACATCCACGAAGTGTATACTAATTCCCAGCCGGAACACATCGAACAACAACTTTCTAGACAACCCCCGAAGGACCAAATACTGAAGTATCCAGAAAGTACCTTGCCAATCAAGCCGCTTGTTAGCACCCCCCAGCCCAGTCCTCCGAACCAAGGAACCCCGAGCTGGTAGATTTCTTCTGCCGAAAGCTGATACTGTCAACACTCAACCGAGTCATGGCTGGAGGGCTCTAGAGATGCGTAGAACTATTTGATAGATTCCTCCGTGACTTTCCATCGACGACTTTAGGTGATTCGGCTCCCCCCCCGGCAGCGGCAGTGTTAATTATGGTCTTTCAAACTATATAGCCCAGATTCTGGATAGTTGATCTTAATTGATCAAGCGGTTTCCCTCTGATGTGTTCTTGGAGCTAGACACCGCCCCACGTAACATATAGCGTCCAGATTCGACGTCCTCCGGAGAACTCGTAGCCTAGTAAAAACCAAAAAGGACAGATGGTACAAGGCAATTCTGGGAGCGCACGAAGAAAACGATGCCGGTGGTACTGCCGGTGATAATAGTGGTACTGATATCGAACTGGAAGCAACTGGTTTTCGAGGTAGCGAAGAAGCAATGCTACGTTACTTGGTAGGTCGGAGTATAATGTAATGTATGAGAATCAGTTGAGAAAGATTCTCGAGCTCTAGAAACGTATAGGTTTTTTTAATATCTCCGGAATATGAGAATATAAATGAAAAGAAAAGAATGTCTACAGAATTGTCTAGCGATCGATCTTTAATCTCTCTGTTCTACGCAGAGGACGAGGTTTGCTGGCGGAATATTACCGGAACGATAGGGGAGTATATAAAAAAACACTACCTTTTTCCGCACAAAAAGTCTTGCGCGATTGCAAGCTCCGCCACACAGAGTAGAATATAGTATATCAAAGCCTAGGTATCACATGTTAGGCATTATTTGAGGATATCACAGAATGACCCACTGCCAGAAATAATTTCTCAAATTAAGAGGCAGGGGGCCAAGACCTACGAAATAGCCGTAATAGTTCTCCAAAGATCTTCTGAGTTCCGTTTCCCCATCGTTCAAGCCTGAGAAGTAAATTTCCTCCTGTGGTAATTCGAATGAGCCAGAGTACTGGCTCAACTTTAGACTAACCCGTTTAGCATTCTCATGGCTAAATTTCACATCAAAAACCACACGATCACCAAGGCACACAAACTCTTACTGCTTCCCCCTCCACCCCCGAAAGGCTTCACACAGAAAGCGCCACTCTGCCCGTCAAAAACACACTTCACTCCACAACCCCCGAGGCCTGCACCAATATGCCAGACTCGCAAGAGACCATGGAGTCTATACTTCCAGGCAATTGTCATTTCACTTTCGATCGTGCGAGCCTCGATGTACCTATCCAATACCCCCTCATCGCTTCCACTACCCCCACGGGCAACAGCACGGCTGTCCTAGTGCCGCCGTCCATTGTACCGGCCAGTGTGGGAGAGTATCAGTCATGGCTTTGCAGGTTTAGCCTGGATTGTATGAGCGATGCCCCTCTTAGTGTCTTGCTGGATCAGCCTGCGCAGGCATCTGACCATAACGATACGATGGTACAAGACTCCGACGTGCATGCCCTGTCTCGAGTCTCCCATAAACTATACACTCTAATACAGGAGTTCCTCAATCAGGGCAACGTGTAAGTACCCAATCCATCTTCAGAATTAGTGCTTGGAGGGGTTAATAAGTACTAACATAAGAACCTCTCGCAGCGGCGACTTGCACCTCCAATCTGATGTACCGGCTCGTTCTGCGCGTTCCCCTGTTATCCAAAACCTCAGACTCGCCATTACCTTTCAATTGATGCTCGAGTCTGCTGAGCTTTCGCGAGGTCGTTCCAACCTCTCCGCCGAAAGCCCGGCTCACCCCAGCTCACAGAATGAGCCCTGCAGTGGGGGTAAGTTTGGAATCGGACCTTGGTCCCTTTATCTGCAGCAAGCTGACATGGACCCCAGATTCCCAAGAGCATTCCCAAAATGCCAATTTCCGTACGGCGATTCGTGGGCCTGGTAATTTCAGAGAAACGCAAACAGATACTATAGACAGGAGCAAATGGTTCCCCTGCACCATCTGCGGTCAGAGATTTCCATTTGCGAAGAGGGTCACCTGGCATATGAAAACCCACGCATCACCCTCTCGCCGGTTGACCAGGCGCTCGGCAGTGGCACGGAAGGGCATGAATGAAGCCCGTACCGTTCCATCCTCGTCTGTCCGCGAGTCCACTCCGGACACCGATATGCTTGCTGGTAATTTTGAGCTCCACCCGGGCATTCCTTCGGAATTCGATCTTGGGTCACCGCTCGTGGGGTCTCATGAGCAAATGAAGCATCAAGAGGCGGTTCATGACCTTGTAGCTGGGGTAGCTCAGGATGTGGATGATGTTCGTTCCGCGGCAGCACAGCTCAGGCAGGTTGACGTTGAGAAAGCTCACGACGCTAACGAGCGAGAGTGTCCTATGGATGAAGCCCCAGGACACATTGATGCGGCGACGCTACTAGCACGCGGAAGCGGCAGCGCAAATACGATCCGAATAGACAGTCGCGGGAGGATGTTTCACCCGTCAACGCCAAATCTGCACCACTGCACCCAATGCCCCCACTCTTTCACCAGTAAAGCAGCACTAGCCAACCACCTCAAGTCGCACTTAATTAAACCCGTCACACGTGCACCTCGTATACCCATTTCAAGAGAATGGAAGTGCACGAGCTGTGATAGGATCTTCACCACCAAACAAGCGCTCAGCAATCATCTCAAGTCGCATGAGAACATATATAAGTGCCCTAAGTGTGCAAAGGCCTACCACAGGGAGAGAGACCTCGCCAAACATCTCGTGTCCCACGAGGATAGAAGGGCTGGGAATTGTGTCTGTGGGAGGAAGTTCTTCAAGCTGACCCATCTGGAGCGTCACGAGAACGTGTGCGAACAGCACTGGGCCCTCATCGAGTCCATGAAGGTTCCAAGTTACGAGCCAGGTAATTAGCCCGCTCGCGGGTCATAGAGGGGGCTGGTGATGGAACAGGAAATTTCGGTGGTTTCTGTGTGTCGGAAATTAGTACATATGTGGAGGATGTCGTCATGATAGAGCTATTCTGTCCCTCGTCGCGTCTTTTGTATCAAATATACTCTCCACTTTTTCTTCTAATCGTTATTCAAAGTTGCGTATCTTGCGATGATCGGTGGCATGAAACGAAGGTCGAATGGATACCCCACCATGTCTTCGGTCTTCATGGTGGGGGCGGTGGTTTTTTCTGGTTGGAGTACCGTCTGGATATCTGGGGGCAGGTAAAAATGGGAGATCATTGATCAGACTGACTCACAAGACTGTACGTAGGGCCCTGAATTAATGTAGTCGGTACTGCTCCTAGCAGTCATCCTCGTATAAGAAGGTATGTAGCTTCACACGCCCGCTTTCATAAAGTACTTGGAATGTCAGCGATACGAGCGCCATCCAAGAAGCGTTCAAAGAAATCATTGAGAAGGGGGCAAAACAATCATGTTCGGAGGTTTGTTAGGTCTACTCTCAGAAGAAAACTTTTATTCGTTCGTGTCCCGATTCCGTAAGGTTTTCAGAGGGTTCCCAGCAAAGCGAAGAATAACGATAAGAGAAAAATTAGAGACCATTTTAGACTTCTGATTAAAATTAATTTCAACGCACGTCGGGAGTGATGAGAAGAGAGATTCTTCTCCTCGTATGTATACTTCGGTTTAATGGACACATATATAAAAACACCTCTCTCGGAGCGCCGCGCCACGGTGTTCCCATTTTTAGGATTACAACGTACATGTAGTAGTAGTCCAGCGTAATTGTACACTATGCTCTCTACATAACCGCGCCGATGACAACAAAAGTAACGTGCTTTCGTGGGTAATTTAAACCGGGGGTGACTATCCTATCGAATACAATAATTCATAATTGATTGTGCTGTAAATATGCTATGCGGTGCTTTTCTTTTATTTTCATTTTTTTCGAGAGTTCTGTACCAATCTAGAGCGTATGAAAAGGATATTCGGGATGCAAAGCACATGTACGTATAATAAGAGTTTGATTACGAAAAGCTAGTCTCGGTAAGTACCCACGAAGGTCACTGATCAATCTATCCAAGTGCTGGGGATCCCCGTGGAATTGATGGTATTCATGCGTTCAGTTTTTCGCGCTTCTCTCCGGGAAAAGAAACTGCGAAGAAAAGCCGGCGGTAAAAGGTCAAGTCTTTGTAGGAAATGGAAGAGGACAGAACCAAAACGTGATATCCGAAAAAGACAGATTTTTTGCTCAACTCTCAGAAACGCGAGTGTAAGATATTCCCTGTGACTCCACACTAAGCCAGTCGAAAGATCACGGAAATAATTCACATCTTGGTAGTTAAATATTTCAAATCTCGGTAAAAAATGAAGCTCTTGAAGCAGAACTCAAGTTCTTGGCAATCACGACCGCTTAATTTCTACCATCCCTTCGGTTGATGTTTCTGCGCATCGTATAACGAAGAATTACAATCTATATAGGCGATAGTAGAACCACACGAAACCTCTTTTTTCCTCGAGGGTGGGTGGGGGGAGCGTTTTTCGCCAGTGGCAGGGATGCGCTAATACCTTCTCAACTCGGTAACACTAAGAACCCGAGTGATATCATATGAGCGAGTGCTACCACATGAAGCTACGGGAGTCTGTTTACGCGCCCGAGTGATATCAGGTGATTAATGCGCTAACCGGCCCCGTGTCGTTCTGATCGGGCCAGCAAAGAACACGAGCGATACTGCATCCCGATATGATTCCAGAACCGAGGGGTATTTATTCTATCAGGATCTGATAAACTAATAAAGATTGGTCGGTGGAGGGCGGGGCCGGGGGTGGTTTTATGAAAATGTGGCAGCAAAAACCGCAGCAAATGAAGTAACATAGTTTGCGTACATTCCTCACCTCGTACCTCAAGGTTTAAGCCTGGCTGCAGGACACGATGACAGTAACCGCTTGGATTTCCCACCCGACGTTGAGATTTTGGCATAGTTGTCTTATCTTATCTTATTGCGATCGGTGGTACTAACGATGGTGCAAAATCTAAAATGGCAGGTACATACTCGTGAATTCACAGCGTTTGTAAACATGACTGGCTTCACCCGTTCGGGTTGGCGATCTGATGCGGGTGGGACTAATTATAGAATAGCTACTTAAAAATTATACCCGTTTCCTCCTTCCTTTGCAATACGGGCTTCAATCCTACGAGGCATAGACATAATATGCCTATTAATTTAATCTACAGGATAGTTCTTCCACTCATCCTCTATCAAAGCCCTAATTCTCCTAGCTGTTAAATCTCATCCTAGTTTTACTTTGAAACTATCTTTCATGTCATTCCAAATTGACTCTATCGGGTTCAAATCAGGTGACTTGGTGGGCCACTCTAGTTTATCAAGGTCAATTCTTCTCCTGAACTCCGCCTGGTAGTGGTGCTTATGACTAGGGGCATTGTCCTCCATAATTACTACATTTGGGTGGGTTTCCTTAATACTTAGTGCCAGAGGGAATAGGAAGGGCTTCAGTATCCGTTCTCGATAGATATACCAATCAATTCCTCCTTTTCTTTTAGAGTCTCTAGTCCTTAACTCTGGCACGTAGAATGTTTCCTGCCTCATCTCTACTAACTACTTGTACTCTCTCATCTCTGCCTCGTACTTATTTTGCAGAGCAATCAATGCATCCTCTCGCTCTCATGCCGTTTCGTATGGAGTTTTATAAACATGATATAGTAGAGCTATTAAACAGACAAGAGATTAGTATACTGGTAAATAAATTAAAGTAGCAGTGGACCAGTACCTGTTTGTCCATAGATTATCGCACCCCAAATCATTACTGTTGCCCCACCATGAAATTTTCGGTCCAAGTTTCGATCAATAAATGCTTCTCGAGGACAACGTAGAACACCCCTTGACCACCGTGTATGTAGGGCACTGGTTTCAAAATAAGACTCGTCGGTAAAGATAATGTCATGCCAATTCTGTGATCGATATTTGAGGCAAAATGATAGCCTGTCTGCTTTATGTTTCGAACTCATTAAAGGCTTCTTAGTCAGCTTCCTTCTGTAGATATTATCAGACGTAAGTGTCTTTCTAATTGTATTAACACATACATCCAATCCAGCCTCTACTCCCAGTTCAGCAAAAGGCATTCGGCAATGTGTAGCATCTTGGAGAGCGAGCTCGATCAACCTCTTCTCCTCCTCAGGTGTCAACTTCTTATTACTCCCCTTTGGTGAGTTTGGTTCTGGCTGGATATTCTCGAGTGCGCACAGGTCAGGGTTTACGGTGATCTTTACTCTGTCATTTGCTTTTCTAATAATGTTTGAACAGGCACCTAGCGAGACCTTCACATTTCAAATCGGGTCAGCAATCTTCACCTTTCAACCTACCCGCATGTGAGATCAATTAAACCTTTGTCAGATCAGATATTTCTCTCAATGTCATCTCCTGATCACCTCTTAACAGGGAGTACCCTACAATCTGACCCCTTTTAGACAGAGAAATAGTCATCATTGTTGAAGCCTTCGCAGTCCTTATCAGTATCACGACCTTGAAGCTTTCGCAATCCCAGTATCATAACCTACGAACAGCAAATCATGTCACAATGGCGTCCTTTCATTGGCCGAACCCGCATGAGATCGCCCGCAACTCGAACGGGCGAAGCCAGTCGTGTTCACAAACGCTGTGAATTCACGAGTACATAGTGGAGAGAGTGCAAAAGATCAATTGGCGTACGAGGTATAAAATTAGCCTACTGTAGAAAGAGATTGACAGTCGCGGGGGTAGGTCTGGCAGTAGGTTGGTCGAGAAACGCAAAAAGATATGTTTCTTCTAAAAATCAGATTGCGAAAGACTTGGGTATATAGAAATAGGGTATCTAGATATAACTTGGCAACTAACTACGGCGCGTGGAGAAGGGTGAACAGATATACGAGAGAAGATCTCATAACATGCATAGGACTACAATCATTTGAAAAAACAAACACACGTAGCTTTATTCAACTTTGTAGCTACTTGTACTTATGACACCGTAAAAGACACGATATCTCACCAAATCTTATAGCTATGGAGTGCACAGATCTCTCTTTTCCCCCGATCTGTACAACACCCCCACCCTATAACGCTTTTCCATCCCACAACAACCCCCCCATCCTATAACAATTCACCCATCCCATAACAATCTTTCCATCCCTGAAATCATATTCCGTACCTTATAATTCCTGTAAACCTTTGATATCTCTGCCTGACTCTGACTTCTACCTTGGTGCCTCCCACGTTATGAAGACACCCCTACTCTTGCACATCGTGGTTCTCGAACATATAACGATGTTTCGGGAGCGAAAACTTGAAGACACTACTTTAGAATTAGCATAAATCAAAACAGAATCGTCAAACAAGGAACACAAACGTTTCCAACGCCCACTCCCTCATATGCACCGGAACGATCCTATGAATCTTCGCGTTGTTCAACTTCTTGATCGCCCGTGGACTCATATACAAGATAAAAGTCGGCACCCTATCGATCTCCCCTCCAAAACTCTTCACCTTCAACACGTCATGCCTGCACCACGGGCACCTAATCCCCTCCGGCCAATGATCGAAATCAACACACCTCGACCAATAAATCTTCTTGATACAGGACGTGCAGGTCCCATGTGTGCAGCCAACGAAACTGACGTGGCGTTGACGACGGGTGCAAAGCAGGCATTTAGTGTCTTCTTCGCCACCTTCGGAGCACTCGGAGTCGGAGAGGTCGACGTACTGCGGGGGCCGGTTAACCTCGCGGATGATGGAGACCCAGTCCCTTTCGACATAGCCAGGGGGCGTGCCGGTGGCATAGACGCTGAACCAGGAACAGTCAAAGTGGTATTGGATGATTGCATGTACGTTAAGAAATTCTCTGGAGTGGTGTTCAGGCTGGAAACGTTCAGTGCGGCCGCCAGGGATATTCGGAAGCTCATGGGTAGCTAAATATTTATTTACATGTTAGTATATATTTGAGAGACATTTGGGACATTTAGGATGAATGTTGATTGTCGTCGAAGGGACCGATGTTACTTACCAGGACGAGGGAGAACACTTCTGTCATAAGGAACAACAGCACGTCTCCAGATACCGAGAATCTTCATCCAGGAGTAGCGCTGGTTGGGAGGGAGACTAGGTGTGTTTTCGATTGCCCAGTTTGTAGACATCTTGGGAGTGTTGAAATATTCCTTTACCGACTATTAGTATGTATCGAATATAATACAATTATTGGGAAACAAATTATTTGAAACACAGTAATAAATTGTAAAGAAGGAAAGAGAAAAAAGTTGTTCAATGTTTTCTATAACTTACCCTTGGAATATTGTTGTTACTGTGAAATAGGTAGTGAACGACACTAGAGTTTTGTGTGTTGTAGGAGTTCTGGTTAGTGGGTGTGAGTGTTGGGTATTTATAGCGGTTCTTACCAACAGATTGGGTGCCGGTGCCAAAGCTTTTTTGTATGGCTCTCAAGTGCTGGGTAACGTGAGGTCGAAAAATCAACAATGGAGCTCTGCCACCAATTACCACTGCCATGAGGGTGAGAATGTTCTGCCATTTATTGTACCGTCCAAGATCCAAAGGTGCGTCATTCGTAGAAAAGAAAATAGGTCTACAGTGCCTATCTACGTTTATGATAGGATAAGAGGTGATCACACTCGAGATCGCGGAAGACTGCTCGGTCAATTCATAGCCGACTCTGATCGAACCGAGGCAGAAGCTCAGATCACTCAATCCTCCATGGTCCGATCTTTTAGGATATAGCCTCTGCTTGATCTTCCGGTAAGTAACCACAATACTCAATTTCCTTCCTCTTTGATCTTGAACCCCGGGCTTGGACGACTCTGAGCGGGCGCCGAGTTATGGAGTGACATTTACAACCCTCAGTGAGTTCGAGTACGAGATCAGTGATTTCAAACTTTCTTTTTCCCAACCCGAGGCCGGCGCGGATGCTCCAATGCGGCCCCTGAGTTGATGATGAGCTATTGAACGTTGATCCGCGTGCGATACTAACGCTACCCTGCACGACAAACCAGCAAAACCACTCTCAAGCTGAGGTCCCTCGAGCCACTACACCGACTCACCTGGTGACGGGGGATCCTGTCTGTCGGCGATCAGATATTTGAAGTCAATAGTAGAACTGACTTAATAACGCCGATCTGGCCAAAATACTGAGCCCCTCCGTTGGGCGGGTGGAGCTCTCAAATTCGCAGCCTGGACCATACACGCACTTATTCAGGCAACTCTCTTGCTTTTTACGTGCGGTAATAGTAATATAGCTAATCAAAAATTAGCGCGAGTTACTAGATAGGGCTAGTATTAGCTGAAAGAGGGAAGCTGCGAAATCGGGAGTTTCATCCGTCCAAGCTTAGGGATACTAAACACCGCCGTTGAACAGGGGTCAGCGATCATCAGGGGAGCAAGTGTGTCTTAAGCTTCATCGTGTCAAACGTCGCCTTGACGTTCACTCAGCCAAGCCGTTGCGGCTGACTGTGCAAAGAAAAGCAATGAGAGTTTCTAGTTTCGGGATATTGCATAACCGGCAGATCGCGTGCACAGCACATACTTACATCGTGCATCTTGCATGTATCCTTGCATAATGTGGCCCTCATAAAAAGCAAAGCCAAACGCCTGGAAAACACTGTGGGGCAGAAGTCCTGAGGGCGGAATCGAGAACGAAGGTCCGGATCAACAAAAAGCCTCTATTTATGTAAAGAGGTGCATGTTAATTACGTATTATTACTCGTAACAAGGCTCCGTTTCTATAATATACGAAGAGAAGGTACGCATCTCTAATCTACACAATGTCCGCGGAATAAAAGGATGAGTCCTCTCCATGTAGCTACAGAACGAAAGCGAAAAGATGGGCGGTGGGAATAGTGCAGTAGCAGTACAGTAGCACTACATATATCTTATTTGCAGCAAAAGATGGGAGAAAATTTGAAGCATTGAGCCGGAGTGGTTTAGACTCCCGACTTATTTGGCCGCTTAGAGATCGCCAACAACCACACATATAAGATTTTCATGAGATAATCGACTCAGTTTCATCCGCCTTATCGATCTATCTGTTCAAAGCTTGTTTGGTTGTCGCTTGTTTCGTCAAGAAAAGACATCTTGTAGGCCAAGACAGATCTTGGCACTCATTTGCATGAGTGTACCGCCATAACTCGATAAATTGGCTAGCCTCCAGAGATCAAAATTATCTACCTGGGAAATTTCTGATGCAGATCGATAAGGTCAAAAACCACCGGAATACGCAGCGAGTAAAAAGCAAAAGGCATATTGATACGACTCTGTGAGGGTACAGCAGATCGATGAGGTCAAAAACCACCGGAATATGCAGTGAGTAAAAAGCAAAAGATACGGTGCGTGTGTTGCTGCTTTTTCGGACATTTCCAACGGTTCCAGATACCCGACGAGGCAACCGATCTGCTGTATCCCTAACAGAGTCGTATCAATAGAGAGGTTTCGCAGCGAGTTTTCAGATAAGAGGTGCACCTACAGGCTGCAGGACCTATGCGCAAAATAAATAAACAAGCAGAGAATAAAAGTTAGGTTTCGCACCTTGAAGTGCTCTCTGGCATCTGACAATGCGCCAAGTATGCCTAGAGTGAACTTACTACTCTGGGAATTCTTGTAGGTGTAGGTATGCGCAAACTTGCATTGTCTGATGCAGTCCTTAAGCTGATACATCCGCTTATGATACACTGATGCTTGGTATCCGACAACGAGAAATTGACCTACTTGCGCATATGAAGCCATATGCGTGACTTTGTGCACCCTAACTATGCGAAAATCCCGTTGTCGGACGCTGCGAAACCTCTCTAATATGCCTTAATTCCCGCCGAAGTCCAATGCATATGCTAGTGCATTCTAACGTTACACCAGTCCGAAAAAGCAACAGCAACAACGAAAATCCGATGGATATGCTGGTGCGTGTAATAATTGTAACATCGTTATATGTACCCCACCAACACCTGCTCCCACCGCCGCATACCACGCCCTGCATTTCTACAGCCCATTATTATTGATTGGTCTAGAGAACTCAGTCAGGTCATCGAAAATCATTCGATATACCTGTATTTGTGAACAGCATAAGCGGTACATACCACATTAGGTCAATTAAGTAAAAAGCAAAACCTTCATAATATAACATGTAGCTTTTGGGTGGGTAAGCTGCGCGTCATTTTTACGCGAGCAGTTCATCAGTTAGAAATTTCGTTCCGACCGTGGAGTGGGCTGTGATTTCTGTTGCGATCACGATGATGAGGTGCGATGGCTGCCAAAGTAATTGGGACAACACGTATTTGATTTCAACGTGAGTAATGTATGTAGTTGGGTTTGCTAGAGATAAATCCCTATGATAGAATAAAATGCTTAGAACCCGGAACTACCAGCAGCCTGGTCCAACCATAAATCCTTTTTTTTTTGAATTTGTATGGGAGATCCACCACCCGACAAGAGAGACAACAGGATCTGTTAGTAAAGCGTGCCGGAGCACTGGATACCATTATTTTGGTTTTCTGACTACTTTGAGTATAGTTGAATGGAAAGAGTCATAAAAGGAAAGTACTCCCCCGAGTGCACCGACCAAGTACCGAAGAAACCATCGGCTACATATGGTCTATTTAATATAGGTAGTTTAAGGAGGAGAAACTTCGATACTTAGAGAAATGTATTTTAGCCAAAGATCTAGATATACTGCACAGGAGCTCACCGCCATGTTCATCATCAAGATTTCAGGGCACTTAGGCATTCCATTTTTTCTTTACCGTCCCGTCCCTTCCTCGGTTTTCAGCGCCAGTAACTTTGTTTTGCAGAATGTCCATGAGGAAGGTACCTTTCCCGCGGACCGAACAGAGTGAATATTGATCATGCGTCTGCATTCGAGCTATGACCGACTTTAAGTGTGCGAGAGCTGGGTCCTGCAGAACTCACTGCGCGAAAAACAAACATGTCGAAGCACAGGAACCATTGAATGCAAGATGTGAATTTCCCCTCAGCTTCGAGACTCGGCTGAATCTAGTTAAGCCACAAATTGCTGCAGCCGAGTATGACCGCATGACCGAAATGTTTGCCTGAGATGGGGTTTCATTTGGGGGGGGGGGGGAGAACTCCCATTCAAATCTCAACTTTGTCAAGTTCTTGGGTGTTCAGTGTGTATAAGAGAGACTCCGCCCCATTGCGTTTTGAATTTCTTTACAGGACTTTTTTTTATAAAGCAGGAGAGAATCTTTGAAGCTACTAAACTAATTTAGTCCAACTTTACCAAGACACTAAGATCTGAAGTGAGAAAAAGAAAGGGTGATACCTGAACTTGTACATACCGCCGTTTCAATCAGTTTCGAGACACCTCAATCATTCCTAGTGGCACTGGCATCTCGGTGGACACTCTCAACTCAGAAACCAAAATGAACCCCCCAATCTCTAGCAGTAAGCTCTGGGATCTAGCCTTCATCCGCCATAACCTCACTCACCTCCGCAATACGCACCATCAGTATAAAGAAAAGCTTGCTACATTGGAACCCCAAATTCAACGCCTCCGGCAGACAGATAATGTACACCGTGCAACAGAATCTGACCCCACCCTATACAACCTCGAGACGACAGCGGACCTTGCCAGTCTGAAGGTCTTACTTGACGCCCAAGATCGTATCGAGACCATCGCTGTAATCTTGCATGTCAAGATCCGTGAAGTGGAGGAGCAGCTCGGTGCTTTTCTAGTGACGCAGGGGCTACCGGGAAGCGAAGTTGAGGCGGTGGTGAAGGCGGAGTTCCACATGGGACCATTCTGGGGCCTGCGGGAAAGGATGATTGAGATGATGACGGAGTTACTGCACGCTCAGAAGGAGCATATAAGGATTGTGGCGGAATTGAACAGTGTTCATTCTGACATTAGAGAGAGTGAGGAGAGAAAAGTAGTCTTAAGAGCACTTATCGAGGAAGTGGACGTTGTAAAGACGGCGGTGTTACACGGGGAAAAGCGTGTGAGCGAGTGGAGGACATGGGTTGAGAATGTACTGGCGCGGGCAGTTACGTCGATTGAAGAATCTTCTATTCCGCATGGAGCTTGTCTCTCTCCGCAGAGACCCTCGGAATAAGGCCGCCCGCTTTCGGTGAACTTTATTGTCCTTCGCATGATCTCTTATTGGATGCTATTTTACTTTCTCGGCGGGGGTGTAGCTTGTGTTTATTTCGGGAGAGTTTCTGTTTTTATGTTTATACACCTTCTCGCTTGCAAACCTATATTAGTGAACAAAGAAATAGACGAATTGATTTGGACGCTCAAGCTTTTGAAATACCGGAGAACAAAATCTCGCCGATCAATACCTTAAGCGGCATGAGTAATAATAGTATTTCCAAAATATCGATAGTCATACAATCTTTCTAAATGTTCCTCGATTCCTCGTTCCAAACGAATTCCTGACAGCCTTTGAGTAAAAGAGCCTGATCTGGCCTATCGCTGGGTCAGTTCAGTTTATTTATTTGAACAGATCGCGGTAACTAGTAGAACCCTAACCCTGAACATCCCCGATATTCCTACCAAGGCTTAAATTCTCTCTCGGCCATCAAGTTCAGTTGTTGCTCTTTCTCGTATAGTTCAATTTAGTATCAAGTTCTGTTTGAAAGAAGGATCGGAGGATGGATATATGGAAGGATGGAAGGATGGAAGGATGGAAGGATGGAAGGATGGAAGGACGATGGTTGTATCTTTGCCATCAGAACAGCTTGATTTATAGCTCGTAGGCTCAAGAGGAACACGTATCCATCCCTGTTTATCGTAGCGTGTTTTAACAACTAATTAGAAATTTGTCCCGCTTCCAAGACGACTATGACTCGTATCTGGAATGATACCAAATTTGAGTAGGTAATCTATATGCGCTTAACATCATCAAATTATCGTGGACAAGAATAGCTGATTCTGCTCCGTGACGGTCTCGCATGGCTTCCGGAAAGGATCCAAACATTTAAGAGGGTAACCCCAGGCTTCAACAAGTTAAATTATTATTCCAAAGAGCCATCCGTTACTCTAGCACGTCTGTAATGCCCAGCGGTGACTTTGATGCAGACATCTCAATGGGCGGCACGCAACCCGTTCGCCACCCGAGTAGCGGCCGGCGGGTATGGGTTGGGTACGGCCTTTTTTTCAACGGACCGTGCCGGGTGTGGCCTATATTTTGACTCCGATATAGCCAGCTGTTTGATTGGTGAGAAAATTAAAAAGGCACTTCATCATTAAAAAGGTAGTATATTTCCAAATCCCCACTATGGTAATTCTCAAATGTCCTCAATATTACATGAAAGGATTAGTACACCTCCGAATTTGTACCATATAAGGGGCGGGCTTACGCGGGTGGAATAGCCATGGGTTGCCAGGTCGGGTACAAATATTCTGAGGCCGGGCCGGGTTGGTTACAGACCCTTTTGACACCTGAGTATACCCATTGAAATGTCTGCTTTAATAGCTTCATATTCGCTTCACCGAAGTACACGCACATTACGCCTGGCGTCTCCAAGACCGTGCAAGAGGTTTGATAAAAACGTTTCTATAAAAATCTCTAAACTTTACCCAGTCTTCATAACTGAATCTAGATACCGCTCACAATCGCATCCACCCTTCTCCCACCTCCTCCCCCGCTCTCCACTCCGCACCCCAAACAACACAAAAACTCCACCGTTGGCAACCATTACTACCCCCGCCACCCTATCTACCCCTGTCCCACCATACCAAATCAGTCCCCCTGGGACCACAAATCACCATGACCACCAGCCACCCCCTGTCCCCCCTCTGCGGCACATTTTCCAACTCAATATCAAACTCATTATCCGCGATAATAGTGACCTCATGTGTGATAGTCTTGATGATGGAATTAAACCTCACAAATGTTGTTTGCTCGATAGTAGTGAAGGCACTGATGCAGAGGCGTAGGCGCATGCGGGAAGAATGTCGCCGGAACTTCATGCGGACCTTCCGTCGTCTTCGGTTGGGGCGTATTGCAACTTTGAAGCATAAGAGGACGGCCTCGGTGAAGACGGTGGGCATTGTGTTGTTCCTGACCCTGGGGATCGGAGAATATAGGTGTTATCGATGTAGTAGATGGGTTGGCTTCGGCTGCGTTTCCGCTGTCTACGCAGAACGAGAGAGGGACGTACACGCAGTGGCAATGAGCTGAGAGAGGACGGGGGTAGTTGGACTAGCCGGAAGCTGGCTCGGAGTGAATAGAATGCTCGTAGAGACTATCAACGATTTAGAGGACTAGAAAATATTTGCTTTTATCAGTAGGAAGCTGGGATGAGAGCGGAGATATAAACTGCTTACTGTGGGAGTCCTGACTTTGAACCTTCGTACCAGCGACAGATCTGCAATTGACAGATGCAATTTGTTTTGTTCTCCTCCTGATGTGAGGCATATCTTGTGGGTGAACATATTCCTTTTGTTGTTTCCAGCGGTGGTTCTGGTGCGTTGTTGTTCGCTGTACGAGCGCCGAGAGCCTCATCTGCCAAGACCGAGTGATCCGGCATGACGCATACTAGCAGACAACAAAACCTGCCAACGGGCGAATTTTTTGGGAACTCTCTCCGAATGCACTTAGTCTATACGCCGGCTATCCAGACCCTTCACCAAGCTCTTAGCACTGTACAAATAAGCGGGAGCTCCGTTACAAGAAAAGCAAAGGCCAAGTTTGAAAGTGTATCCTCAATGCCACATTCCTGCCGGTATTTTTTTTTTTTGTTTAATTCATTAATTGTATGCAGACCGTAGTCTATGACAATATCACACTACCCAGAACTTCCAAATCACTTCCTCCGCCTCTCACAACACAAACCAAAATAAAACAAAACACAAATAAAGCAAAACAAACACAACTATCCGTAGTTCTTCTTTTTCACAACCTAGTACAGAAGGAGCACCGCTAGAAGATTTCAATAGAAGGCTAGCATCCATGGAAGAGTAAAGAAAAAACATCCAAACAGAAACGATCTACATTGATTCTCGAAAATTCCAGGATTCTGAGTTTTCTGGTTCATCGATTCGTCACGAACCCTCTCGATATCTACATATTCTCAGAAATAAAGATCTTATCATGACACAGGCGTTTTACCTCTAATCATCGCGAAATACATGTACTTACAAGCCGTATCTCATACCTCTCACACCGCCGAACTAGCCAGTCTTGAGACTTTGAGCAACCTCCGGGATTGCAAGTAACTAAAATGTTGACATAAAGCTATCAATCTGTGACCATGAAAAGTAAAAAATATAATTTTTAATCTCTTTCTAACCCTATGTTAAGTCATCTAGCATGTCTACTCACCGCACCGGTGTTTCGCTATTTCCCACCTATTCCTCACAATTAACCGTAAATCTCTTTTCAATGCCATGTAAACCATGAGAAACAGAAAGATCTAGACCATTCACCAGGTCCATATCATACAACTCATTGCTAATCTCGTATGCTTTCTCTTCCACATACCCAAGAATCTCGGGGATGCCGCGATGTAAGAGGGGGAGGGGGTCAAAGAAACAACTACAAAACCGCCAGCCGGCCCGAATCGTTTTATTTCTTTGTTTTTACCTGAAAATTTGGTCTCAGTTCTACTTCTTTGCCCTGTTATCTGGATTGTGGTGGTAGTTACTAGTTGTAGGGGGAATGAAAATCAAAATAGGGGAAGAAAAGGTGGCGGAGAGGAAAGAAGTACTGAATCATTAGGATCGAAATGAGCATCTCGGAGATTCTATTTCATTGGATCAGGAAATGCAAATGTTCAACGATTCTGACCCAAATATTAAATAAAACCCAAACAATTTATTTGTAACAGTATTTATTCATGATAGAGATCTTGTTTTAACTAATAATATACTCAAGGCTTCCAAGGAAGCGCCTGTACACTATGATAAAATGATACTCTTTGGCCATAGCCGTGTACCAGCACCCTAAGAAATAGCAAAATCTATGCGGTACCTGGTCTAGTTTCCGTTATTTGGCTTCCCGGCCCAAAGACCCCTTGCCTCGTCATCCATTCCCATCTCCGAAACTAGCCCATATTCCCCAAACAGTGCTTCTTGTCCACAGTGTTCCCATGCGCTTTCTTGCTCCTCCGCCGGGAACCAGAGTACCTTTCCAGTTGCAACTGCCAGGAAGCAGTCAAGGCGGTGCGATGTATCAATAGGGTGCACAAGGGTTCCATCGGGAAAACGTTCCGCACTCTTGAATATCCCAGGTGATTTGTATTTCCGTTTCTTCATGAGCTTATTCAACATGCCGTGATGATTTTGGAGAGAGTCATCGGGGTGGTATGTATCAACGCGTTGTTTCTTAGGGCTATCCTCGCGGGAATCCCATGAGGCTCGGCGTTTCTTATTTGGCTTTGCTGGCGTAGGGCTCATAGCTTCATATCTTGCAGTCTTTGGGACATTTCCCGGGACATGGTTCGGGACATGCTCTGGGACATCATCGATGCAAGTCTTCAAGTACCAAGGTTTCGGACGAGGGACCTCAACTCTTTTCAACCATGGGGCCTCTAACTTTGCTGAGGCTTCTCTAGCTGCATCCTCAATCTCCCTCCTTCTGTCCTCGAAATATTTCCTAACAATGGGGTCGTCGAACCCAAAAATACTTTTAGGTGGACCATCCGCGCGGCTTCTGGGAGCCAATTTTGTCTTGCGGGAACGGATCTTCCTCACTCGGTGCTGCTTTGTGATTACAGGCCTCGTCAATGGAATCTTTGTATCCTTTTTCTTAAAATTCCTGAATGATGGGATGGACGTTCCGAGATCAGGGTATTCGGGAGCGGGCAGCATTGCCTGCAGGGCCTCTGCAGGATCTGCAATTGATCTCAGCCATGATGGCCGTGTTTGAAGACGTACTGCGTTTTGTGACATATCAATGGGAGTGTCTACAATCGCGAAGAGCTGCCTAGTAGTATCTACCCTGGCTTCTTCTACCGCCCTATTGTCCACTTCACGCTGTCCTTGCATCGTCCCTAGAACAGAATTTAAATTATTGAGGTTGCCGTCTTGGGTACCATTGACAGCCGAGTCAGGCGGGTTGTTGGTGGGTGGAGATGAAACGGGGGGGATTTGACTATCACAGCCGTCTTCAGATCGTTCATCAGCTGACTGAGGCGCGTTGTTGGGGGGTGGGCATGAAGCGGGCGAAATTGGTCTACAGGACCCGTCTTCAGATTGCTCATCATCTCCGTCGCGTGACGATTGCTGATCCATCCCTTCCTGATAATCATCCACCATTGCCGGGAGTGCACTCCGATCTTTGTGTAATAATATATTCCATCTCACTGTCGGGGGAGAGGAGGGAAAGTCAGAATCATCCCTCCGATTTCGAGAGATGACATGCCTCGCCTTACAATCGTGCATTGGACGCTGTGCCGGTGACAATTGCAGCTGCAAGGATCGTCCACAATTGCTATCTGGCGGGGGCTGAGAGCGAGCAGTAATTCTACGGTCACTAAGCATGGGTGAGAACGGACATTCGTCACCGCTGTTAACGTTGGATAGAGGGGGAAGCGCCATAATAGCAATTGTCCGATCACTTAGTATCATAGGTGATGATAGACGTTCGTCGCTGCTGTCGAATTCGGACGGAGGAGGGAGCGGCATATTGAAAATATTAGGACTCCCGGTGTCCCTTACATTTCGTCCTTCAAAGAGAGTAGTTCCGCGTTCTGAACACATCTTGGGCTTAAATGCATACATCCGGTCATTATCATCATCATCCATGTGATCATTATCGTCGCCACCGCCGTAACCAATAAAGTCTCCACTATCGATTCCGGCAGGAGGTTGATATAGATGATTCTCGTCAACTCCGACCGAGCTCACGTGTGGCTCATTCATTTGAGGAGGAGCAGCGGGTGGAGAATTATAGTGGTCGTCATCGGTTTCACTATTACTGTCGTCCTCCATATCAATTGATGCAGTGTCCTCAAGCGAAGGGAGAACGCCGCTCTGTCGGAAAGTCGTATCAGCTGCGGATGTATGATTTTCAGAATTTTGTTCATCGTGAATGATGGTTGTATTCTGTCTATCCGCCTGTAGTCCAGGTGTGTATGGCTTAAGTTCACCCCCTTCATACATAATAGTCGTATCGCGTTTATACCACCTCAGCCCATGCGAGTCGGGCTCAAGCCCATCAGATTCGGATTGAATGGTTCTGTTCTCCCCATTCGCCTCTGGTTCAGGTGTGTATGGCTCAATCTCGTCTTCTTCTGGTTCAGGCGTGTAGGGTTCAAGCTTGCCATCGTCGTACTCAACGACTCTATCCCGTCTATCCACCTCCGGCTCAGGTGTGTATGGTTCCAGTTCGTCGTCGTCATACTCAACATGAGCCGCTGCCTGGTATTCGATTTCTGGTTCTTCAACGGCAACTCGGCGGTTTCTCTTGCGACTAAGTGGGGATCCTAACGCCCGACCTTCCCAATCAGACGCCCATTGCTCCTCGCCCTCGAAAAAGTCCTTTCCAGGAGTTAACTCCAACGGACGGCCGAGCCATTGAGAATTCCCACGAGGGGTTGGTGATGCTTCGCACACTTGTTTGAAGTTAGCTTCAATACATTATTGGTATTGGAACTCGAGGGGGATAAGCAGATCATGATGTGGAAGCACCAACCTTGAGAGTCCAAGAAACGTTCACCATCCTGTACAGAGATTGGATTCCTTCTATTCAACTGATCCCCATGTAGAGGTGGGGTACCAGGGAACGGGGTTGGGCCCGATTCCGGTGCTTCCTGTTTCACCCCTTGACTAACCGCTACTTGTGACCGACGTTCCTCAATCTCGACATCAACATACTGCTGTGGGCGTTGGATCTGCCCCTGATTAGCTCATTAGTTATGCTTCCCCAGATGTTGGGGTGATGTAAAGAACTCACAGTAGGGACAGAAGCACTAATGTTAGGTATCAACCTATTCTCAGTCTCGTCAAGTTCCTGTTCCTCCTCCCGGTAGACCTCTACACTGTAATCCAGATCTTCCTCATGTTCAACTACACTCTCCTGTGAGCTCTCGATTACGTCCTGGACGTCATCCTCCTGTTTGTCCGTATAGTTAGCAAGACGTTTCCAAGACTACGTGTGAGAGGTAAATTACAGTTTCATTAGCTTCGACAGCACTCATCATCGAAAGATCAAATTCATTTTCATCATCCATTTCCTCCTCTTTAATCTCAGCGTCCTCATCATATTCGACATATTCCTCTTCTTCTTCCTCTTGTTGTTCTTGGAAATCTTCGTGTTCCGGAACCTAATACATGATACAAGAGTATAAGTTAATCCGAGTACTTGTTTGACATTGTTAGGAGAAACGGGAATTTTACCTCTACTTCGAATGTTCTTTCCCTTCTCGCATCTTCTTCTTGGATTGGACTCTCCACATAGTAGACCTCCATTTCTTCATCATCGTCATCTTCATCATATTCGTTCTCTTCATCATCATCATCGTCATCACTGTATTCCTCCTCACTGGAGCTATCGGAGTCATATTCAGAAAACGAAGACTCTCCTACAAGCGTGAGCGAAGATACTTCATCTGATTGATCACCCGCAACCAGTGTAGTTTCTGCATCTTCTATGTAGTACATGTTCCTTGACCGCGAGCCCGCCGAGGGAGGGGCCGATGATGAACGAGGGCGAAAGAAATTGGCGGGATGAGGAGTAGCTGATCGATCAATGACATTGTTAGTAACTCACGAACCATAGGAAGAGGTAAGGAAGGACTTACGTATACGATCTCGAGTTCTAAGAGTAGCTTCTGCCACTGGAGTTTGCGGCTCCTCCATGTCACTGGGCCAGGCACGGGGAGGTGATGGGGTATGATGTGTGACAGGTGAACCATGGCCACCCACGATGACAAATGGTATGGCCAATTCAGCTGGTTTTCTGCCAGCACCGCGCTGACGCTGGAGGCGGTGGAGAGGTACCTCACCAGGGGTGGTGGGCGGCCTGCGCCCGCGGGGAGACATTGTGCTTTGCTATGCACAAAGATGGAAGAGATTGGTGGTAGCAAGTTAGAGGCCTTGCTATGTAAAACTCGGAATACTGTTGAGAAGATTCAAAGCCGGGATAAGGTGCGACGTTGTGGTTGAAAGTTTGCAGTGAAGGAATTTGGTTGAGAACGGCGTAGGAGAAGACAGAGGTTGTGGTTTTTGTCTGGAGTTTGAAATGGGAGAGCGTCAAGTTGGTTCAAGATGAAAGCTGTTAGGTTCTCTGGGGATGATCATCTGCTGGGATCAAGATGTGAAGAGATGGCAGGTGTAGATGGAAAGGGATGGAGGGATGGAGGGCGGAATGGCGAAAGGGTGTGAGAGTTGGGGAGAAGGAGGAGAGGATGGATGGTGGTTGTACAGTTGGAGGTGGGTTAGAGGTGACAACGGGAAGGTAGGATGAGAGCTATCCTAAATATTTCCTCTTTTACGGTTTTATGCCTTTGCCCATTCTATAAATCCCTGCAGACCGCGCACTCATCAGGCTAGCGTAAGTCAGCTACTCGCTCTACTCTTTCTACTGACACGCGTACGTTGCCTCAGGTCCGATTCGCCTTGGTCAGAGGCAGTAGGACGGGAACTGTTACCAGGAAATCAATGTCTTCCTGTACGTGCGACATGGGGAGTGGAATTGAAATCCCTCTTCTGAGGGGGGCTACGTAAGACCGGGCCCGGAAAGCTCTCTGAAGCTTATGCCGGCCAATTGATGCATTCTGCCTTGTTGAATTCGAGCACAAGACCATGACTACAATTCATCCCATGTCAGCATAGAGCAGAATTCCAACTTAGTTCAAGTAACGGCTTGAGTTACAAATTGGGGGTTTTAGTAAACCTTCCAAGGAGGAAGTAACGACAGTTTCGCCTGTGTTCTACATGTCGCTGCTGGTTTTAAATTTGTACGCACCTCCTCCGGCTCCTAAAAGAGGCACCATAAGTCCGATCAGCGCGTCCGCCACGTCGGTACAGGTCTGACCTGCTTCAGGATCACGGATAAAAGTTAATGAGCGATTATCCTCTTCTCCGCTGTCGATTATGATCCCACCAACCAGCCTCGGTAATTGGGATCATAATATATCACTCGCTTCCTAACTTACTTATACCCCGTTGTTAACCTGGCTTATAGGGGGCTATATCGCTATTTCAGCATGCTTTGATTCGGATATAGGTGTAAGGAAGTCTGAGAATGATGGATGTAATTCGGTCAACAATTCTCTCCAATTCTTCGTCCCGGCCGCGGAGAACATGGGGCAAATAAGTCGCTTTCCGGAGCTTTCAACCACCACACCAACATCAGGTACACTTGACATGCCGAGAAAACTTCTGCGTCGAGAGAACATTTATGTTGGGCGAACTCGTGGCGGGAGGTATGTCGGGCGTGCCACCTGGCCTTGCGCATGCCCGTGTTGACCTTGCAGATAGGGACCGGGAATTTTCATACGGCATGGTGATAGACTTATATACCAATTCAACGATGATCACGAGAAACGCTGTCTTCTGCTAGGTTAAGCCGGATATACTATTTCTCGCTTGTGAATATACTTAGTATTTGGTAGTTGTTACACGAAAACATATAGATCAAAAAGCGCATATGTCTGAAGGTAATAGAAATTAGATCTAAACACACCCACGCAATGCGTGTTAATATAGCTAAAAAATATATTTCAAGATAACGCAAAGCTAGAATCTTTCTATGGCATATATTATTCTCGGTATGTATGACCACAGTAACACCATTAATACAAAAAGCAGACCTTCTGCGTGACCGATATCTTGTGTTTAAATACGAGTGAGTTTGTCCATGAATCCAGTTCTGGGATATCATTATCGACCAAATGAGCGCAATCCAGTTTAGAATATTGCAAATTTAAACACTGCAAAACTGTCACCGAGTATTGGCCCCTTACCGGAACACTCCATGTAGTGTTTGGGTAGGTGGCCAACATTCAGCGGGATCTCTGTGGAGTTTAAACTTGTATTACTGTAGACTGGATTCTGCTTGCTTGATGGACAGTAATATGGCTAGTTGACGTATGTGGATTGTATTCTTCTTCGGACATGCACCAAGTAATATACATGTACTTACTACATTACATGTAATCATGAAACGCATATAGTCGAGTTCAATAGAAGGTTTACCCATGTTCTAACTTTGTTTCCCATATAGGATTCTCCTCATTAGCAACAATAAAGAATTTAGCTGCTGGACGTGATATGTGTTGATATACATCTGCTTTCTCCCCATTCATGCGTCCCAGATGAAAGAGGTTATTTCTCCACCCCTACCGTTTCAGTCCCTTCTTTTTTTTTTTTATGTCCCTCTCTCTGTCTTTCTCTTCACTCCGCCGACTTTCCGGCGCAGAAAGCGGAGGTGTCGGCGGTGTTTCCCCTCTCGCGCATGTCCGTCGCCGGGTCCTTGCTAATCAGACTTAGCGACATATATGCATTGTTTCTTTCACAGAGATACTAATCCTCCATTCTCACATTCAGCCAGCAAGTCAGTAATCTCGGGCTTAGCAAGTCGAATGACACCCGTCAAACTCCATCCTTAGCCAGCCGGATTTTATGCAGTAGATCCCTCTGTGTTCTCTAAAACCCCATAGATCTCTCATAAACTCACCTTCAACCCTCCAACTTAACAGGAGGTACGAGGCGACGAAGACGGATGTAACACCTATCTTGCGAGTTGAAAGGCCAGTGGATACATTGTGGGTTAGGGTTACCACCATCATTATGTCTCCTCAAGAGGGGGAAGCCAAAACCTCTCATTTTCCCCAATAAGCAGTTGATCTCCTCGTCCTTCTATCGCCCTTCTTATCTCATTTACGGGAGAGAGAATGAGGAATTTAAAATCACTCCCCTGGCTGGCTCGGGGGCGCTCCATTGTCGCCAACCTCAAACTCGACGAAAGGCATATCCACTGGGCTGAGGGTCTGGCAGCTACCGCTCCAACGTAAGCTGCAATTCTGCAAACTCTTTGATTTAAGCAACAGGCCTCTTGAAAATACTGCACGGTGAAGCCACCATCCCCCCCCCCCCTTTTTTTCCCCCCTACCTCACCTGCTCCAGCTAGACCGAACGGTAGTTGACTTCATGATAGGCATACAAATCTCAGCTCCGGAATACTAGGCATGGTAGCCTTTCTACGTGAAAGGTGGCCCCACAATAGCACCTAGTTCTCGGGGAAGGATTCTGACTACTCCTGGAGGGATCTCAATATCTTCTCCCACAGGCCAGCAGCACGAACACTAGCAAGAGGAAGAGCAGGAAGAAGGGCAACTGGCTCAGTATCGGCGTAACAGTATCAGCAGCAGGGGGAATAAGAGCAACAACACTCAGGACTCGGAGAGCAATTCCGACTGCTCTTCAGGCACGCCCGAAAGCTCGCTCAGAGGCCGAGCAACACCAGCAATGAATTAAACAAAAAAAAAGAATAGAGTAACACGAGCAGGGCAATAGCGGAACAAGGGCGAATTGAGGGATGAAGGCAGCTAGTAAAGCTAAGTTAATGTTGGGCTTGTTCAACCGGTGGAGTGTCTACATCCATCTCAGAAGGATTCTTGTGGCGGGAACAATAAATGAGAAGGGTTGGACCAACAACACGAGACCAGAACAAGTTTCCTTGATGCCTTATGAGACTCCCTGATAGGGACCACCTACCTCTCCGTCCACGTAGTTTGCGGAATGAGACCCATAAAGACACCTGGAGAGCAGTCGCCGATGCTGTCGAGTGATTTATCGCTGATGTTAGCACGAAAGAGAAATTCTCCAAGGACCGGGAACAGCGCGAGCTTATGGACCTACTCGTAGATTCACGCTTCCTATTACATCAATCTCGTACACAACACTAAATACATATAAATCTACAACCCCGCCATGTACCTCGCCAGACATAGCATATTGAGTGCCAGCATCATAGTCTCTCCTGGAGCAGGGCGGAAATATCTAGTACGCCCATCAACTGCCTACTTATAACTTTCGTTTCACAGCTCCTACGTTGCTATAATTTCACGGGAATGATTATGTCTTTGGAGAGGTTCTTGTAGAAAGGGAATATATGGATGCCGATATCAAAGACACGCTATTCCCATGCGGAAGTCTGGTCCCTGAACTTATCCTTTTCAGTGGCTGCCCTCGATAAATACAGAAACGCAATTCCCTGCCCTGCCCCTCTCTGCTCCTCCTCTTCTTCGGAGCAATATCAATAACGGGGATAGTAGCAGGCCTCGAACACTCTACAGGTCTCCAAATAATTTCATCAGCCTACCAAAGATCACACCCGCCTGTCTTTTCAGCACTACGCAAGAGCTCATGCGTCCCCCACTCCCGGTCTGACAAAAGCAAATCTGCGGACTCCATCCGATATCTAGCGCCGGAGAAGACAATGAGAAATAAAGCCAGCATTCAGTAATACATGGGAGACGGTGAGGGCTCAGAAAATAACCTGCCGTTATACTCGGTTTGCTGGATTGTCGTTGTTCCGCAGCGGCGGAGATATCAGCGGGTACTATCAAGGCTCTACAAAGTCGGGAGGATGAGACATTACCTCCAGAGCATTCCAAATTTGGTGGAACGACCTGGTCGCTGAATGCTGACCTTGTTTCCAGTTCCTATTGGCTTTGATATAGATAATGGTACAGGTACCAATGACATTAAATACATCGGAGTACATTGGCGATGAACACAATATAACCCGCTCATCTACGAGAATAACATTCGACATCTTATGTACCTACTAATAATAGTTAAGCCACAACACCCCCCCCCCCTTTCTCCTCCACTCTTTAAGCGTAATTCTTTCATCGCCCTTCCAACTTATGAAACCAAGGATTCACGTTCTTACTTACCCTCGGTAGCTAGAAGGAAGTCTACTTTATAAACATCTCCCCTGAGCTCACTTCCGGCAAATGCGGTATTCTACAGGTTCGAACAATCAGACAACGCCTCCGAGCTCTTCTGAATGGGAAGTATGATTGATTTTA